CCGTCGCGCAGGTTGCGTTTCGGTCGACGTTGTACTTGTGCGAGAGGAAACGGGGTTCAGCGATAGATTCGAAATGGCTGAGATATGGGATACTTCGGAAGAGTTGGAGCCTCTCCTGCTATGCAATGGTTGCGTCGAAGGTCTACGGGTAGGTAAAGCCGGCGATGGTTGAGTAGAGCTTCGACGATTCGGGAGCGGTGGCGGCGCATCACGTCCTGAGAGGCTTGAAGGAGTTTCTGCTACCGACTCCGATGTATTAGTTCGTCGGGGTAGCCTGGGTGGATTTTGGTTTTGCGGAATTTGCGGACGGGCGATTCCATTCCCATTTGGAATTGGAGCTTGAGATGTGGACTTTCTGGTATTAGGAGGTGGTGGGGGAGGAGGTCGTTTAGTAGAAGGAGAAGGAGGAGCAGTGAAGTTCTTTTGGCTGTTCAGAGCTGCGATCCGATCCGCAAGAGAGTTAAACTTGGGCTCTTCGACTTCAGCCATATCGAAAGCTATCAATGTGGGATACTTTCAAATGACTGGTTCGAACGGGATATATAATGAACCAAACAGATAGCGACACAGACAGCGCGCATTAACATCAATTAACAAGATAATACTGATCTCGGCTAGTAGAAAATATTAAAAAGAATGAGAGCTGATTGGAGCTGAAACTATACAGGGAAAAGAATGAACAATCAATTGCAAATCTACAGGATATCACTCATGTAGACTCGATTAAAAACGAATGGAAATGGAGGCGGGGAAATCAAATACATAGGTAGGTAGCGAGAGTTGTGATGATACTTGGGAGAGTTATTGGCAGAGTTAAATGTTTGATGATAATCGAGGCGCAGCAGCCAAACAGCAGCAGCAGTAAAACATCCATTAGGTTAAAAGCTAGCACAGCCCTGCGGGCGGGGAGTGACGATCCTTCGGCCCCTCGTTGCTAAATATGTATACAAGCACACTAACATACCACCGGAACCTAAAACAAAACGACTTAATAACAGAAGGCTAGTACTATTTTGCACTAGTGCAGTCTATATAAGCTCCACATATGTATACCATTTATTCATTCTCCACATCTTTGCTAGATACATACATGTACTTAGTACCTGTATTTGCCCCTCCATCTCCCCCCCTTCGCATACCCGCGCTCTCAAAGACCCTCAAGTCAGCATCTTACATATAACTCTATGGCAATCGCCATTCTAGATCACGACCATTCGCCCCGAATAACTTTTTGATGGTTAAATCTCCCTGAGGCTAGTCTACGAATGTGTTATGTGCTGGATGCTAGGTGCTATTGCGGTATAATAGTCGATTTGGTTCTCCGGCACATTGTCGATAAGGATCGTTATAGAGCCTAACACCGATACCAGGACATTGACGAATCGAGACGCTTTTCTACTTGTCATTTGCACTAGGTATAATTATTATCCAGTCAAAAATAACGAGCTGGCTCACGAAGCAGCCACCATGGCACTCAACACCAGTATTCTTATTCCGCCACCAGCTCCCAAGGCATCCAATATTCTGGATTTGCCTGATGAGATTTTGAAGGAAATATGTAACCAAGTATGTGCTAATCCATGGTCGCGGATCACAATAATGTTCCTTGCTCTTGGGGTATATCGTTAACAGCTGTATTGTTAGTGCTTCCAATCCGATTGGATTCGCCTTTCCCTAGTCTGCAGACGCTTCCGCGATCTTGCCGCCGCCCATCTATATCGTAACTTTCATATCGTCTTCCCGGACGAGGACGATCCGTGTTTCGATTCCCCCATTGACGGGCTCGCGGGTGGTCTAGAGACGTTTGTCGCAAGCGATTACAACTATGCGAAGCACTTAAGGGAGCTCTCCCTCGACACCCTTAGTATTGGCAACAGGGCTGAGCTTGCCTATAAGCCGTACCTCGCTTCTGTAAGCTGCGGGAAGTTCATGAACACTCTGTTGCTCCTTACGCTCCGGAAGGCCCAGTCACTTGATACCTTTAGATGGAACATCAGAGTTGAGCTTAGCAGGCCTGTTTATAAAGCACTGCATAACATCAAGTCTCTAAGACATGTTCATTTGCGCTTACAGGCCGGCACCTCCATTCATCAGATTCCGCCACCTTTTTCGGACTCTAACGTACAGCATTCTGAGTACGATGCTATGGTCATGCCAGCCCCCCAGTGGGCCAATTCGAACAGTGCCCTTCTTGATCCTGTGACCGTTTATGGGCCCCCTCCGGTTCCATCCTCTTTCTCGCTAGGCCACAAACCCTCTTGGAGGAATAAACACCCAAAGAAACTATCTACCGCTAAGGAACCCCCGACAATCGAAGGCTTCAGAAACCTTGAAAGCTTGAGCGTTCTTGATATAGATAGCCTTGACACGATAGCGGAGGTTCAAGTTTGCATACGTAATTCTTCATCAACGCTTAGAAAGGTGAAGCTTTCCTTTTCAGACAGTCTTGCTATGCAAGCAAGAAAACCTTGCGCTGATGCAGAGCTCGATGAATCCGAAGACGACGAATTTCAAGTTATGCCCATATCCTTAAGTGCCAATTATGATGACAACGGACCCGCAAAGGCATTTCAAGCGCAGGAAGAACGTAAACTTCAGGAATTGGTGCTAGGCCGCATATTCGAGGTAGAGACATCTCACACAAAGAATACTCGCTTATCCACCGAAGACAAGAAAGAGAATATGAAAAAAGAAGATTCTGAAGAGCAACCAGTTTCGGATAACGGACAACATTTCATAGATCATGTTAGCAGGGTCTTCGAGCGTATGGTGGCTCATGTTAACGGTACCAGCGGTTTCACATCTATTGAACAACAGGATGCTTTGGATGCAATAGCAAAGGCCGCAAAGAAATATGTAACTTCGGAGGAGTCCAAATCCAAACCTGGTCCCTCTTCTGGAGATTTACCCACTAACGATGGGCTACATTCGTTACCTAAAGACCATGAATTAGGGCTTGACATAGACAAGTCGGATGAGTCCCAGCCACTTAATTTCGGACTTAAGCCACATCCATCAATACCAAAGGACTCATACGATGCTAACCCAGAAGATATCGATATCGAGGTCCCGGAGGAACAATTGACAGCTGAGTTTCAACGGATTATTGAAATAACGTCTACCGGCACAGTACCACCAAAGGAACTATTTAACTCGGCAGAAGTGAGCACTATTCTCTCCAATATAACAGAACCGAACGATGTCGTCCGAGTCTTCAATGCCGAGGGCATGGGCGGTGTAGAGACAGGATGGAAGGATTGTGCTAACGAATTTTCGAAGGAGACACGCATAGCTATTTGCGCCGCCAACGATGATTGCCAGGATAAATCTCGACAGCACTTAGAAAGTGCCGATCGTGATGTAGAAGACGTACCTCGCGATAACGCAGTTCAAACCAGCTTAACCACAAACGGAACAGGAACGCTTCTTAGCAATGTGAATAAATATACACGAGACACAAGAGGCATCGGACTTCACTCTCTCAGCATCCATCTTATACCAATCAAGGCTTCGGTGCTAGGGAAGGCCATAGATCTGCATTCGCTAAAGCGGATTACTTTACTCAATGTAGGCGAGCAGAAGAAGTTTTGGGCAATGATGATGAAAGAAAATAGCCTGAAGCCGCTTCCACTTCGAAAAGTCTTTACAGATGATGTCTCTCTGCAGTTCTTACACCTTATTTCCCAGCTTGACTGTGTTAAAGAGGTATTCATGCTTCAGCGGTCGCCAAAGTACAAGCCGGAGAGCTTTGCGCCGAACCCTGGCACGACTATCGAACAAATCCGGAATCTTGTCCTGAAAAAGCGTACGTACCATTTAATCATTTTATCTCCTACACCCGGTTCATCTCTTAGGCTTATCCAAGACCCTTGTTAGAAGTCGCTAACTCTATGCTATAGATATGCATTCTCTCAAACGCCTCATGATCAAGAACCAAGCTGATAGTTCATGGGATGTGGACGAGAAAACAATCCAACACATCTGTAGACGTGGAAAGGTTCTGGAAGAACTGGCTGTAATAATGGGAATGCGTGCAATTGTAAGCATCACTTCCCATACGTTAATAGATAATAGTACCCCTATATAATTATGGCTAACAACATATAGCATACTTTAATCCAGCGTATCGCTGGCCTTACCAATCTTCGCGCACTACAGCTCATCTCTTTTAGAACAGAAGACACCTGCCTTTCTGTCATGCGCGAGACGCGCCGTTTTATAGTCGACGCTCTTTCTTTCCACCCTGAGCTAAAACTCGAGTGGCTCGCACTAGGTGACGATGACCGAGCTGTGAGAATTGTCCGGAAGTCAGGAGTCCCTGGGAAATCAAAAGTCGGCTCTAATAAAGACAAGGAGCATGCTCTGAGTCCAAATCAAGCCTATGTTGGTAATGGACTCTTCCCAGTCGTGCCTGTAGAATGGGGCGCTACAAGCGAGAGCGATGAGGAGGATGACGACCCACTATTCAGGGTGAAACTAGAACTTGTTGAGCCTTACTCATTCTACGACATCTTCGGTATCCGAATCTTTAAGAAAGAGATCGTGAACGGCCGATTATGATCGGGTTTTAGGACGGGGTGGCATGTAGGTTTTTGAAGGGTTTAAAAGCTTTTGTTAATTTTTTTGTTTTTCCTCTGTTGGCAAGATACCCTTTGAGTGCGGACGGGATGGGGAGTTTTTTGACTTAGGAAAGGGGTATAATTCTATTTCCTTTACATCTACATGATATTGTCTACGATGACTTCTTTGGATAGATTCGCTAGTTTTTACCTTGGAGCAGATCTGTTATGAACGTGTTGATGATTGAAGCCTTAAGGGAGTCTATCATCGGGTTATGCCAAGGCTTGTACAAATCAAAACTATTACTCATGATTTTACAGCTCTAAGGTGGCCCTCCCTTGATGCGGATACAAGTCTACCTACCTCCTATGCTCTTTAAATGCTTTTTCTAGTACTTGAAAAGTCATGGGTCAACATCCCAGAGCTAGTTGTAGCAATTATTTCATATTAATAGATTCTTTTTCATTTACTAGATTATCATTGGTATCAAGACTTAAGACCTTATTTCTCCCTCGGCCGCCTCAATTTCCCACTGCGATATCATCTCACTATACCACTCCGGCGTATTCTCCCATGTGGCAGCGGGTGGACATGACGGACTTGCTGGCTGGCTGTTGCTGAAATCATGTGTGACAGTGCTAGGTTCAAGTGTAAGGAAGAAATCGAGAAGCTGTCGCCAGTCGGACCGTGATATTCGCGGCGGGAGGCTGGTAGCCATACTACCACTACCACTACCACTACCACTATACCCCTGGTGGCTGCTGCTTCTGCTTTCGTTGTTCCGTCCGCTGGAATTCGAATCTGGTGGCAAAGCCTTGATGATCTGTAGGCCGTTGGCAACATGCGCTAAGGCCGCCGCCTCGTTGCCGCGGGACGTCTCGATGCAGACGAATAGTAGACAGCATATGAGCGTAATCTCGACGCTTTCGGAAGGCGACCCCGGCTGCACGTGTCGTTGTAGGTGGTAGATGGAGAGGTTGTACTGTTGGATCATGAATAATTCTAACTGATCCGCGCACTGGTAGGCGTCTTCGGGCGGTGGTGTTGAAAAAACGTACGATCGTTCGGCCGGACTGCCGCTTCGCGAGGACATTTTCGGTGCTGGTTGTTTCATCCTCGTCGTTTGATAGTTCTGCTCTTGTCGGTGCTGTCCTTGTTGTTGTTGTAGCTGCATACTTTCGTACGCGGCTCCCAGCGCTATCAACGCATGCCGCACCGCCGGATCCGAATGTCCTACTTGCGGCACCAAGCGGCGCCAGAACGACGCTCCGAGACTAGACGCGTGGAGAGCCAGCCCGGCCTCCGCCGCTTGTCGGAACCGGTGGAAGTACAGCCGCTCTTCTTCCGTGCCTTGGATGTCAGCGGCCAGCGGGCGGAGGATCTGCAATGCCGAGGTTCCCCGGCACGCTGCGGCGAAGCTATTTCGAGCCAGGTCGTGCCGTGCTCCTGGATACCCATCCGACGAGGTGGTGGTTGGGGTAGAAAAAGGAGTTGCTAGCTGGTCTGGCGAGGACGATGTTGGCTTCTTGGGCCGTGGCGGCGGCGCACCATCGTACCCGTCACATTTACGTCCTGTACTCGTGCACCGCGTGCACGCCGGTTTGGTCTCGTCGCATTTTACACGCCGTATCCTATGCGGTTATGAGATAATTAGCTCGGATTCTAATAGCTCTGGGGTTGTAGTGAGAATAAATAGGTGTAAAATGTAAAGTACATAGGTATACAAAGTGCCACAGGAGTATCAGTAGGGTCGAAGCGAGACATATACGAGAGAGTCTTCGTTCGATATGTACCTCAGGTAGTTAATATAGTGAATAAAATAATGAATAAACTTACTTGCTGCACGGAATGAGTTAGCAGATGATCAAAGAATTATATTAAGGTCGATGGACTAACCAAGTAATACAACCTGTTCGAACCTTAGGCTTGCTTGCTCTCTTGCGCTTGGTTGATGTTGTAATGGTCGATGTACTGTCTAATGACAGCGCCGGGTCGATCATGTCGTCGCCCGAAGGGGTTGGACTTGTTTCCCATTGGGTTTTCTTCGTAGGCGCCATGGTAAATAGCAGCTGATGGTAGGTAGATCGAATAATACAGACTAATAGAGAGTTATGCGGTTGTATGATCCTCCCTTTTTTTTTCTTTGGAACTTGGAGGGTGACAATCTTGGGTGCCAATGATCCTGAGCAGCTTCTTGAATTTGTTAATTGGTAATACTAGGCACGCATATAGACAACCGAAGGGGACGAATGCGAGCGTTTTGTCGTATTTATTATACGTATTACCGCATTTTCTAAGCCTCCCCTTATTTCCTGCGAATAGCCAATCTCACTTGCAAGAGTATGGAAATTCCATACCTCATTATGCTGGTCTGATGATACGGGATCACGTATTTCGTCCCCGATGGATGGTGCAGGCAAAAAGTACCGAGCTATCCCCATTCATATCCGGTCCTGTGCGCCGATCGTGCGCCTCCCCTTGCCCTGAACCACCTAATCCCGTCCCGTATAGTTCTTTTGGCCAGAATTTCCATTTCGGGATAAGAAATAGAGACTTTTGCAAAAATAACACGATGGCGTGCCGCGAAACACTAACTCAGCTAGTTTACCTCGAATTGTAAGGTAACATAAGGGGGTCCCATCCTGACTAAGTATATCGGGGTCTGATCTAGCGGGATTGATGTAGCCGTTCCATTTTTATCTCCAGCCTTACCAAGCAACCGGCAAAGAGCTGCATGAGGTGCGGGTTGGTATACTATGTAGTGCTGGGGCTGGAGGGCAGCTTGGCACCTTATGACAGGTAGACTGTTATGCTAGCCCCGTAGTAAGCCCGTGTGGTGGTTTTAAATGGCCAATAAACATGGGGGATGCTACATAGTTTATTCATACTTGATATCTAATAATACAATAATACTTTGAACTATACAAAAGCTTCTACCCGAAGCAAGCGACTAATACCTACCTAGGTATGTATCTCAACCGATATTATCATCCGACTCAAGCCCTTACGTAAGTCTATATGTATTACGACAAGCTAAACTATCTAAGAAATATAGAAAACAGCAGACCCGGATGTTTCTGTCCGATCTTTGCGTGCTCTAGTCTATCTTAGTCTAGGTTAACGATATAGTTGTCTTCCTCGGTTGCTCCCGCTCTTCCCCATCAATTTCTTTGGAATCATAAAGTTTACCTAAGTCTGATAGTTAACAAGTATGATGACGACAAACAGGTCAGCTAGTTCGGCTATATTTGACTGGTGCGTACGCCATGCCTGCTATTACATACTCTTTAAAGAAAGAGAGGACCCATGTTCCTGAAAATACGGCTTCTTCGACAGCCGTATTTTAAAGAATTCTAGAAGAAATAAACGGAGAAAATAGAATCAGAGTCAGGATCATCAATGGTAGCGAAGGAATCTTAATGGAACGATCCGTGGGCAGGCAAGACGATTACTGGCCAGAACCCACATTGAGACTACCTAAGCATCAAGGTTCCATTAGCAACTAATATTTTTGAGAGGATCGAGACTAACTGTTCACGATCTGGAAATGCATCTCTCTTAGATAACAAGCTTGGATGGATACTATCACGACCCGCTACAGAACATGGCTAGTAGGTAGGTACCCAGATTAGCGGCCCCTGAACGAATCTTTTCCTTGTCTACCCCCACGTAAACTAACTGTACAAAGGTATGGAAACTGGGGCAATGATCATCTCGTATTAAACAATCGACCAATCCGAAGTTTGCGGACAAAATTGAAGTCTCAAGGCTTTAAATAAATCATGATGTTGACAATGTAGCTAGCTAAAAACAAGGTGAAAAGAACGGGAATATTAATACGGTTCAAACGACGGAGGGAATCGGAGATATGTACCTACATAGTAATGTCTCATTTACAAATTAGCGTTAGTTTTTTTTATGTTATGTAAAGTGACAGCATCGATAGTGTAAATCTGCAAGTTGGGTTTTAAATGCTCGCCGTGTTATACTGTAAGGACCGCGCCAAGACTTAAGGGGGGTTTTGACTAAGCATCAACAATAGTCATCTATTTTTAGACAGGCTATTCATTAATAGATTACCTAATATAGTGTAGTAGCAAGATCGTGCAAAGCATATCATACCGCAAGTACCCCACTCAAACCCGCAAACCCGCAAACCCGCAGTCGGACCCACGTAATACCTTTATATGCATAATGAAGGATAAGAAAATGCTACCTCGTGAAGCAAATAAGCTTACAACATCCAGACGTGGCGCTCTCTACATATTTTAACTTGATTAGGTCTTCCTTAAGTTTTATTACTGTCTAAGGCAATTATCAGGTAATTCTAACAATACTATGGCGATATATACTTCCCAGTTTAGTGTCCATCCGTCCATCTATTCCCATCCAATTTTAGCCCGACAAATTTATCTATAGCACAACCAATATATTAGCATTTATTAGAGAGGTCTAGGCTCATCATTACAACAGTTTCGTCTTCAACGCTCTGTCTATTTCTTTCTCAAGAGATATTGAACCTTCCACACTGTTAAGTTGCTCCTCGGGAATAGATTTGGAACTGGATGATGCCTGGGATTGATCATCTGAATCGCCGGGCTTTTTCTCGTCCCCGTCTAATTGAATCGAAAGCCGCAGCTCGTTTGCTGGTGCATCCTGTGAAGTGGACTTTCGCTGTTCCTCCCCTACAGAAGTCGAGTCGTTCTCTTTCGATTTAGAGGACCTTGCTTCTGGTACATCCTGTGAAGTGGATTTTCGCTTGTCCTCGTCTGATTGAATCGAATGTCGCGACTCGTTTGCTGGTGCATCCTGCGAAGTGGATTTTCGCTGTTCCTCCCCTGCAGAAGTCGAGTCGTTCTCGTTCGATTCAGAGGGCCTCGCTCCTGGTGGACCCCCCGGCCCAGTCTTCTTGATATTTTTCCATTCCATGAAAACAGCCGCTAGCAAGGCAACAAGTGCCACACCCATACCGCATAGGAATATCCTTGAGATGGCCCCGTTGTAAAGTTCTTTTACTCGACGTTTATACTCGGGCGGGACCTTGTTGACAAGATCTGTGGCGCCTTGGTTGGTAATTTCCTTAGGATCAAGGCCGGGGATATCAGTCGCATGTCCAACAATGTAACTGCTCAAAAGGTTCTGGCCAACAGAGACGAAGATGGCTCCGCCTAATTGCTGGCAGAAGAACATGAGAGCGATACCTGTTGGAATATCGGGTTTGGGAAGCACTGCCTGCGCGGAGAGGCCAGCCGTTTGCATTCCCAAGCCCAGCCCGAAACCGACGATGGCCTGGTATCCAATCCAGTGACCAGAATCTTCGTTGACTCTGAAGGTGCTCATTAAGCCCTGCCCTACAGCCATAATCGTAGGACAGACTAACATCGAGGGAACATAGTATCCGACTTTCTGGGTGAAGATACCAGATAGGATACTGGCCACGACGAGACTTAGGACGAGGGCTATTGTGTCAATACCGGACTGCACGGCACTCACCCCTTGTACGGTTTGGACTACAGCTTAATATAAGCATATAATATCATCAGAGAATCTAGGTTGAGGGGATGACTTACACCACAACGGCAGGTAGTAAACACTCATCATCATCGATGCAGCGACGCAGAACATAAAAAGAGCCGCAGAAGCAACGCTACGTTGGCCAATGACTCTAACGGGGATGGTCGCAGTATTTGGCATCAACACCTGAACTGCCATGAAGGCAAGAAGTAGGACGCCACAAAGACCTAGAAGAAGGATGATGCGCCAACTATTCCATTCATACGTAGACCCGCCCCATTGGAGTGCGAGCAAGAGACAGACGATGCTCGGGACAAAGAAGAACGTCCCTAGAGGATCTAATCGAGTGAAATGTTTCCATAATTTTGCTGGCTCTGATGGTCTCGTCGGAAGTTTCACAGCCAGAAGACATAATACCGCAACACCACCGACGGGAAGATTGATATAGAAACACCATCTAGCCATATCAACGTTAGTTTATTCCGATGGATGAAAAGATAAGAAGAAATCATGTACCTCCAAGTAACGCGATCAGTGAAAGCACCGCCTATGAGAGGACCCATGACCGAGCTGATTCCGAAGATAGTCCCGAAGATTCCTTGAAACATCGGTCGCTTTCGGAGAGGTACTAGCGGAAGCATGAGGACGGACACGCCGGTGAATATACCTGCGGCGCCAAAGCCGGCGATGGCGCGGCCAACAATAAATACGATCGAACTTGGAGCCACGCCGCAAATGACGGAACCGATCTCGAAGACCGCGACGACAAATAAGAAGACCCTTTTCAACTAATTGTTAGCTATTTCGCGCGCGTATCCTTTTTCGAAAGGGTTTATAAACATACGTTTTTATATCGTAAAACCTGTATACTCTACCGAATACCAGTTGAGACGCTGCGGTTGTTAATTGATACGCTGAGCCATACCAACCGATATCCCCCAGACTATTGAAGTCTTGTGTTATCCGGGGGATCGCTGTACCGATAATGGTCCGATCAAGAGCAACTAAGAACAGAGTGATATATATACTGGCCATAACAGACCAGAACTTGAAAGTCTTTGGTTGGAAATTCTCCTCAGCTTCGTCAACAAGTTCAGGCCGCTCCGGCTTGGCATCGGCCGTCTTCTCTACATCGGCAGGCATGGCTACCACTGAAGGGCCACCTACATCTGATGTCTTCCGCGACGGTTCGGCCATGAAGTTCCGAGAAGATAGATACAGGATAGGTTCAAGGATATGTATGGAGAAAAGAAGGGATGAATATGAGAAAGGACGAAAGCAAAGCTGGGAGAATCCAAGTAAATAGTCCACCCTGTATCTTTAATTGGTCCAAGACAACACAAAGTTCATCAAACCTTGAATCTAGGGATAAAAAGGAATGTGTATATATATATGCGTGTAGGTAGGTGTGCTCTAGCATTAACTACGTAAAAACAAGCCATGAAAACAAGCCCCCCTTCCCCCCCAGCTGGCATAGGCTGTCGAGTAGGACGGACAAGATAGGACAACCATGTGTTTTGCTTTACACGTTGGATACATAGTAACTATACGAAAACCTACATCTTTCCTCATGCATGGGAGCACCGAGACGGGGACGCAGTTCGGGAGCGATTTGGCACAGAGACACCGAGCAGCTTTAAATGATTTGGTTCGGAGAAATAAGAAATAAACATAAAATATACGGAATACCTACCACGTGATACAAAGTTCTTGTGTTTTTCGGGCGGAACTTTAAGGGGAGGTGAGCACCGAGGCGATTTGTCCGAAGTGGGACAGTGTTACCATGACTGTACTATGTAATACTGAATGGCACAAAAACTGAGCTAAACTAAACATATATTATGCACGGAATACATAATATCACAATAGTTTATGTCATAAGATATGTACCTGCATGTATATAGTGACTAACAGCTTGCATATATTTTAAATTTTATGGTCAAACGGCGTTCTTCGGTCCCGAAATATGATATTTCAACGCCGAACGCTAAAACAACGCTAACAACGAGAATTGCAATTTGCAGACTATTACAACCCGACAAACAGGTTATTCTATCCTATCAAATCTCCTATCAGGAAAAAAAAAAGGGTTGAATACCTAATGTTTGGTTTGCTACCTAAACTCGTTCAGCTTTGTCGGCGGTCGGCGTTTAACAGCTACGAGACTTGCGAGGCTCCTAACTTCCAAACTACATACACCGTCATGGTTCAATTGTGAGCTGAACCCTGTCGACGGCATTGTTCATTGCCTACCGCCGTTGATTATGGGGAGGGGGGTAGTGGCGGATTCTGCAGTACCTACCTACATAGTAATAGTAAGTTGAGCTGATGAATAACCAGATGGATTGGGTTCGAAGGATGCGAAACTTTTTTTTTATTTTTTTATTTTTTCCCCTGGCTTGTTTTCCTCATCCCGCCGCCACATGATATCCTGATATCCTAACATCCTAATATCCTGAAATATTGTCAAAGGAAGCTCTATTACTGCACCCAGACTTATTGTACATTCGCTATATTCCTCCCCAAAGACCCCCAGGATAACCTGAATAGCCCTGAATAACCCCAGAAATACCTACCCTGAATCGTCTTTGAATCCTTATGGTCTATCTTCGTCTACTTGCGCAGACAATAGCCACTGTATCCGTAACATACCTGTAATAGTTGCACTTTGGGATCAAATGGACAGTGAATCTTGAAATCCCCCTTCTCTACGAGTTTAAACAAGTTCAAGAACCAAGAACCATTCCGGTCTTTATATCCCGACCATCTACACCTTTATATCTGCACAATTCCATACACAATTCCATACCCTCCTAGTTTCACATCTCCTCTTACATAGTAAGGTCACAATTAAAGTCCTACTGTAACGAAAATACGCACACATCTTTCCCCTTTGATTCGACCTGCATATCTATCCCCCCCTCCTTTCTTCTCATCGAGAAGTCTAGATGGGGTTGAATGGTCTTGTCTGGTCTTGGTCTGCCCATCCTCTCTCATCTCTAACCCCCCGTCTCATCTGTTGTTAATTTCCAGAAAGCGACACAGCAGCTAAAGACCCTGCACGAGCCCGTTCGCGAGATCTCCGGTCGTCTCTTTCTCTTTATTGCCCGTGCCCCCTCTCGGTCCCGAAATTCCCGCATCAACACCATCGTTTTTGCGCCTGCTTCTGCTTGCCAATCAATGCTCGCGCCCGGTCTTGAGGCTTTTCGTCCCATGTGGAACAGAGTCACTTTTTGGTTACCTAGTCGAGTCTTGGTTGAGCTTTGTTAATCGTTAGCCCGTCGGCAATTGTCTGCACGCTTATTGCCTGGCGGTGTAAGAACCCGTCTTCCTCGGGACCGACTGAAAAAAAGAGAACCCGTTCGCCATGCCCCCGACCCCAGAGTCCCAGCTTGGTGATGGCTCGGCGAGCAATGAACCTACGCCGCCTGCGGGCTCCTCGGTTAACAGGTATACGCCACCAAATCCCGACGCTTCTATGATAAAGGTTACAAGAGGGCATAGCTGTGTGTTATGCCAGCAGCGCAAGGTACGTTGCGACAAGAGCAAACCCTGCTCCAATTGCCTAAAGGCAAATGTCGAGTGCCGCGTTGTGCCACCTCAACCACCTAGGCGCCGCAAGAAGCGCATCCCCGAGCGAGACTTGGTTGAGCGTCTGCGGAAATATGAAGCACTCTTGGCTCAGAACGGTATCGAATTTGATTCGCTAGGTCCGGACGTCAAGATTGTGGACCCCGGCTCCGTTGAAGACGGTGACGAGCTGGAGCCCGAGTTTATAAGGCAGAGGAGTAAGGAGTCTCCAGCCGGTGTGGACCCTGACTTGATCTCATCACCCGGCGAGACCGCCCATGTTCCCAGGTAAGCTCAACTGCCCCCCAGATCGGCAGGGAACGTTTCATCCGGTACCTTGACTGACCACTTGACTAACCACTCATCTCATTAGGACGTTCAAATGGTTTCCTTTCCAGAGGGAGGCTAGTGGTTTTCTCTTTCCTATTTCGTCACCCTATAATACTAACATTGATCTATAGTTTCGAGCAACGGATGAAGCGCCTAGAGATTCATCCGATGAAGAAGATGTTGGGTCATCCATCAATCAAGCATACGACAAGATGTTCGACAGCCCTGATGGCTTCCCTTTTGTAGTCGGCGGTCAGTACGAAAACGTCACCTCGCAGCATCCATCCGCCATCCAAATATTCCAGTTATGGCAGATTTACCTAAATAATGTCAACCCTCTTCTCAAGCTTACGCATACACCAACATTGCAAGTGCGGATTATCGAAGCCGGAGCAAGCCTCGACAAGGTGTCTAGGTCCCTCGAAGCATTAATGTTTTCAATCTATTTAATGGCTATCACAAGTATAGACGAAGAAGAATGCCAAGCCACGTTTAACGAATCGAGAATCAACTTGCTGGCCAAGTATTATTATGCTACACAGCAAGCACTTCTAAACGCAGGCTTTATGCGCAACCCGGATCTGACCTTGCTGCAAGCTTACCTTTTATATCTTGTAAGATTAAAATCGCCTCGTCCATTTGAGGTCCAGATCTGACGTATATCAGATGGGTATCCGACAGTATTCGGACCCCCGGTCATTATTTTGCCTAACAGGAATTGGTGTACGCCTTGCTCAGAGGATGGGTTTGCATCGTGACGGTGCTCAATTCAATCTGTCCCCATTCGAAGTGGAAGAGAGGAGACGGCTATGGTGGAACCTCGCCGGATTTGATCGACGAATAGGCGAACTGTGTGGTTCCATCATCACTGCCATATCCAATGGGGGTGACTGCAAATTACCGCTCAACATCGACGACGCCAATTTACACTTACACGCCAAAGACCCCCCTCCACCGTATACCGGCGCCACCGAGATGATGTTCTCTCTCTCGCGCCTCGAGTTTGCCAAGGCGCCAGGAAATGATAAGATGAGGGGCCAATCTTCAGAAACGAATCCCCAGGCGGTCGCAAGCGTTGCTGACCACCGCTTGTCGAGCTATCTCGAACGGTTTTCTTCCCATATGGAGGATACCTACCTAAAATACTGCGACCCGAAAGTCCCACTTCACTACATGACTCTTCTTATGACGCGAGCGAATATCTGTAAGCTAAAGATAGTATCTGGCTTCTTCCGTGTTGCGCTTACGGCACCTGCTCCCTTACCGGCAGCCGAGAGGGAAGAACTCTTCATCGAGGCGATTAAGATGGTCGAGTATGATACCATGATGCAAGCAAGAGAAAGTTTACGAGGCTTCCTCTGGTATACTAATATGCATTTCCCATTCCCGGCTTATATATGCTTGCTTACCGAGCTCCGCCATCGTACGACGGGTGACTTATGCGAGCGTGCGTGGGAAACCATCTGCGAGCACGCCGACCGGAGGAAGATGACATCTCACATGCGTAGTCCTATGCATCTATCCTTTAGTCCTCTATTCGTAAAGGCGTGGGACGCGCGCGAGGCCGCAGAAGCCGCTCTCGGACGTACCCTAGCACCGCCTCGCCTCATCACCCACATGAGACAAATCGCGGCTCGACTACCAAAGGCGATTAAAAAGAAGTCACCTGTACCAACGCCTTCGCCTAAGATCCCTGTCATAAGCGGTGCTTACGTTGCAACGGCGCCGACGCCGCCAGAACAACCTAACGTACCAGGTACTATACCTATATACCCGGAAACAGACATATTCGGCGGTGGCATGCCGCAGATGGACATGAACCGGCAATTCACGACCGCGTTCCCGGATGTAAACTTCGGCGGCGAGATGGACTGGAACTACTTGATGCAGGAATACGGCGGGTTCGTCGCCCACCCACCCCAGATGACGGCCTACGCAAACCAGACGCCGATGCAAGACCCTAATCACCCCCCAACTGCTGCGTGGCAGTGAATTGTATGTATGCATATCTGCACATTTTTCTACTGGTTACCTAGGTATATATGGATCTGCACATATAATGGATGAACGAGATATGGGGTTTAAGCGGAATAGGGCACATATATATCTAGGCACTCAACTATCTCAGCATGTATATAAAGGCCTGTATATGGAAGATCGGGACTCTACGGATATACTGGTAAAGGTTTATGTATTATATAGGTATAAGGTATATAATAGTATTATATGAAGGCAAATAAGAGTAAGCGTGGCAAGCGACTATGCGAGGAATTAAGATGGGATGTTCCTACATATATGCATCACCACGGTGTTTAACAGGGTAAGATAGGTAGGTAGGTAGTTATTAATTTCCATGTAAAGCTTGAGTATGCCATCATCCATTTTTACCCCCACCCCCTATTCTTAGTTTCTAGTTCTCTATATACTCCCCTGTTCTCCCCTCTAGGTAGCCTATTGGATATATTTTTACGACGATCAAGTAATACCAAGACGCATTATCTTCTTTGTCATACCCTTTGCGGCCTATGGGACTGATGTCGTGTCAAGTTACACAATATATCAAGTTTAGGGATCTGTCACGGCGATTGCCCCTTTTGCTTTCCGCGGCGGGTAACGGAAATCCGCTACGGGGAGGGATTCTCAGCTGCCAAGTGACCGCTTCCTAAAGTCTCAGCGCCACCGCTGCGGCAACTAACTAGGTTGGTAATAGATCTGGACTAATAGCTTGATATTGGAGTTACGCAACATCTCGCGGCTAGATATATAGATCGGTGATATGTCATAACCAGCCACCCGGGCGGCCTCGGTTCAACAACGGAATTTTTCTAAAGTACTTTGTCGCAAAGACGATGTCATAATTGATAGCAATCGATGTATGTCTTGTATGTATGTGATATACTTGATATCGTAAGTCTAGCTATGATAAATGATAAAGCAGGATCTTTATATTGGGCGGTCTATCAGTCATGCGTTTATATAAAGGGGCCTCTCCTCTTCACTATATATATCTACTATAGATCTAAGTTATAACCTCGATCAAGTCACTACTACTAGGTAGCACTTAGACCTAGCATCGCCATGTTGAATCTGTTTCTTCACCACATAAGCCATATGGAATGGCCCATAGCGGCTCTTATAATCAGTCTTCTCATAGTACGTGCTGAGCTCTCAAAGCAAATAGGTCGCCTAAACTAAGCGAATACAGCTGCTAGTAAATACCATATACAATCTATTCTTTCACCCCTTGGCCAATATCCCCGGGCCTTTCCTCGCCAGAGCAAGCCAAATACCTTCATGGTATCACGCCCACCGAGGCGACCGGCATCTCTGGCTATGGCAGCAGTTTCAAATATACGGCGACAAGATACGCCCGGAACCAAACACGGTCCTTTTCAACAATCCCGAAGCGTACCCGGATATATACAGCCAGAAGTCGAATGTGAAGCGAAGCAAGTTATACAGGGCAATACAGCTCAACGGCTTTGAAGATACAACGCTTACTACGACTGATGTCGCCGGGCATGCGCGGAAACGAAAGCTCCTGAGCCTCGCTTTCACGGAGAATTCGGTGCGCGCCGCGTCAAATTTTGTCATCCAGCATTTGGACCGTTGGAACCAACTTCTTATCGAGGATGCTGATTCCGATTGGCAACCTGCGGTCGATATTTCGGAGAAGGTAAACGGTCTAGTCTTCGACATCATGGGCGATCTCAGTTTTGGGAAGTCTTTCGATGTTAAGGAACCTGGCGTTAACCCCCTGAAAGCCATCCCTCATAGCATTACAGATTATTTGTCGTTGAACTATACGGTAAATTTCCTTGCATATTGCCCTTCTGGAATCATACCCGTGCTGATGATTAGGCACTTGCAGATTGCCCACTCTCCCTTGCTCGATTACTTTGTTTGGCTGAAGCCCAAGGGTTTGGACACGCTTTTCGCAGCGGTGATGCCACGAAATATCCGGCAGTATAGACATTTTGTCCACGATAGCGTCACTGAGAGGATTACCTTGCATCAGAAACAGACTGAGAAACCGGAAGCTGAGCGGCGCCAGGATATATTCTATTTTCTATGCGAAGCCCGTAACCCCGACACTGGACTTCCGGCGTATAGGGAAGCCGAGCTCCGGGCGGAGGCCAACTTGATAATTATTGCCGGGTCGGATACTACGTCTATCAGCCTCTCTGGGCTATTCTTTTACTTGACTAGTGACGACCTGCGTTATCAGAAGCTTGTTCGGGAGATTTGTACCGAGTTCAAATCTGCTGAGGATATTGTGTACGGACCAAAACTTTCCTCTTTAGTATACTTAAAGGCATGTATTGAAGAGGGGATGCGTCTTACACCGGTGATCCCTAGCGAGCTTCCTCGAGAAGTCCTTCCAGGGGGGATCGAGATCCAAGGAGAGTATTTCCCAGCAGGAATCAACGTTGGTATGGCCAACTGGGCACTATCCCGTGATCCGGAGGTTTACGGCGACCCCGAATTGTTTCGTCCTGAGCGCTGGATTGTAGATGAGGCCACGGGCGTAACGGAGAAGGACGTGGAAAGGGCGCGGTCTGGTAGTCACCCCTTTGCTGGAGGACCTGGTAAGTGCCTTGGACGAAACTTCGGAATGATGGAAATGATGATTATAGTCGCTCGAACCCTTCACCGATTAGACGTCAGGAGGGATTCAGGCTCTACATTGGGGTCAGGCGGACCTGAGTATGGACGGGGCACACGCGATAGGAAGCAATTCCAGCTGTTTGACGCGTATATTTCAGCGCGACGTGGCCCAATGTTACAGTTCAGGAAGAGGCAGCAGTCGGATTATACCTAGGGTGAAAGGTCAAGTAACTCGAATTCACAGTGATTATAAGAGGTGTCTTAGTTCTTGACGTAAAGAAGAAGTTTAGAGTTAGAGAAGCAAAATCTACTTTCCAGGTACATACAATGTGGTGGTTTTTTTGTATATGGTATTTCTTCCGAGCATTATTGACTTGCAATAGAACTACTACGAATACAGGCAATAGAACAAGTTGAGGACAGCACAAAAACATTTCGTAATGAATATTCCTGTGTACATTGATTATTTCCTATTTCACAAGTAATCAAGTCCCATCATCATTGCCAGTATGTATCGTATCGTAGAGCATAAGCCGTATCTCGTGACCCCGTCAATGAGAGGTACCTAGGTAGTTGCCTCTGAAATGTACCTAGGTACAAATAGAGAAAATCATTATATCAAAAACGAGGATTTCATACTATTACTTCACTTATAAGGTTTGTAAGGACCGTATATGGGTTGTATGGTGTTTACTTTTACTATGGTAGAAGAGTCATGGACATCTCCTCATGAAACTAATCTCCTAGTAAACACTTCCCAGTATCCTCCTAGTAACCCATATCCCAATGAGCGAAGACAATACTCCTGTCTTCCCCTTTCACATCCCTATTCCCATCATCCTTCCCTTTTACATTCTATTCATCCTGCTCCTGTTCCTGCTCCTAGGTACTTCTTCTTCGCCTGAGGATAGTGTCTTGTTAAGATTATCTCGCTTGGTTGTTCCGTAAGGGCTTAGTTATTATCATCATCCAATTTTGTTTTGTGATATCCCCAGCCTTGCCCTAGCGACTTTTCTTGTTGTCTTGGCCCCTAAGTAGGTAGCTGTCCCGTTTCTGTAGGGCTGGCCTAGTTTAAATATTCCATGCGGTTAGCGGCGCCATAGTTACAATAATTATTATGCAAGATTGATGAAATACTCACTACCTGCGGAAATCTTCTCTCATGTTTGCAACCCGAAGTAGAAGGTGCAATCTTTGCTGGGGCTTGCATGTAGGCAGTGCTATCCTTGCAGTCCATTATCAGGCAGTCAAGTGCACATATCCTCTGGCTGTGAAAAGTCAGAAGGAAGAAGCATAATAACAAAGGGGGTATTTTTAGGGAGGGGTCTTACCTTAGGATGCATGAAGCATCGCAAAATATTATCGCTTGTCTTGACTTTCATCGAGTCAACCACGCTCCAGGATCAACAGGCCATATCGACTAACAGGCACTACAATCACACCAATCAAACATGCAGACCTCTAGCTCACTTCTCACCAATTCTACTACCCCAAGAGTTTTCCTCCGTACATTAAATCACGTTGCTATGCAATATGCAGTGTCGGGGACACGCTTGACTAACAAGCAAGAGGTGAAGTCGCAGCACAGAAGAGCCATTAGCAGCCACGTGGGCGCTGGTGTTCTGTATAATGCTAGCTTGTGACAGGTACTTCCTCCTAGGGCATTAGAGTGGTCTGAGAAAAGAGATTAACGGAATGATGTTGTTGAGTGACGCAGTAGCTGTAGTCTCAATAACAAGTGATGCTGGGAGTTAGTGGGATGATGACAACTTTAGAAGAGGATGTTAGGTAAGTGCAATGATTAGAATTGAAGGTCAGGAAGGGAGTTACCAGTACTGTTCGAGTCTGTTGTTGTTGTTCCATTGCTTTGTTGACTTGGTCTGTTGCTAGACAACCATCTCGGTTCTTTGCTTTGTTGACTTGCTCTGTTGCTAGACAACCATCTTGATGTGTTAGGGTTACCAAGGGTATTGAATGTTGGTGGTGATGTCTGTTTACGCGTTTCTGAGGGGACGCGAAGGCTGGGTTGTAAAAATGTTTTTTTTACCGCATAAGTTGAAGTTAATAAGTGGTAATGAAGAGAAGCAAATATAGGTAAGTTGTCTCAAGAGTTGGGGTAGTCAAGGTTAACCTTCAAGTGTGAGATGGTGAAGGGAAAGAATAAGGATAGATGTATTACAATAGGTATTGTAATACATGTTTGTAATGATTGATAGTCATGAAGACTAATCAAGGCTTAAAGTTTGATGTTGCCTATGAAGTAGGATGATGATGGTTGTTGTTGTTGTGTTAGGTGATGGGAAAAGTGAGAGGAAAGTTTCCAAGTTGGGGGCGGAGGTGGCCCTGTTTATATAGAAATTCTGGGAGGGCGGTAATCAGTCTGGAAGAATTAGCGTGGCAGAATCAGTCAGATAAAATCAGGAAGGAGCAGTAAGATCAGGCAAGAGCAGCCCGGCAACGGGCAAAAGCGTTGGATTCTGGGGAAGGTGCCCCTTACTTATCAGGAGGTTCCTTCCTCGTCTCCTAGAGAACTTAGAGGCAACTACGATATGTAGGGCAGGTACGCCCACTATGTATACAAATATTGCCCGTGCACATAGATACATACAGTGCACACTTCCAAAGCACCTTCCTCATGCTGATTTAAGTTTCAACATTAAGGTGCTCTTGCCAGGTGAGATTCAGATAGTGACATTGAATAAAGTACGTACCTTATGTACCTGAGAGCTACACATTTTTTTCTAGTCCGTACCTATGTACCTACATGATCCTCGTGCCTGAACGTCTTAAGGCAATACCTAAGGTAGGGGACTCTATGTTGAAATTGTAATCATACCTTAGGTTAGGTACGTAAAATAAGATCAGTAGATACGTACCTACCGACTATCAGTTTGATAGCTACCCCTATTTACATATACATAATTTAATAGTTACCGTATCCAAAGCAAATACCTATTATCAAGGCATCATTTATGAAACTTCATATTCACCATTCTATCAATTTACATGGTATTATGTTCTGTCTTTAGACGAATTATGTGCAACCTTAAATACCTACATGTATTCATAAGTCCTTAGCAAGTGAAGCTACTAAAGTACAAACAAGACCTGTACGTTGGGCATGTATATCGGGTAGTTGCCTTGCAGCAAAAACCTATGATTCAAGCGTAACCCCAAGGTTTCGATTTGTCCGTACCTTCCTCTCGGTCAACTTCTAACACAGCTCATAGACCAGCATGACAGCAACTCCATCAACAAATCCGAATTGGTGTAGTGGCTAACATTCGGGATTCTCGTTCCCGGGCCCGGGGTTCGATTCCCCGATTCGGAATTCTTTTTGAACTTCTCTGATCTGGCACATCGTAGCAGGTATTTTTTATTTGGGCCATCTTTTTCATCGTACCTACTTCCCCTTTCTACTTTACTTAAATGCTAGTTATACATTTTCTAAAATGCAGTTCTCTTACACCTTTTACTTTGTATCTCTAAAGGTTTCGTTGATATATTTACCGTTGAAGACAAACTAAGTTATAGTACGTTATTGCAGGCATATAGCTTTAATTGTGCTCTCAATAGTCTACCAAATTAGTGGGAATACAGGTTTATGCCGTTATATGGCTTATATTAATTTCTAAGACATGTTGTACCGCAAGTTAAAGTACGAGTCTGATACCTATGACGTACGTATATTTCCATTCTTGAAGAACATGGGCTACGAAGCGATTATAAAGACGTGAGAACGTGGTTCCATTTATTGGTTAGAATAATTGGAACTACATAATGGAGCTAACTTGTCGATGGCTTATGGACGATAAAGATGTACCTGATGTATATAAGCCACAAGTGTAGGGGTATGTATTATCAGCCGCTAGAAGACGTTTAGAGGCGCATGGGGACGTTGGACACGCATATCTGTGGCAATATGATAAGCTAATACTAGGTATCCAGTCAAACGCCGAGCTGAAAAGCAAAAAAAAAACCTTTCATCACAGCTGATTATAGTGTGGCGGGTACATACAGTATGTAGTGGCATAACAAATTCACGAATTTCATGTACGTCAGTCAACAAGCTCCGAGCGGAGCGTGTTGACGAAGTCTTCTCTAACCATATTATAGCCATATTATATATTAAGCCAGTAGGGAGTTACCCGCCTGAAGTTAGCTGCTGTTTAATGAGCAGGAAAGAATGAAGAATATATATATATCCCCTTATATCTAGGTATCTACCTAGGTAGCGAATCGTGTATAATACGGAGAAACATAACACCACCTAACCCTTCATTGCATAGAATTCCTTCGGTGGGGTCCTTCCCTTTCGATATGACGGCTTGATAAGGTGTCTAGACCTCTCACATCATTCATTATCGCTAATGGATACCCTGACGGGGCGTAGAGAGATACTCCGTGCCCGAGAACTGAGGGATTCGCATGCATCTACTACTACATGATTGGTTTAGCTATTCTTGGGATCCTCGTACATAAAAACGGTCTCTCCGCCACGTTAATTTGAGCCGAGTTGGCAAATTCTCTGTATTTACTAGGAACAAGTTACCTATCACCATGAAGATGAAAGAGACAATAGAACCAAACATGTCGGAAGCTAGATATAAGCCGAAAGTTCTCATCGTAGGTGCCGGTCTCGGCGGCCTGACCCTCGCCCAGATATTCCGGAAGAATGGAATACCATTTGAGATATTCGAGCGGGACGAGCACGAAGTTGCTAGAACCCAGGGCTGGTCCCTGACAATACACACGTTAGTATCGGCTTCCCAATTATCATAGCTGCATACATTGTCTAAACCATTTACCAAATCGCACAGCATCCTAGAAGAGTTGTTACAGGCCTTCCCAGATGATATGCCCAATCTTAGGGACTATGCTCATCATCTTAATCCCCTTAACTTAGAAACTCAAGTCGTTTTCTATTACCATAATGACCGTCTTGGCACGGAAAACTCCCCTTCTACTCCTACCTTACGCGTCAACCGTCTGCAATTCCGGCAGTGGCTAGCAACCGGTTTCAACGTCCAGTACGGAAGGGTTGCGAAAAAGATCGAAAGGGTAGGCGATAAAATGATAGTCACTTTTACTAACGGTACCACCGCCATGGGCGACATCTTGATCGGTGCGGACGGTGCGAATAGCATTGGTAAGCCCTTTTTCTCTCCATAAATAATTCATAGCAATAAATTGTCTAATACGCGCGCAGTAAGAGAGCATGTGCTAGGAAAGCCTAATAGCGAGGTGCTTAGGAATGTTCCGCTCAGCTCCATAACTGGAGAGACCACGGTGAGTGGTGAATTATTCGCTCGTCAGCTGGAGATCGCACATAGCATGGCTATTATACCAGTTACCAGTGGGGACGGCTGGAACAACCTCTTCATGGGTCTCATCAAGATATCGCCAGACGGCAACTCGGGACAATTCTTCTGGGTTATCGGGTGGCATGATCCTCTCGCTGAGCAAACTGGTCGCGCGGCGGTCAATAGTCTTCCCAAGGCGGAGCGTCTCGAAATCGCGAAGAAGATGACGGCGCATATGGATCCCAAGTTCAGACGCATCATTCATGAGACAACCCCAGAAGAAATTCGAGAAATTGGGTGGATTCCAACGGACTGTCATCTCGATGAGATACCGCTTGGAAGGGCGATTCTACTCGGCGATGCTGTGCACTTGATGCTGCCATTCAAGGCTGAAGGGGGTATGCATGCGATGCGTGATGCACTCCTCCTGGGGAAGCTGATAACCGAGCTCGATGCGTCGGACGATGCAGCTATCTACAGACTGCTCACTACATTCTATGGGGAAGTGCTACCTCGGGGGGCTGAAGCTGTTGAACTCTCCAGATACTTCCAGCACACCTTCAGGAAGGATAAGACGGGTATTAAAGCGTGGGGGCATCCGGTCAAGAGCCTACCGGATGAGAAGCTGGAAATTGGACCTGAAGGGGTCCGTAGCGTAACGAAAGGGATCTGCAAGCTAAACATAGTCCCAAGCATATAACTAGGACATGTAACAATTCCTTCTCTACATCTTCAATATAATATAGAATAGGCACTTGCGTCTTATTTAATGGTTAATTCCATTCATAATCTTTAAGGGTTGTCAACATAGCTGCATTAATCGAAACCCCTAATCGCCTCTCAAAGATAAAACCACCACAAAAAGGGGTTAAGGGATAAAGGGGAAATCCTTCAGCTAAAGATCACCTGTTACCACGGACTCAATTTTACCAAAGCAACAAAATTCGGGACTGTGAGGTCAGGAACTAGATATAGTAATATAGTAATAAAATATTTCAATATCACCGTACAGCTTTGCAGCAGCTAGTTTCGCAACTAACAAAAAGAAGAAAAAAAAAACCTCATATATTCCCTGGGTATTATGTATGCATTCCCACCCCCACCGCGCCACCAAGAATAATAGAAACCAAATCATTAAACATTATCCACGTATATTCCAACATCATCGCACATCTGAGTATATCTCCCGCTCGTCCTCCGTCTTAGTATGCTCTATTGGAACGCCACGTATCTCCTCGCTCGCCGCGTCGTCATTCGCCTCGCTCTTGCGGCCCTGCTCGAGGGCGCGCTCCGCCTTGAGCTGCTTCTCGGTGTCGCCGTGTTTCTTGCCGCGCGCGCGGATCTTGTCGAACGCCTCGCGCGTCAGGTCCTGTCGGAACATGCGCTCCACCACGTCCTTCTTGCGCGTCCGTCGCCCCCCGATGCTGATTAGGATGCCGGCCGTGATGTTCACCGCGATGGAGCAGCTTAGGATCGTCGCCGTCACCGCCATCGGCCGTACGTTGTAGTCGATGCCCCATGTCGTCGCGCCCAGCGCGATCTGCAGGCACGAGTGTACATCCAGCAGCGTTACGATTGCTACCAGCCAGTTCAGGGGGAATGCGTAGTGCGTCTTGGTCTCGTGCGGCTTGTAGAAAGTGTGCGATTTGGCAAACTTGGTCTGGTGATGCACGAGCCGCGCCTCCTGCTGCGGCGACAGAACTGACAGCTCATCGCGCGCCGCCTCAAGATCCGAATTCGTCGGTAAGTCGTTCTTATCGCGTAATTTCCCCATGCGCTTTTTTCTACGTAGCTTCCACGTTAGGCGATGATAATGCGCTATGTAAGCCATGTGGTAGGTGTCTACAGCACGAAAAGGCGCCAAGCCGTCACCGACGAGGCCGAAGAGGGCGACCAGGACGTAGTCGATGATGTTAATGGCGTAAACTTGCTCTTCCCCGACGTAGATCCAACCAATCAAGAATAATACCCAGGCCAAGCCGAAAAGCGTGATAAGAGTCGCATATAGCGTCACAAAAAAGCCAAGGGGCTTCCTGACGTACTGTCCAAAAGCCTTCATACTGCGCTTAAACCGGGAACGTCGTGAATGTAACATATGGCGCACGTAGTCATTAAGCTCATCCTTTTCCTCATCAGTCCACCCGTCTAAGAATACTCCATCAGGGAGAACGGCATGGTCAAAGTTGAACCCTTCTTCTTCTTTATCCTTCTCCTCTCGAATAGTTTCATGTTTAGGCGCTATCGAAAGTTGATATGTTGGCCGCCGGTTGATAAATCTGCCGAGCGATGGCACAAAAAGAGAGTTTTGTATGTTGGTCACGTTGTTGAACGTAGACACTTCAGGATCTGATCAAGGGGTTAGGGTTAGCTCTATGTTCCAACATTTTTATGATTACTTCATAAAGAAAGTACCTACCTATTACATCGAGTAGGTCGGCGATATTTTCATCGAGTTCGGCACGCCCGTTCGGCGTGTGGAAAAGGGCTGTACTAGTCGGTCTCACCTGTTCAGGAATTGGGGGCATACGAGAGCCATTTGTTCCCCCACGAGGTCGTATAATTGCTAAGCCTGGCCGCTGACGGCCTTGGCCCGTAGGATCAGAACTCGAACGACGGCGTCCATTATCTTGATATTCGCGCTGCTGCTGCTGCTGTTGCGACTGTAGAGTTGCCGTCTCTGTCGCTGATCGTTCCAAGTCGTGAAGCTCAACATGCGACTCATTAGACATTATGAGTTTTTAGAAACAGTCATAACGCGTCCATCGAATTTTAGTACGCGAAAATCAGATCTAACTCGGGGCATTCTGATATTAAAAGTCCTTTTAGCACGAGCTACATAGTAGGTTAGAGAACATAGTAGAGAACATATATTGCCCTTAACCACGTTGCTATTAGAATGACATCATACATGTATATCTCGGGTCGGTTCCAGGGATTAAAACCTGGCCGCAACTCTACATAGGTACTACATATGCAGATACAATGTGGTAGTAAAATAGCTTATCGGCCTTATCTGATCAACACTTTACTCCATAAGTGCATATCTCCTTCGCGGCATATATGCAAGATTATCTTCAACTTTCCGATTTGGACTTTAGTTCTCACAAAGCGAGTTTCGTACAACAATTGCGATCATTATTAATCAAGAAATCTTTGATTTCAGCCAAAAACTTCATTTAACAATATATCCATAAGCATGAAAAGTACTACCTAGTACTCGGCCCAAATTTGGATTGAAGTTCTTCTTGTAAGGCAAAATACTCTCCCAACATACGCCATAAACCCCCCTGAAACCGGGTTTCCCCTCGTGACGTCTCCTCGAACTTCACTGGTGCCCTGCGCCGATCTACGCCAACACCGAAGCCCAATGACGAGAATGATCGGATCGAACATGCTAAATCAAGCGGTCTAAAGCCTATCAAGGCGTTTATATGAGACATTCTCTAAAAAAGAATATTACTTAGAATACATCCCAAAAGGAGATAAATTCAAATCATAGGTACTCACCGGAAACACGATATTCACTTAATATCTCCGATAAGCAACTCGTAACTATGGATCGTCTATCGCATCCGCTCTTCGCGCCCATCGAGCCAGCTAGTGCAATTCACACACCGGATTGCCTAAATCAGTCAGACCCATCGGTCCCTAGTGGCTAGCTACCTCTTAGGGTCAAAATCACATACCTTTGCGCCAACACTCTTTTTGCAGTATCGACACTTGACGGTATGCTTGATGATAGGGTCGTTCGACAGGTACTGGTACAAGCTTGCTAGGCCGTACAGGGCTAGGCCGAGACCTAGGAAATTGATGAACTTGTTGAGAAATACACTAGTTGACGAAGTTAATGATCGGGAACCCGTTGTCAACAACGAGGGCGTTTGACTATCCGTACCCATAAGCTAGAATGACGGCCCCGTCACTCTGCGCCTGATCTAGGGTGTTGTAGCCATCTTGGTCGTTATAATTCGGCCCTGGTCTCAGCACCGCGAACTTCTCGCCCATGTTTCTTCGTAGTGGGAGGATGATGGAGAGTGGAGGGAGAAGTATATCGCTCACGAGCGAGGTGGTGACGGCTGTAAATGCCGTTGCTAGGCTGCAGAGGCGAGAGTCAGTGGTCCGTAGCCCCAAGCTCTAGACGGGCTCACCGACATCAAACCGAACGCAATTTCAAGAATGTTGCCCGAGAAAGCGAATTCGATGAAGTCGGAAAAGACGCGCTGCACTTTTTCCTCGCCTTCTCGGAGCAAGGTCCGTCGCTCCTCTTCCGGCTCGGGGCTCTCGTTGAATTCCCACGGACGAGGCATTCTCAAGTGTTGTAGTGTAGTATATAGGGATTCGAGGTGGTAGCTTATATACGTATATTACTCTCCAAAAGTTGCCTTGAGATGGCGGCGAGTAACGAGGTTGGTCTTATAGGATTACAAGTTCGGATTACGGTGGTACGGTGTTGTTTCGCTTGTGCTATTTCAAGCAAAACTAACATTACTTAGCTCGGGTGCAACTTCAGTCTTTCACGGACCGAGAACTCAGAACCCAATAAAATGGAAGCTGAGAAGGAGCCCTTGGGATCTAGTGTAGCACAACGAGTGGCGTTTCCATTGGCAGCCGATCTTTCACTTATCTTGGGACGGCGTCACATGCACCCCATACCATTACATCCTAAGCCCAAACCATTTACTCACCTACATAGGTAGTGTAAGTGCAGATACAACAAATGCATACTAACGATTATTCCTAACTGGATTTGCTCAATTACTCTTACATCTCTTTCTATCATAAAGCTCCGCCCTTAGCATGTGCCGTGGTTTTGTGTTACCAGAATTTATTTTTAGAGTACAACTCTGCGGTGTTACTCAGTTACCTAACATACCAAAACAGTCAACTAGCGCCAGAGATCAACGAAAACAGCCACCTCGACACTGTCTAAATCTAGGTAACTAACAACTACATACCCACTGCTCATTAGGTCTCGAGTCATCTACCGGATCTAACCAACCAACCTATGTAACTACCCGCTCTAAGCACCCATTGCGGGTCGCCGTAAACTCCACGTGCCGCCGAATTCGTCGCCTAGTGCGCGCAGCCTTTTTCGGTGTTCAAATGATCGCCATATGTAGTATACTACCGGTGGACCTGTTACAGCCAAGCCGAGTTAAGCGCAGTCTTGAATAATTAGACTGGGTGCGAACCATGGATACTAGGAGCGGTGGGCGGCACGTCGAAAACGAGGATAGTGAAGCTCTTGGTTATCATCGGGATGCTTGAGCACTTACTTAGTTCTTAAAACTATAATAAATGTAGGGGATTCGTGGGAAAACCACCAGGATATTAAGGGATGTATAGTTGCCTATATATCTCCTACATATAATATTTAACCCAGAAATTAGAAAACAGAGAAGATTAGGTAAGAAGACGTTAGTTAGTTAACTAAGCTGTTAGACTTGGGAAGTTTATATTGAATTACCTAATTACCCCATTACTCCATTACTCGTTTACCCCACTATACTTCACATGTCTGAAACGCCTAATTGAACTTACAAGGCCTCTAGAGTTGCTTACCGTTACCTCGGTGAGTTTCCCGATGTAGAAACGCTGATTGGTTCACATCCTATTCGAGGGAATACGATCCCGTCATCAATAGGATCCAATACGATACAATACAAATATACTGTGTAGCTATGTAAACGCATTCCTACCAATCAATAGCTGTATCGTTTATATTTTATACAACTCTGCTTACATGGCTCCCGGCTCCCTCTCAACTACATACAAAAGCTATTTTCGAAGCTTCATCTCATTCCAACTTAGACCAAACCGTTCAACGACATATGATAGGCCAGGCTATGATACACATAGACGGGTGAAACATTCTTCACTTAAGTTGACCTACAATCAGGTTATTTCATAAACCCCAATTGCTCTCACTACCAACCAACTGCCCACAATGGGAGACATCAATATTGTTGAGGGCACATTCGAGGTTGACGGCGTGAGCCTGCACACCAAGTCCTGGCTCGTACGTTACACTCTCTTATATATTAGGTACCTATACCTACCTAAGCAACCGAAAAACTAACACTCCCCCCTAGCCCTCCGGCCCGCCCAAAGCAAAACTCGTCGCTGTCCACGGGTTCGGCGACCACATCGACCGGTACTACGAGCTCTTCCCGTCCCTCGCGCGCCGGGGCATCGCCGTGCTAGGCTTCGACCAGCGCGGCTGGGGGAAAAGCGTGCGGCGCCCCGCAGACCGCGGGCGCACCGGTCCCACGGCCACCGTGCTAGCAGATCTCGCAGCCTTCATCCGCGAGAGAGCCTTGAGTCCCTCCCCCCCTGCCGACGACGTCCCGGTGTTCGTCCTAGGCCACTCCATGGGCGGCGGCGAGGTCCTAGCTCTGGCCAGCACCCCCGCGTTCGACGACGTGGTTTCCCGGATCCGCGGATGGATCCTCGAGGCGCCGTTCCTGGGGTTCGCGCCCGCCGTCCAGCCGCACCGGCTGACGCTCGTGTCGGGCCGCCTGGCCGCGCGCGTCGTGCCCAAGTTCACGCTCGTGCGGCCGGTGCCGCCGGAGCATTTGTGTCGGGACCCGGCGGTGCAGGCGAGTCTGGCGGCGGACCCGCTGCTGCACTACACGGGCACGCTGGAGGGGCTGTCCGGCATGATCGATCGCGCGGAGGCGCTATTGTCGGGGAGGCTGAAGCTGCGGCCGCGCGTGCGCGCCGTGTTCCTGGCGCACGGCACCGCGGATATGGTGTCGAGTTACGATCGCGCGCGGGAGTGGTGGGAGCGCCAGGGGAAGAAAGTCCCAGATGGGAAGTTCAAGCCGTACGAGGGCTGGGCGCACCAGTTACATGCCGACCCCGGGAAGGAGGAGTTCTATCGAGACGTGGGAGATTGGATACTAGAGAGGTCTGGTAGTGACGACGGGAGAAGCAGACCTGAGTCTAAATTATGACGAGTTGAAGAAAGAAAAAAAAAAGGGGGGGGGGGGAAGGTGGTGATAGTTTATGGCGGCTGGTTGTAAGGCTAAATGTATATTATACCACCATCAGGGTATTCTATTATCTTGCATGACTGAAGACGAGTATGTATATCTATGCATGTATGTATGTGAAGAAAGACGATTAACTATTTGGGAAATAGATATGAGAGATAGACGTACGGGTACACTGGATCCTCTCATTTCCATAGTATAGCTAGCTGTGTACTATTTATGTAGGCACGCGAAAATATGTGTTATAAGTAAACCTATTAATACTTTCTAGCCATGCTATCGAGTTTATTCAGTGCTTGATAGCACGTCAAACATGCCTATCTTCAGTTCGCATCAACATGTATCTACTTCAGGTGCCCCCGTAGCAACGCAGTCTCCAGGCAGCCAGATACATAATTACATGTACCCAAAGTAAACTTATAAGGCGCATTAACAATCATTCCATCACTCCTGACCTGAAAATTCATTAGCCAAAGAGGCCGTGGTCTAGTGGTTTGAAGGTACGACGGCGTAGATAAAATCCCGTGTGGTTTTTCGAAGGTATTTCCAGGTTCGAGCCGGCGGCAGGGCGGCAGGGCGGCAGGGCGGCAAGATTGGCCTGCTTGTTCTGGTCAAGTGTGCGCAGCTCGAATCTGGGGCCTGCTTTTTTTTTTTTTTTTTTTTTTCTTCTTTCTCCCTTTTTTGGTCTTGTTGAATTTCGGTTGCGTTTGTACCCTTTAACGACCGCTATTGAAAACATCAATAAGTCTAAATAAACTTATTTCTCTTCCTGTTATTCTTACTAGTAGAGCACAAAATCAGTTTTCCCATATCACGTTCAGTGTGTATCTTATACTCTCCCCGTTAGTGATAAAGACATCAAACGGATAATGGGGTAAGTATTGCAAATATCTATCACCCTCAGGGGCTATAGGGCTCGAAATCCCATCCCTTTGACTTGATAAACTCCTATTATAGCGATAGCCCTAGTTGCAACATAATTTTCGTGGCCACAATTAACACCATCTTCAATTTGATCAATAGGTCATCATTAAGAAGTTTAGACCGCAAACGTAATCATCGCGTACATCTTTCTTCCGGCGGACGCCATTCAAGTCCAAGCCTCTCAAAAACCCGCTTCTCTGCCGTGAGCATATCTGGGGCTGGACCGTTCGCGTCACTCTCGAGATCTACCCAGCTTCCGTCTGTCTGACTCCGTACGCCGCTACTATCGAACCTGAGAGCCTTTTCATGCTTGCAGTATCTCCGAAGATCTCGCTGGAACGTCGTGCCCCCCGTCCAACCAATTACGGCACAGCCCGCCGTCTTCCATGGACTGATAATGATGTCAACTCTCCTATGGGGATTCGGGTTCTTGGATGATGCGGTCTTGTCCCAGTGTGGATTCTGCCACACCACTAGGGCTTTATCCAGGGTGTCAAATCCAGCGCCTGCTTTACGGTCCTGTCCCTTCCACGACACTGGGGTCTGCCCACGCTCGCTATTCTTGGTGCTCAGAACGAGCGTGTGAGTTATATGCTCATCCTTCTCAAGACTGTTGACAATAGCCACGACAGAGTCAACGGTGGCGACTGCATCGGGGTGGCTAAGGACAATATCAACATCGCTGCTTTCGCTCTTACCTCTTCTATAGCCTCCGGCAATAACCATCTCGAAACCCTTGTGGATCTTATTAGCGTGGTTTAGTATAACTTGCCCGATTTCCTCAACTTCGCGGCGAGGTAATTTCTCCTGTAGTTCGTCATAGTACTTGACACCGATCTGTTGAACTCGGCTTAGACTATCCCACCCGTATTCAATGATGTCGTCGAGATCTCGCCATCCTTTATTATAGAACTCTCGAGCGGTAGTATCTGCGACGCCCCATATATTGTAGAATAATTGCAGTGCGGTCATTTTCGGGTCCTTCTTTGCCTCTTCAACTTCTTCCAAGTATCCATTCGCTTTCCATTGTTGATATAGCGTGGCAATTTTATCGCCACAGCCAGGTAGTTTGGCCACTTCTGCAATCGAAGTTAGATGAATCTATGCTGCATTAAGGACTTTTTGAGTGCTCACCAGCTGAGTGCGAAATGAGATAAGGGTAAGCTGACAAGGAGGCGATACTTGTAGAGTAGGCTCTGACGCCTATCTTGTCACCCTCGAGGGTTCTGAGCGTCCGAATCTTTTCTAGCTCGTCGATAAAAGACTCGTTAGGGGGGCTTGCAGGGGTTGGACGCTGGCAAGAGTAAGTCGTGTGTAAATAGTCTGGAATCGGTGGCATGTGTGAGCGACCCTCATCCTCTTCCGTCGATTCGTGGATTAACTCAGGGCGTTTTGTATGAGCAGATGTTCTGTAATGCCGTGAAATAGACGCATAGGCATTTGAAAAGCCTCCTCTTGCAGTAGAGCTTCTGTCTCCTCCTTCTTGCCGAGCACGTCTAAGGATATCATCAGGGTTCGGCGGAGGTTTGTTAGATATCTTTTGTATTCTGCGACCTTGATATATCAAATACTTATCTATTGGAAGTATAGAGTCCTGGGCCAAGCAGTCGATAAACCAAGACAGTTTTACAACTCTGACGATAGGGTTGTCGTCTTCGTCTGTGGTACCCCCTAACTTCTGGTCTTCCCAACTAGCCTTACTAAAAGTACCCACGCCATCATCAAGGCTCTCTTCTTCGGATCCAGGCGTCCGTCTATAATCACGCGTGATTTTAGAAGAGACTGAGCTTAAGAGCTTTCTTCGCTTTTGTGGGGGAGATGAGCCACCTGTCTGCGTCTCTGGAATAAGGGGAGGGGTGGGGGATAAATTGATATCTTCAGTCAGAACGCTTCTTCGCCTTAGTTCGAACTTTGCCCTTTCCTTATTAGATATTTTGCCCAGGATGATACTAGACTCATCGATGTCATGGGTCAAAGTAGGTATTTTACTCTCCAGTTCTGGCAACTCGTCAGGTTCGATATGAGTAGGTAATAGATAGATAGGCGGGAAGTTGAGAGGCATTTTATTTACGTCTTGTTTTCAACGTTCTTATAATGTCCCTTGGCGTAGGAACCTTCTGACGATATTGAAATCGTTTATACATGTCTTGGCTACATGTCTTATTTAATGCAGTCTCTGTGATGATATTGGCGAGATTGGCAAAATGTCATTGAGTGAATAAATATGCTGGTGTCAACCTTGTCCTCGACTCCTCGTTAACCTTTTGCCTTATAAGAATGTTTGCAGAACTCCCAGGGAAATTCGGAGAAATAATCTAGAGTAGGTTGTATTCGAGGAGACGTCATTATGTGCTATTCAGTTTGCAATTCTTACAAATATCTAGTGCCTTCCCATTTACAAATGTAGGTACCTTATGTACTTAAATGTAGTGTACATTTAGTATTGGCATGTGACGTAAGCTAAATAATTGGAATTTGTAGACTAGGTGGGTGCTGCGATGAAAAGATAGCGGAATCGGACAAACAGAATATCCGAGAAATGACGCCCGAGGCCCGATACCTAAGAAGTACCTCTTAGGTAATATCCGTACCTGACTTCCTCAACTTCTCCAATCGCTCGAGGCCGTTCGACATCCCTAGAAACGCGCAACGCGAGACGACCATTAGGATTTCCCAATTCGTAATTTAAATCCTATAAGGCAGGCTGGTTGGTTCATGGGCCAAATTTTCGATTCTAATCCAGCATGCCAATTTGTAGTAGTCTTCCTTGAGCGAAACGTCCGACGGAACCTTCGCACGGAACATCGCATGTTGCCTCTCGCTTTGTCCTCTTAGATATTCTACCATTACCAACTTCCTACAGGTCAACAACTGGCAATACCTGGCAATAACTGATAAATGATGGAAGCTACATTCACTATCGTTTTTTAAGTGGCTTTGTCTGCCATTTACCCATCCGTCTACCACTAATTCTATTCTTTTTTACATTTTACATTTTCATATCTTCCGCATCCCCATCCCATTTTCTCATCTTATCGCATTCGGCTTCTTCAACTTTTCCGTCGCGATCGAATAATCCAACGACCTACACTTTCACCTACCTTTTGCGCCTATCCCTCCAGCATCTTCCGTCATCATGGATATGGTACAGACCCTAGTGCGCTCTGTCGTACGCGCTTTCTATACCAATCCCGAGGACCGTAGAATGATTATTATCATTGACGCATTAGTCCGCCATACAACTTTGCGCGACGACGACTTGTCTTACTTAGTGCACCTCAATGGGAAAGATTTGCACAGGGTTTGCGGCAAGCTAAAGGAAGATCACTTATTGCAGATGTACGGCTACCTTTATTGGCCCTTCTTCCTTAACACTTTATTGAACTAATTGCTATTGTCATAGCCATATGAGACCTGAGCTCGAAAAAGACAAAGATAAACCACGAAATCGAACATACTATTACATCGATTACCGTCAGGCCATCGATGCTATCAAGTATAGAACTTTCCTACTCGATAAGAAAGTTCAAGGCGAATCAACCCCCCAGCAGGAGAAGAAGGAATACTTTTGTCCCCTTTGCAAGGCCGAATGGACTATGCTCGATGTTGTTGACAATAACGATCCTGTTCGAGGTTTTCTATGTCACCGCTGCAATACCGTCCTAGTTTTTGACCCCGATCGTGAGGCTGGTGGTCACGAGCTCTCCACTCGGCTAAACAGTCAGATTAAATTCATCCTCGAAGTCCTGCCGAAGCTCGACACCATCACTATTCCCGACGCCGACTTCGAGACTTTATATTCTCAAGCTGCTCCTGTCTACCGCGATGAAGCTAACAGGGTCGCTCCTTCGATCGCCGTCGAATCTCTCGGAAAGCCAACCGCTGTTAAGGGTATGGCGAATACCGGTCCACAGACTATTGCGATCAGCATTACGGACACGGAGGGCCCTACCGAAGCTGAAAAGGAGGCTGAACGCGCCCGTAAAGAGGAGGTTGCTCAGATGAACGCATTGCCCGAGTGGCACACCCGAAGCACTATCTCTGGTCTATCATTTGGCGGAGGTACCAGCTCAACCTCGGCAGTTAAGACGGATGACGACAGCGTCAAAATGCCGGACGAGTCAGCCGGTGACGCTAACCACGATAAAGCCATGGAGGAGCTATTCAAAACATTACAGAAGTCTCAGGCTGAGGAAGCTAGGCGCAAGGCTGAGAAAGAAGCCGAGGAAGATGAGGAGGACGGCGAGGATGACGAGGAGAGTGAGGATGAAGAGTTCGTGGAAATCTCCGCAAATATCAGCTCTATCGGCGAGAAGCGCCTCGCTTCGAGCGGTCCCACTAGTGCTGCCGATACTCCCACCTCGGAAGATAGGCCTTCAAAGAAGGTCAAACTGGCGGAGCCAACCAACGGTGGCGAAAGCGAGGATGAGGAGGATGAGATGCAATTCGAGGACGTCTAAGCAAAACTAATAGGATTTTATGTATGTTGGGTTCGCGGGCACTAGGGTCAAGGAAAGGGGGGGCACGAGAAGCATATAGGAGTGCTTCCGTGAGATTACGATACCCTAAGTATATATGTATAGGAAGGCAAGGCATAGCGTATTGTCTTTTTGATTTTTGAGGGTTTCAATCCCCGCTAGATAGATAGGTTAGGTATGCATGGGCGAGGCGTCCAAAAATGAATAGCAAACAGTTGCATTTGGATTTCTAGAATTGGCTGCAGACGTGAAATAAAAAGCCCAGATGATACCGTGTGAACGACACGACACGGCACATACCTACCTACCTATCTACACCGTTCCGGAGGAATACGTATGGTACAAATAGGGGGTTTGGGATATTGTTAAAGGTATCTATCTTCAGCGTAACAATGCTTCGGCAAAGCCCCTAACCTAGCTATGATTCGAGGCTCGCCATCCACGCTAACACGAACCACCACCCATTACTAGTCATTCGTGAACCCGTCCCTCGTGGCATCCCTCTCCCGTAGAAATATCTCTTTCTTATAAAAACCGACTTGGATATTACACGTATTTACGCAGCTAAGAACGAGAAGTTAGCATAACAGGAACTATATAAAGCCAGGGGAGGCACAGAGCCGAGGGAGCAAGACAAAGAAAGAGTATAGGGTTAAATAAAAGTAACGAGGGGAAAGGGGGAAAACTTACATCTAAGGTCAGCGTCCTTGAGCTATTCACCTCTTGGTCCCTATACACGCCCACTAGACTCTCGCTATCTTGGAAAAGCCCTGTCTTGAGACTGATGACGATAAACTGCATTCCAGGGCCGGCGTGCTCGCGGATGTAGTTCTTGATCTTGTCGACGTTGGCGTTATCGAGAGCGGCGTCGACTTCGTCGAGAACAAAGAAGGGGGAGGGCTGATAGGAGTGGATGGCAAAGAGCAGGGCAAGGGCAGCCATCGTCTTCTCGCCACCGGACAGGTGCTCCATATCGCGAAAGCGCTTCAGCGGCGGCATTGCGTGGTATTTGATACCCGATAGGTACGGCCGGTCTGTGTCTTCTTCGATGTCTAGATAGGCCTGGCCGCCGAGGGGATACTGTTCCGACCTCGTGAGGTCCTTATAGACATGCTCGATCTGCTCCCGGATGTGTGTGAACGCCTTGTTGAACAACTCGAAGCGCTTAGCTTTGACCTCGTCGAAGGCTTCCTTGGCGGCTTCGTATGCCGCTTTTGACTCGTTGTAATCCCTTTCTGTGGCCTTGAGCCGCGCTTCAACAACTTCTAAGCGTTCTATTGCTCGCATATTGGGGTTTAGTTTTTCCAACTCTGCGGTGAGAGATGCTATCTTCTCTTGTAGCTTCTCCTCTATGCCCTCATCGTCCGGCTATCTAAGTTAGCGTCTACCCTTGTTAAGTTTCAATCACCAACTTACATTCTTCAGATCGTCATCCAACTGGTCGAAGTCAATTTCGATACCGTAATCGTCCATAGCGTTATCCATCATCTCGGCGTCGTCACCGTCATCCACATCCATAGCTTCTGGGTCTTGGTGCAAAAGGTTGTCTTCGTTTGGAAGATTGTCAAGCGATCCTGAAATTAGGGGGATATTGATCTGTTCCAGTCGACATCGTCTTAATAAAGCAAACTTCTCAGCACTGTTCCTCCGAACCTCTGTCTCTAGAGTGCTGATTGCTTTTTGTCTACTTTCAATATCCTTGCATCTCTTTTGCACTTCCGCCTTAGCTGCGTTGACTTTCTCGGTGCGTTTGGTAAGCTCAGCCTTGTACTCATCCAGCTGCTCTTGTAGAGCTTCGAGGTTATCCTGGTCATTTCTCATCGCTTCCTCGATCGCCTTCTTCTCCGCTCGATAGGATTTGATATCTTCGGACAACTGCTTCAGTCGGTCCTCAAGGTTATGAAGCCTGTTCTCGGTATCCTTGTATCTTGATGTCTCCCAGCTCTTATTACTTTCTAGTCTTGATCTTTGGAGGTCAAATTGCGTGCGCTTCTCATCAGCTTCTTGTTCGAGGCTACCTTGCTGTGCTTCGTAGGCTCGTATGTCGGAATACCCGAGTCGTTTGCAGAAGTCGGCGAAGATCTTGTCTTCTACCTCGGCGATTGCAGACTTGAACTTCTCGACCGACGCTCTAGTTTTCTGCAAATTGTTTTCTTCATCCTTGAACTTGGGCAGCCACTCCTTAAGTTGGCGCTTGACGTGCTCCAGCTCCTTTTTCTTGCTGGCAAGATTTTGGTTGAAAGCAGCTAATTCACTGTTAGCAAATGCTAACTGCTGATCAAGCCCCGCGAGCTCATTCTGCAATGACTCCTCTGCTACGCCACGTCGATCGGCCCTGGGTATCTTCTCAATTTCATCCCGTAATTTATCCGCCATCTTCTGTAGATTTTGAACGTCATGTTCTTCGAAACGACGTTTGTTCCCCTTATTATCCTGGACTCGTCCACCGGTCATCAAGCCCGCCTTGTGAATAACGAAGCCTTCCAAAGTTACGGCCTTGACTTGAATCCTGCGTTCGTAGCAAACATGCTTCGCGATATCCAGTGTATCGCAGACAATCGAGCCACCGCAAGCGTAGGACATGGCACGCTCGAGGGACGAGTCAAAATCGATGGCGTCAATCGTCAAGCGGACACCGGAAATACCTTTGACAGCAGTATTCACCGTGTTGACCTTGATGTTGTCTAATGGGATGAAAGTCATTGGCGGGAAACGCTGGTCTTTCAAATATTGCACACACTCGACACCGGTTTTCTCGGCATCGACAATAATAGAGTCAAAATCGCGCCCGAGTGCGGTGATGACGGCTTCATCAAACTTCTTTTGTTTCGGCTTGCATAGCTCGCCGACTCTCCCCTTGACACCCGGGTAGATACGCTTTAGCGAGGTGACCATCTCTTTTATTCGCGTCTCCTTGTCGTTTTGACGTCTCCCATCGTCTGCTTCTAATAATTTGCGTAGAACGTCTTGAAGCTTCTCATCGAGTTCAGTTCGTCTCTGGTTGGTCCTAACCCTTTCTGACTGAATTTGATTGAATTCCTTCTTCTTGGCGTCCATCTCGCTCGAGAGCTGCCTTACAGTAGCTTCGGTGGTGCGTTTTCGCTCTTGAATAGCTGCTAACTCGGCCTCTAGTTTTTCTACGGCAGCTTGATAGCCGTCAACCTTGCCCTTTAGGCTATTTACGGTGACTTCATCAGTTTTTAGCTGTCGATTGAGGTTTTCCAACTTGGCTATATTCTCTGCAGACTTATTCAAAGCTTGCGCCCGAAGAGTGTTGTATTCCTTCCGGTCGGCATCGCTTAGCTCCTTTCCTTGCTTCTTCATCGTCTCTTTCCACTGGTCCTCGAATTGCTTCTGTGCTTTTTGAACTGTGGCCAAGTCCTTCTCGATCTTGGCGATCAATTTGCGCTGCTCGTCGCGTTCTTTCCTGACGCCCTCGATCCTGTTTCGGATTGTTTCGGCCTGAGAACTTGTCTGCTGCACTTTTTCCTCTATGGGGATGAGACTGTTTTCCTTCTCCTCGATCTCCTTTTCTTGTCGCTTGATTTGTCGCTCTACCCTATGGACCTCCTTTGCGGCATCAGCCTGCTCCTTGCGAGCAGCTTCAAGCTGCCTTTCAAACGCTTCGACATTGCGCCGGAACTCCTTGAGGTTTTCCTGGTGATCCCGGATCTTAGCACTGGAATCATCCATAACCCGCTGAAAATGGTATAGCTTCCAGAGGATGTGGGTAACGATAGCCGCATCGCGTTCTTCCGTCTTCCTCTCAAAATTCTCAGCTTCGCGTTTTTGCTCTTGATACTGCTTAATTTCGGAATTGATACCACGTCGCCTCTGAAGCTGAAAATTGGCATTCTCGGCGGCTCGGTCTGCTTCGCTTTGCAGTCTCTCGTATTCGGCCTTATATTCCAAGCTGCCTGAAATTTGCTCGATTAGACGAGTTAAATCCTGGGGAGACTGAGCGGCGATAGCTTCAACATCGCCCTGGAAGACAAGGAAGTTCCGGGCCTTGATAAGAATATTCTCGGCTTCGAGGGCCTCGTTATACTGCTGAGCCGTGACGACGCGGTCGTTGATGCGGTATTCGCTCGAACCCTGATTCGTAATGCTGCGCTTCCATCGCTGCTCATCACCAGCATCATCCTCATATACAGCCATAACCCAAGCGGTTTTGGGGTCACCGCGAGCCGGTTTATCGTTGTCGTCGCCATTAACGTGTCCATTCGTATGTCCATTCGTAGTCGGCTGGGCAGCCGAACCATCATCATTGATCTTGGACGTCTTAAGGACTCGGCCGCGGTATACTAAATCTTTTAGGTGGGTAGAACGTAGATGCGACGACTTGATACCCAAGACGAAGGAGATGGCGTCCATACTATAGAGTCAAGTTAATATGGAATGCGCAGGAGTCGATTGCGAAACAGGACGGGGTAGAGCATACGAATTGGATTTGCCTGATCCATTTGGGCCGATGATGGAGGTAAAGTACGAGTCGCCAAAAAGAAGGGTATGATGGCCCTTATAGGACTTGAAGTCTTGATGCTATTAGTTTTTGTCGCATATTCAAAGCTTCTCGCAGGATAGTATAGTTATATAATACGTACTGAATAGCTCAAGACGAATGAGTTTACCCATCTTGGCTTAATTGGTGAAAGGCTTATCTAGATTATAGATTATCTAGAATACGTGGTGGGTTAATGTTGGTTGGATGAGGACGCGACGCGAGACAATAGTGTATGCGAAAAGAGGATCCAGCGTCGCTAAGCGGCTTTGGATCCGGTTGCGATTTCAGTTATGACATTTCAATGAAGGGGTGGAAGGGTATATTAAGACTGAGCGCCTCGGCGCATTGAAGGTATCAGTAAGTGTACCTTGGGATGTAAGTAATAGTAATAGTTATTATGTACGTGGGTTGATACTATGTAAGTTCCAAGGTTCGGGTATCACGATAATATGTGCGATAATATGTACGCCCATACTTTTTCCACGCTTTACGGAAAGTGTAAGACGCGACTGTACATCGGTACGGACGCGGGGACTTTTCCTTTCAGCCTTTCCGATCCAGGATTAGCGCGTACAGCCCACTTACAGTATGTGTCAGCCATACCATAGCTCAATTCACCAATTAGCTTATACATCGCAGATATACGTTATAAATATACCTGTTATAAGCATCATTTTTTTAATCTACCCTTCTACCTAGTTTCATAAATCAAATGAATTCACCAAAAAAGGTCAAGGAAATTGAAAGCTAACCCGAGGCATCAAATAGTCAGATGTCACGTTTTTATGTTGAATACTGCTAACATACCGTATCTGAGTTGAGTCAACTAACCTAGTGTACTTCGTAGATTTAGTATTAGCTCTCTAGTCTAGAATTCAGGTGTCATAAATAAGGTTGACTATAAATGCCCAATGGCGTCATCATCATACCTACCTCTCAGGGTCTTAAGCTATCAACGACTTATCATATCTACCCCGGGAACATAATCGACAGGTAACAAGTTTAAGTCGACCTATTTCTTGATTTCCCCTTTCACCTTTTTGTCGCTTTACAAAAGACACAAACCGAATAACATGCCCATCAACGAAAACCGGTTGCGTCCTCTATAAATCGAACACGAATCAAAAAGAGGATTCGATTCCAGCTCTGAAATTGATCTTCCCAGGGGGAGGGGGTCAAATACTTGGAATACTTACACACACATATATATATATAACCTAACCGTTATATATGTCTTAGAGTCACACCCATTCTGCAGTTGACGGTTTTGGAAGATCTCACATTAATAAGAGCCGCTTTAGTTTCGTCCAACCACAAGTCGCGCTCGGCACACGTCCTTCAGAGAAAGCCACTTACAGGATCAGAATTTCAGCATTTCCACCCACCTGCTTTTTTATACTTTTCCCAACTTCGACAAGACCACATCTTACCTCAATACTAGGACACAATCACAAGCCTCTAAGTGTCACGCCGTCTCACCGCGTGTCTATCATCGCCTACCAAAAGCTGCATGCGTTCACTGTCTGCCTATCTTCGCTTCTTTCTTCGTTGCCTCTAGCTTCAACCCGTTGTCGGCTTCTTATTTAATTGGACCGGGTCCTAATATCGCATCCACTTGGACGCACAAACGGTCAAGGCGAAGCCGTCTTCTTCGGACTAGCAAGAGAATAATAATAATTATTGGCAATCCCCTCCTCTTGTTGTAAGTTTGCATTCGTTGTTCCCCTCCCGGACCCTTCCTCATTGTTTACTCGGCGATGGCTGACATATTGGTTTTAAGAGGAGCCGAAGCTCTTCGCAGAGTGTCTTTCCGCAACGATATTCAACGATTCCCAATTCGCACCCTTGCAGAAATGGCCGATTCCAGCAGATTAGCACCCTCCAAGTCGGAAGATCCCCATACTGACGATGAAAATGCTCTAACTCCCGACGATACTACGACCCCATCTCCATCTCTAACTTCGTCGCCTCACCAGCATCCTGTGGTCGATCCACACAACCTAGGCGATGCCTCTAACAGCCCTCGAATATCGAGGAATCCTTCCTTCTCGGGAAGTAGTTCCTATCATGAGGATTGGGATTCGTATCCTCCTCTAGACAGATTGACTGTCCTTGACCTTCTCGACAATTTCGCCCTACCACAGCAGTTAGAGAAGCTACAAAGAGGAATATCAGCACAAACAGAGAAAGTCCGCAAATCGCGAGCCGCTCTTAAGAATAGAGGCCAGGTTGCCAAGGAACGCATGGTCGAAGAATGGCGACGAAGGGTACCCTCGGCTGATGAGCAGTTGGAGAGGTATAGAAAGCGCATGAAGCAGAGTGTAGAGAAACTCGGCCGCCAATGGAACGATACCAAGGTTATTACGTTGCGCGAGAAGGTCTCGTTCATCGGTGGTGTTATGAACATTTTTATCAGTGGTTACTTGTTGGGCGCTTACCCTGAGTACTTCCACATCTGGTACACGGCCCAGCTCGTCTACTACATGCCCATCCGTTTTTATACCTACAGGCGACGCGGCTACCATTATTTCCTAGCCGACCTGTGTTACTTCGTCAACCTACTACTTTTCCTCAGTCTCTGGGTCTTCCCGGCATCTAAGAGATTGTTTATTGCTGCGTACTGCCTGGCCTACGGAAACAACGCCGTGGCTATTATAATGTGGCGTAATTCGCTCGTGTTCCACGACTTCGACAAGGTCACATCCCTGTTCATCCATATTATGCCGTGTGTCACGCTGCATTGCATCGTCCATCTATTCACACCCGAGCAACAGCGCGAACGATTCCCTGCTCTCTGGACCATCAAGAACTCTCCACCGGGCTCCCCAACCGCATACGGTAATCTCATATCGATGCTCGCTTGGTCCACGATCCCCTACACCGTCTGGCAGCTCTGCTACTACTTCTTCATTACGGTCCGCCGCCGCGAAAAGATCGCGGCCGGCCGCCCAACGTCGTTCACCTGGTTGCGCCGCTCCTACTCCAAGACCTGGATTGGCAAGATCGTGCTCTCCCTGCCAAACACCTTGCAGGAGTTCGCCTTCATGATGATCCAGTATTTATACGCCGTGCTAACCATGCTGCCCTGTCCCTTGTGGTTTTATAGTCGTTGGGCCTCAGCCGCCTTCCTCATTGTGGTCTTCGTGTGGAGTGTATATAACGGCTCCACGTTTTACATCGATGTCTTCGGCAAACGCTTCCAGAAGGAGCTCGAGGCCATGAAGGCTGAAGTTGCTAAGTGGCAGAACAGCCCTGATGGACTCGGATCGCCTTCGATGCTTCCCACGCCCGCGCCAGATGCAGAGCACAAGCTCGGCGTAACTGATACCGAAGAAGGTGCTGAAAAAGCCGTCCGGGTTCAGGACCCCGCCAGCGGCCGGCGGTTGAGTGTTGACGACATCCCATTGTTACACGATGAGAAGCCAGCCCAGGACAGCGAGTCTCTTAATAAGAATGATTCGACGGCTAGCGGGATCGACGAGCGTAATAACGACACAATACGAGCAAGGAAACCTAACGAGGTAATCTCATAATGGGATGATAGAATCATGACTATTGGATATAATTCCCACTTGAGCTTTTTTCAAGAAATTCTTAAGATATCAGATGAACGACTTGATGACCTCGACAGGTCAATGGAATAATCGGCCAGATTCCATTTCCTTAGCCTAAAACCACAACGCCAACTTCTAGTCCGGCCGAAGTCCGGGCGATACCTTAAGGCGCTCACTTGTTTCTCGATATATACATGTCACCGTCTTTTTTTATACCTCTTCCCCTTTGCAGATTCGGAGTTCTTGTGCGAGCGGTTAGCTATATACAGCATTGTTATCGTCGTCAAAGACTGATTGTTCATGAGAAACACATCTCGATACCCCATACCCTCTTCCATATCAATTTTTTAGTAGAGACCACGGAGTTAAGACGGTTGGGAAGGCAGAGAAGTGAAGAATGACGAGGTTACGAAACGGCGTGGTATGGGATCTAATGAGACATGGCTCATCACGGAGTACAGCGATACTATACATAGCGTGCTAGAAATCGTAAAGAACTTACATACTTTTACGGCAATTGATGGATTTAGTGCTTAGCCGTATTATATGATAATTTTGGAATTCTATGGTTGGTTCCTAATATAATACATGTAACAGCTCATCATTGCTAAATAAAAGCCAATCATATCTTCTATGCTATGCCAGGGACGTTCTACATCACTTCATATCAATTCATACACATGATAATTAGTTCAAGAACTTTTAGGTTCCTCTTTTTTTATTTCACACCGCTATCATAAGAATACCTATGATGCTCCAGGCTCACGCCGAATGCCCTTCATTTGACGTTACGCCTCGTCGAGCCTGCCAGCCGACCAGTATCATATCGTGATCCATTCCCTTCCAAAGACGCGTAGTCTGCCACGTTTCCCGTCCTCCGCCCTCCCTCGTCCCTTCCCGCAACGCCTTGCTATTCCGTACCAAAAAGAAGGGGAAAAAAAAGGACATATCATCCCGGCTACCGGCCGTTCATCAAGGCAATTGAATGCGAATTAGCTAGCCCGTCAATCTCTGTCTGATACCATGATAACTAGGTAAGACACCAAAAAGATCCGGGTACCCCCCCAAAAAAACAGACTCATACATGCAAAACGCCAATGGATGCAAGGAACTGTGGAAAGGCAGCATGCTTTTCCTTCGAAGATATCGTGAAACTAGGTGAATATCGTTATGGTGAAGTAGAGTTTGTCATCGTACAATAGATCGAGTTCGAATTTGATTTCGTCACCGAATGACACCCCAGTCGCTCAGTCGTCCCCCGCCATCGCTGTCTTCTCTCTGGCCTGGTCTCCTTCCGAATACGGTCCAGAATCGCAGGGTTTCATCGCCAGCTCCTGTGACTATTGTCCTGCCATCGGGGCTCATCGCCAGGTACAGAACTCGGTAAGTGTGTCCAGTAAGGCTGACCACCTGGGTCATGGCGGGGTACTTCCAAACGACGATTTGATTCTGGCTGTAGCCATGTGTCGAGACAATTTCGTTGGAATTCTTCGACCAAGAGATATTGCACACCTGGCTTCCGGTATCGATCTCGTTAATGACTGATCCACGAACTGTGTCATGGAATATTATCCTTCGATCAGCAGTTCCACCGCCTGAGGCCAGGAGACCTCGCTGATGAGGGGACCATGCTATCGCTTTAACAGCAGCGGTATGATCAGAGAATTTCCACAAAGGTGTCTCAGAGAGCTTATCCCAGACCATGAGTTTGTTGTCATTCCCGCCACTTGCCAATTGGCCATCTTCACAGTTCCATTTCAAGCCGCAAACCTCCTGCTTATGACCCGTAAGCTTTCGCATCCATTGGTCGGGGGCCCTAACATCGCGGTGATATATCAATCGATCTCGAGATCCTGATGTGAGGATATGGGTGTTCCAGGCCAAGGATCCTACGCGTGCAGTATGCCCAGTCATCGTTCTTAGACGCCTCGTCTTCTCGGCGTCCCAGATCTGAACCAAACCCTTTCCAGTACCGATGGCTATGTGTGTGCCCTTCTGAATCCATGATACGCTCGTTACTGTGTCATCTTCAAGTGTGCAAAGTTTATTGACTCGACTTGTTTGGGCGTTCCACATGTAGACACTCGAGCCCAGACCAACACCCAAGACATTAGCACTACCCCAATCAACCAAGTTTAAATAGAAGTCGTCGGCTAACTCGGGAGCATCTAGTACTTTATAAGGTACTTTACTAACTGCTCGAGGTTGGCGTCTCGGGCTTAATAGCATTTGCTGGCTTCCAAAGCGAACCGGAGACAAGCTATATATCTCTGATCGTATATCTAGATTGGGGCCATGTCGGCTCTGTGGTGTTCGGGACGGCGTCGGCTGGCCAGCGACGTTGGAATGATGGCGGGGAGACATATAAGAGAAGAGATTCTTGTGAGGTGTTGATGGCGTGAAGCTTGAGGGTAGAGACGGAGGAGGGTTATTAGGTGGAGTATGGGATCTTGTGCCATTATGAGTATGTGTAGAGTGTGCTGAGCCTGGTAAGTTGGCATCCGGAGACAACGTTTGCGGCGTGGCCTGCGGTATGGTGTTCTCGAAAAGTTCCGCTCTTAATACTCGAGAGAATCTATCATTCGCCTCCTCAGCTAGGTATAATTAGCACTAGGTCATTACGTAGAAGGAAGTTGAAGTCAGCTTACTTCGGTGAAAGTTGACCTCTCCATGTGGTGTTCGCTTTTTCTGCCGTGAGGGTGTAGCTGGCGACCCTTCCTCGTGCATGAGACTGAAGGCGGATATTATATCCTGGCCAACGCGCGCGGGTATAAATCTAAGAAACGTCTTAGTATGCGTGGCCCAAGAAATCAAAAACGAGTCTTATAACGGGAAGGAATAGTCATGGTAGATTCTAACAGGACCAGTCACAACCTAGGAAAAGATACCCAATCACTGGAATGGGTAGAAATGCGCTTTCACTAACCTATCGCCATTGATACGCTGTCGCTTCCTACTAGGACTCGCACTCGAAGCGCTATCTCGTCTGTCGGCAGAAAGTTCCCTCGAAAGAGCCCGCGTCAAACCATCCGGATCGATGCCGCCTATACTCGCCCTCTCACCTCTCCGTCCGCCATGACGTATATTTCTCGAGTTGCCACCTTCAACATTATTCATCACCTGTAGTGTTCCTCGGTCAGAAGGTGGGGGAGGAGTGCCTATCCTCGAAGGTGTGCGCGCGGCGGGGCTTGTCGTATCGTGCGCTTGTCGCTTTAGTAGCGGCGGTGCCGCCGATACCGAATCAGACTCTATAGTCATATTTTCTCATGCAGATGGGGTTTAGGTAGTGGTCGCAGAAGCCGGGGCAAGTTGTTAGAGTGGATGGAGTGCGGTAGTTGAGATAATCGAGGCGAAAGGCGCAGATGAGTTTTGTTATGAGTTGAAGGTTGAAGCCGAAAGTATCAGTTAGTTGGTAAAAGCCAGGCCTGATGAGGAACTTTGTCGAAGGATAGATATTATCAGCAAATATGTCCCGAGGCCCCTGAGGGTATGCAGCTCCTTCTAGCGCATGCTCTTCCGTCGACGACGATATGGACCAGAATTAATGTCCGAGATGGTTTGCAAGGGAGAATACGCCTATTATTCGATCGCTTCCTGCTACTGTTCGTATGTTGGAAAGAATTGAAAAAATAGATAAAAAAGAGCGAAATGAATAGAATGTGGTGAAAAAGGAAGTTCGCTATTGGGAAGAATTACGGCAGGTGAGCTGAGTTCGTAAAACGACTGCAGCGGGCAACAGCGGGCAATAGCAAAGTTTGGGAAAGAGGCGGCGGAGTGGTTTCGTGGATTTGGATGGAGGTTGAATGGTAACAACGGGCTTGAATGGACCGTGCTAGGGAAGGAAGACCTGGCTATGTTCTTGCTCCTGCTATGATTTTGGCGTGCCTGCATGTCGCGCCTTACAACGATACAGGGGGTTTTAGGTACCAGTGTGCTAAACTTGATCCCCCACTATCTTGTGATATGAGATACTTCGACATAAGCATCAAAAGCGTATGTTATTAGGTACCGATTAACTTTTTAGCCGACATTAAAAGGTCGCGGACTGTGTTCAATACCACCTAATCAAGGTACGCTAAAAACCGATATGACATGCCCCTCTGACCTTCTGACTTTCTTTTATCAACACCGATCACGACTTTGCCGTGCACAATAATAATAATAAAGACGTACAGCATTGAATTGAAGGCATCAGTTAAGAAGACCAGAATCATAAATGAATCACTCTTCTTAAGGATAGATATCCTGACTATCTATCTGAGTCTTGAAAATAATTCACAGCACATGCGAAATATTCTACGCTATGTACAGACAAAGGTAAAGTTCCCGCTAGTGGCTGGGAAACGCGTACGTAAACAGTATTTACATAGTTTCATTTCCCTTCTTTGTTCACGGAACTGCAGGTATGTATATAAACAAAGCAAAAAAGTATAATTGCGGGGGGCTGGCTAGCTGCAAGCACCAAGCAACATTTGAACCAAAGCGGACAGTTATTAGTTTGAACAGGACAATAACATGAGGTCTCTAACAGGTCTCTTTACCCTGTAAGTAATTCAACACGTCAAGAATCAGGACCCATTGTGCGGCCCAATTCGCGATGCAAGATTGACGAGACGCGCCTGTTCTCCCTTTTTTCCCATTTCATAACAGAAAAGTAAAAAGGAAAGCGGAGCTGCCCCTCGCCATTAAAAGGAGGTTATGTACCTCTTTGTAGGTGTCGCGATTGGGTTGTTTATTATTTGCTTACATACATACATCCATACGTAACCTATCAGCAACATGTCACAGGGGGGTACGCGCATCGAATTTTCCGACTGGATGTACGCGCTTTCCCACTCAGGGGTTATTGTTTAGACTGCCCAGGTGGTCCCCGGATTTCCAGTTGATAGGGTAGGTACCTACTAGTGTATATGGGATTCCCACTACCGTTATTTGTGTACCATAGATGTATCTAGCAAGCGAATGTAACGTGTTTAAGATACATAAACAATACATGTAAGCAGGATCTACCAGCAGCGCGTTAAAGCTTCCTTATCCGTCATGCCCAAGAAAAATACCAAAACATCCCCCAACCAGTAATATCCACGATCGGAACAAAATAAGCTTGGCCCAGTTGACCCAGTTCCGCCAATTTAGCGCCCTTTAAACATCATCGGTATTCTTACTATGTATTCTATCTTATACATAACAGCTTCCCATATGCTTGACCTACTTTAACATAGAAATTTCTTAATAAAAACTTATACATATAGCCCTCGTCTAACAAAACACATCTATAGAATATTAGCTAGAATACGATGCAATCAATAAGTCTCAAAATAAGCCATCATCACCATCTTCAATAATACAACATCGGCAGTCACATGTGATCGGTTTTATTATATTAACATATTAGAGCCTGTTGAAGAGAAACCGGTAGGCCCTCGGACATTCTATTACACATTAAGCTTTGCGAGACCAGTACCTATTACGAAAGCCGCTCGGTCAGCCAAGAGCAGCATTACACTCGAGTGTTTTTCAAACGCTCTTTTGTGAGTCAGCTCTATACGATGCCACGTCGAGCTCGTAGCATATGTTACTTCTTACGGCTAGGTAGTTAGGTGCTCAGCCCCTATCTTCGTTAGAGACCTAGATGTTATATAAAGTAGTGACGACGACACTCGGAAAAATGGTGACTCACTCTACTTACTTCAAGGCCCAACTCTATTAAGATTGAACTAACCGTGTACAACAGCCTCCAAACTGCTATTTTTAAGACCACTTTCAGCCAAGTTTGGTAACTCCATCCTCATATCGTCATATTATCATGAACTCTAGGGTGTGACTGCGAGAGACGTTTTGCGATGCCCATAATCTATAAGATGCACCATAAGACCATATGATGCGAAGAAAACCAGCTAGGACAACCAAGGAGCTCAACGGGGAAGGCCTATCCCCCGCAAACATGATCCCGCACTTTTTATACCAGCCGTTAGTTTCTAACTTGGCGAGATAACTAAGTGTTCGGCGTCACAGCCGGTCTCCTAGTATGAATAAGAGTATATAGCTACGACAGGCTAAGAGCTTTTCCTTCACAGCGTGGCCCGTCAATGCGCGAGGGGCAGATTATAAAAGGTGTGCCTACAAACACCTAAGACGATTCTACTCAAGTATTAACTTCCCTCAAGGTCTTTCACTCATTCCTTTCTTCATTTTCCCCTATTCATCCCATTCTTCCTAGGTTCTTATAACCAACATATCCATACTTTATTCGCTTTCTACGACACCGATATGTCACGGCCGCCGAGACGTGGTGATTCGCCTTGCAGACGGCAAATGATATCGTCCGCAGGGGTCGATGATGAGAGCCGCGTCGCAACGAGTGTACGGTCCTTCGCGGCGTTTAAAAATTGCGAAGATGAAGGCGTAGATGAATGTAGCCCTCTAGATATCCTCGAGAAACGATCACGCTTAGGAGCTGCTCTCCTTGATGCTGTTTCGTCACCAACGACGTTCAGAAGAATATGGGAAGAAACAGAAGCCATTTTCCGAGACCGCCAACCCAGTCGTATGAGACGTCCGGATAGGTAAGCCGCCAATTATGCGCTTTATTAACCTAGGAGTTGATTATTGTATAGTGTCCAGAGTAACCCTGAACGTGGCCGAACGGGGCTCATTTCCTCCACCTCCCCTAGAGAATCACCTTCCACCGAGACTCGCTCGGCCTCGAGTCCTGACAGGAGCCGTAAGTATATTCCAGGTCTTTTACTAGCTATATCCACCTTACCATATCAAATAATTTTCCTTGACCATTTCCTGAGATGTAGTATGACTATTAACCCCCTGTGTTTTGGAAGAGCATTCAAAAGATGATGGGATCTAACTCGAAATATTCGTAGTGTTGTCTCGGTCTACAAAGTCGAAGGAAAACTCATCATCTACATCCCCCTCCCCTGGAGATGCCATAGCTCTTCCCGGTCTCCAGAGCAAGGGACCGAGGGAGCATGACGAACTTATACCTTTGGGTGGAGATGAAATCGACCAAACGTCGTTCGATCTTGTATATCCATGCAACGATGCACCTCCTCAATATTCTCTGGAAGTAATATCGGAAGCTCTCTTTTCGGCAGAGCATCTAGAGGCTATCATCAACGATCAGCTCCTACTGGAAAGGTTTGCATCCTTCCTTTGCGTCTTCAAGCCAAAATCTGTCCCTCTTCTAGTATATTATTTGGATGCTCTAAAAGCACTGAAGGCCATAGGATATTCAAACTCCATTATTCGATCCTTGGTCTCTGTTAAGGGAGTAGGCCTTAATGAAGAGGCGGTGATCTCAAATACCATCAACGAATCCCTATTGGCGAGACTTAGCGAGGCACTTCAAACTCTGGCTGGAGAGGACCTACCTGCCTACATCACTCATACTTGGATGCAGACGGTGGCCGTCACTATCAAGCAGCGGATTACAAATACGTTGCCTAACCACCTCCAAGATCTCTCTGAAGGATTGGCTGATGTTTTCTGCTTGATAGATCCATCAAGACATGACAGCCCAATTGTATTTGCTAGCAAAGGTGAGTCCAACCACCGAGTAAAGAGACAACAGTTTAGCTAAATCATGTCAGAGTTCCATCAAATGACCCAGGTGAGTAGGAGATATTCGAAATCAATGCGCATTCATTGCCAATATGACATGCCAGCCAATTACCATACCTACATCATATTATGAAAACCGTCCATACCACGTAGATAGTAACTAATAACATCGATTACTATAGTATGGAGCTGGCTATGTCCTAGGCCGAAATTGTCGTTTCCTTCAAGGGCCTGGCACAAGCCAATCGAGCGCGAGAAGAATAAAAGAGCATTTGGACGCCGGAAAGGAGCACTGCGAGGTTCTACTAAACTACCGCCGAGACGGCTCTCCATTCATGAACCTCGTCATGGCCGCACCTCTTCTAGACAACCGTGGAATCATCCGGTATCACATCAGCGCCCAAGTAGATGTCTCGGGTCTGGCGAAGGAATATGTAGGCTTCGAGTCTCTTAGGCGCATTGTTGACCGGAGGCAGCACAGCGAGGACGCCAGTGCTCATACGAGCGCCAAAGATGAATTCCGCGAGCTCGCAGAAATGTTTACTTCCTCGGAGATGAAAATCGTTCAAGAGGTAGGCGGTAGTACGCACCGTCGCCGCCGGGAAGACGCGACAGGCTCCGAGACAGGTTTGAGACACCACGGTCCGACACGCGTAGACTCCGACCCCTTGCCTCGAATATCGACCGCGTCGGCTAGTCGCGTTACCAGCCTCTTCGAACACTACCTCCTAGTCCGCCCACACCCTCACCTACGGGTCCTCTTTGCCTCCCCGTCCCTCCGGTTCCCCGGCATGCTGCAAAGCAGCTTCATGTCCCGGATCGGGGGCCCGCCCGCTGTCCGAGAAGCAGTCGCCCAAGCATTCGCCTCCGGCCGCGGAATCACCACCAAGGTCCGTTGGGTGACCCGGATGGACAGTCGCGGGAAGAGCAGATGGATACACTGCACGCCGCTGCTGGGGTCGAACGGGGCTGTTGGCGTGTGGATGGTGGTGCTTGTCGATGACGATGCGGAGGCCGATTTACGACGTCCTCGGGACGCGCCGCGCGTAGACGTGAAAATCGACGGGCAGAGGCCCTTCGATGGGTGTTGTCCATCGTCTGCTTTGGCAAGTCCTTCAGGAGACGTGGAGATCGAAGCATGCACATCAGGATCTAGTAGCCCAGCACACAAGAAAGCAGGATCTACTACGATATGAGCGGTCTATCTAACATTGATAGTACGGGAGGAGCTGGTAGTCATTTTCCTTAACATTCACTTTCCGGTCACACTGTTTGATCAACAGATTTCGAGTTTGGATCCCTGAGATATAGGCAGTCTTTAATTTCTATTATTGCTTAATACACATATACACATTCTTTAATAAGAATAGTAGCCTCTCTCCTTACAGGCCCGGACCATCATCACGCTCAATGTCATATATGGTTATAAAATTTAATTTGTCTACGTATAATAAATATATTGGCATGGTTCGGGCTTTCTCATATTCTACTAGTATTTCTCCTAGATGTCTATGTTATTCTAGAATCAAGATACTCCAATGCTACTCTAGCCTATAATTTGTTGTGACCCAGCCCGTTCTTAAGCTCGCTAAGAATATCGGACAATGGGCTAAGACAACGGTGAGGTTGGCCTGTAAGGGATACCCACGAAGTCTCAAGATGAGTACCTAAACCACAGTCCGCCAACAGGTTCTCTACCCAAGACAGCGAGTATTCTCATTGTGTATATTAACGGAGCACCGCCACCATCGGGTATTATGCTTTCATTCAAGTCTTTATGTCTATCCCGAGGCCATAACAACCGGTCAAAGCCGCCCAATTGATATCAACGCCACCATGTTCTTGAGTTGCAATCAATACGTATCCACCGCCATGCCGAAAAGAAAAAATGACAAAATAGAGTCCGAGCTAACAAGGCCAATCCAGCCGCATATTATGGACGTCATTTTCCGAATCATGCTCGAAAAATAGAATATGCTTGCTTCCTGGCTTCGTTACTTCACGCGTGTTCCCGTGCTTCAAGCCATCTCTATGCCGACTCTGCCTGGGCTAATAGACGAGCCCTCCAGCCATTACATACTTCCTCGAAGCCCCCGACGACTTCCCTGCATACGCCGGCGCATTCGCGCTTTTGTAACCTCTCGCCCCAGTTACCTTTCGTCAGCCACCTCTCGCCCTCCTCTCTCAGCTCTTCTTCGCGTTTTATCTCCGCTACCATTTCCTTGGCCATTCTTAGCCGTCTTGTGGCGGTGGTTGTGGTTTGCCGTGACATGTGCAGTGTGTCGGAAAGGTAGTTCAGCGTTTGCACAAGGTCCGACGTTACGGAATGTAAAGCGCTCAGAGAGTTAAGAGCGGAGGTCGCGGGCCGCGGCATTTCGTCCGAGATAGAAGTTAGTAGCGGAAAGAGGGAATCAAGAGCATCCGGATCCGGGGGCTGCATTAGTGGCGATAATAGAGGGAAGCTGAGGTTATGGAGCTGCCGCGTCTGGTGCGCCAGATGTGTTGCCAAGGCCGAGTGAGCCGTTATTAATCTACAATTCGACAAATATTTTGGTTAGAAAATATTCAAAAGGGTTAGTAGAACTAGGAATCATCACTCACCTCGTAGTGCTACCCTCTACACCAGACTGTGACCCCAAGTCTCTCAGTCCGACTGTTAACCGTTGAAATACGGCGTCATTAGAACTACCATTGCTTTCAGTCCCTCTTCGGGCTAGGGATTCCACTGCATCGATTCTAGCAACTAGACTTGGCGGCATACCAGGCGACTCTAAATCGGATTCAGAACCATATTCGCTTCCGTCGTATGCGCTTACAGTCCGTCGGTGGCCGCGCGCGGGGGGAGAAGGTATGCCCAGGCTTGCGTTCCTGGTCTTCTCTCGATGGTCCGATTGGCTTTCTACGTCAACGCCACTATCCCTAATCCCATCAGTTGGCGCCTGTCCTTGGCCCCCCTCATCGAGTCCTAATTGCGACAGTTCTTCCCCGTCCTCGTAATATTCCTCCTCGCCGGATCCAGACAAAGCTTCAGCCAACTCATCTGCCAAATTTCCAAGACCATTATCGTGGCCCATACCACCACTGCTGAGATCATTGAGCTCAGATTCGTTCATACTGTTGCGTAAGGGTGTTAAAGGGTCCTGAAAGGAGGATTTCGACTGGCGTCGGCTGCGAGGCGATATATTAGGACTCGAGTGCTGAAAAGAGGTATCGATGGCGGAAGTTTGCCGGGAATGGCTAGGGGTGTGCGGTGGTCTCGACATAATTACGATGCTAGATCCCGCGGCGTATTATATAGAGGAATTTCAAGGAAGTAACAACTTCGTTGTGCGTATAGTCGAGTAGATCATGGGGTAGAAACGGTGTCTCAGTTCGAGTTGTCGTACAAAGGAACTGAAATGTCAAGAACAGGGCTATCGTTTGTATTGTCTGTCTTGTATGTATTGTCTTTTTTGTTTTCCTCCGAGAGTCCGCGTCGCAGGGTATGGCCGTCCAAGAAACTTTTTCGATATTGAGTTGGTGATTTAGAATGGTAGATAGGTACCGTACGCACGAAATGGAAGTGTTTGAAAAGGATCAAGTACACCCAATAATAAACGACCGATATTGAACGAGGTAGCAAGGGTTGGCACTACCTAGACTGCTGTGTAATATGTAATCAGATGTAAAAATAGGAACCACATTTACCTAAACCTAGCAGACTTATGCCAGCGTAGGTTGCATGTGTATTCCGGCGACAGGCACCTGCCGATTCCCGCGTGCTTAAAATGTAAAACGAGTTAGTAGTCGAAGGTACATGGATACAAGATATTACCAAATGCGCTTAAAGAGCCAGCCGCTAGGTAGCCCCACCTCCATTTTCATTATCATGTTTTGGAGGGGCAATGCGCTGTGTGCGCTGTGGGCGCTGTGGTCGATTCAGTTATTATTTCGCATACCTGATGATTGCGCATTATTTGAACTTGCGTTTGCTATCCCAACAGAACTTATATCGCTTTTCTATTTTACTTTTATATCTCGCCCAACCGCTACGATAAATAAGTAACTAGAGAAAAAAAAAGATCTACGATCTTTGGTTTAATCGTAATCTTATTTCTATTAAGCCCCCTTTTCTATTATTCGCTTACCTCTGCCTGGGCCTTTTTTTTTTATGCAACCGATGCCAGCAAATTAGACATATGTCCAAGCGTCTCCGATACAGAAACCTCTCTTTTACTGTTCGGTAGCTCAGTGGGAATTAATTAGTACCTAATTATCCTGCAGTCATGGCCTCTTTTCGACGTTTCCGCCCCGATGACTTAGACAAGTTCTCCAAATGCAATCTTGACCCGTTGACCGAGACGTACGATCTAAGTTTCTATCTCCAATACTTTGCCAAATGGCCCTCACTATTCCAAGTCGCTGAGGATCCCAGCGGAAACATTATCGGCTATAGTAGGTGACAATCTTTTTTTCTATTATAATAATTTTAACAACCTAGCCTAACGAGGTTATACATTACTCTACAGTCATGGGCAAGTTGGAAAGTTCTCCAGACTACTTCCAATATTCTGAGCACTATCTACCATGGCACGCACATATCACTGCCCTCACGGTAGCCCCTGAAGCTCGCCGTCTTGGCATTGGAAAGATTCTTACCGAAAAGCTCGAAGTTGCTGCAGAAGCCGGGGACTCTTGGTTCGTCGATCTGTTCGTAAGGAAAAGCAACACGAGAGCTATCAACTTCTACGAGAGTATGGGTTATAGCGTATATCGTGTAGTCAAGGATTACTACGGTGATAATGTCAACGACCCCACCGCTCACGGTGAAGACGCTTATGACATGCGTAAACCCATGTCTCGAGATAAGACACTCAAACACATTCGAGAGGACGGAAGGAATCACGAAGTCCAACCTGAAGATGTCTTCTAGTGGAGTTGATTATATTTGCGGGCTACATCGCGCCGTCGACAGAATATACGCTCCCACTCACGTACTTGGAGTCAGGACCCAAAAGGAAAGCAATGACGTGGCCGCATTCCTCCGCCGTGCCCTGTCTGCCGAGAGCTGCTGTATCATCAAAGGGTGCATCAGACGGTCGATTATGGATTTTCCAGTGCTTCTCCATCAGCGGAGTAAATATGGCTCCCGGGGCCACTGCGTTGACACGCACTTGCCGGACTCCATTTTCTTTGGCAGCCGCTTTTGTCAGACCTATAACACCATGCTTACTAGCATCATACGCTCCATGTTTGGCAAACCCTAGATTAGCGATCAGCGCTATCGTTCTTTAGACGTTAGACTGGGCCATTGACTTAGGTACCTTGAAGCCCATGAATAGAGGAAACATTCACAATAGAACCACCATCGACGATTTTTCGGAGCTCAGCTCTTAAGCAATACATGGTCCCCGTGAGATTAACTGCGATTATCTTGTGCCATTCGTCGTCGTCGAGATCAGCAACATCTCGTAAGCCATGATGTTTGCCGATTATACCCGCGACGTTTGCAGCGCCATCGAGTCTGCCGTATTTTTGGACGATACCGTCGATCCAAGATTCAACTTGGTCTCGCTTAGAAATATCTACCTTGGTAACAGTAAAGGGCGCATTTTGGTTGGTAAAGTATTCATCCGCCTTGCTTATGGCCGCTGGGTCAACATCGGCTATGCAAACGATCCCACCGCGTTTAGATATTATCTGTGCCGTTGCAAACCCGATCCCGCTAGCACCACCAGTAATTGCGAATACTTTTCCATTGAGGGTTGCCATTATTGCTCTCGACTGCTCTATACTTCGTAGTAAATAATATAAAACAGCAATGCAGTGCCAGCGGGGTAATATCGTCTAGATAATGGCTATATAAAATTTAAGAGGGTTCAATAATGCGGCTTTGCGGGCTAGTAGACACCGAGATTTGGAGGTCTAAAAAGGACTTTGCGGACAATTCCATCTTTCGGTTTAACAACACGAGGAGTTAGGTAAGCTATAAACATATGTGTTCGGCGTTAAAAGCCTGATGTTTTACCCCTTTACTATGTAATGCATCTAGTTATCCTATCATTACTTATAAGTTAGGATGTACTTACCTACTTTAGTGACTTAATACATATCCTTAGATCGCAAGAGTGTAGATATACTGCACGTTTCTGAATGGCCTCAATGCGGGAAGAAACGGCTCCAGGTGGACTAAACCGGAGAAGATGGGTTGGTTCTTTTAGGAGGACTGTTCATTAGTACGCCTTTTCGACGCCCTATAGCAATACAATGTAGCTTGTCGTTCCCATGGATTTAAAGTCGTTTAGACTTGTTAGAATAAACCTTCCTTAATTATTCACTCGAAGCACCCCAATCTACTTCTTACATTATATATCGTTAAGTGAGTCTTGGTAATTTGTCGAAGTATAAATCGTTAAACAAAGCTCTTTAGAGACGAGGCGGACCACTGTGGGGTATTGTATTAGGTAGTTTATATAGGAGGGGTGGAAGTATAGGAGGGGTTTCGTCTCGTACGTTTTCGATTTAGCTCCCCAGCCTCGGCACCTCAATTCAGTATTAGAAGGGACCTTGCAGCTAGCAGTTCATTCTCTAGCTCGATATGGTGCATGAGGGAAAATACCTCTATTTAAGACACACGGCTGGAGAAGCTGTTGTCGCATGACCCCTGCTGCCCTGATGAGCTCCAACTGATACTACCTATTAGGTACCTCCTTAGCCCCCGAAACTATGAATTTTGTGGGGAAATGTCGTCACTCCTTTCTGTCAATGGCTTATTCGGGCTTCCGTTCGTTCATCCTTCCTACCTTCGCTGTCTTCGAAACCTGGGGGAGGTGGATCCTGTTTACCTGTAAGGAGGTAGGTACATGTACTTATTGTGTTCAGCCTGCACTCATCATTTGAAACAAGTCTTCTCTCTTTTCTCTTCTCTCCTCCAACGTCCGCATGGAGGCCCGGTGTTCTCTAGATCTACATTCTCTTGAATCCCGCACTTTACTCTCGTGCTGCTTGTTGATTAATCGTCACTTTTGCGCCGAACTCTAGATATCTCAGATAGCATTATTTTTCATTCTCCAGGTGTCCGACGACATCGCATACATACATTAGCTTTATGTTTAGTTAGCCAACGAACGCATTATCCTCCCTCAATTCCTCACATCTCTCTTCCATTAGTTTAGAAATAAACAAGTGCCCGCTTGATCTGTCGCCATGAGGCTGTGTCTCTGGCCGGCCCTTTCGGCGCTGTGTCTAGTCCTCGTCAATGCTTCGTCCCTGACGCCGCCCGTACTGCCATTGATCGTACGAAACCCCTACTTGAGTATATGGCTTGCCCATGCCCGAGACGCCCCGTGGGAACATTGGCCGATATTCTGGACTGGCAGTACCGTCGGCTTTGCTGTTATAGCCTCCGTGCCCGAGAATAAGACGGTATACCCCCTGCTGGGTCGCTCGCAAGATTTCCTTAGCAAGTCTCCCAGGTTAGTGAATGGCTTTGAGTATCGATTTGCCTTGTTCTCGCCCTAATTCTTGTTAGTTATAACGTCTCCTTTCCTAAATACGACGGTGCTACGTTCGACGCCTCAACTACGAATCTCACCTACTCTATCCCAGGGTCCGACGTGAGGATTACTCTCTCGTTCTTGTCTCCTATCACGCCCACATCGACATTTAGACAGTCCCTACCGGCGTCATACCTGACTTGCATTGTAGAAGGTTCGACAGATGTAAGCCTATACGTGGACATAAACGGAGAATGGGCTAGCGGCAACCGAGATAATAAGATAGAATGGGGGCTCGTCCGGACTGAAAAGAGTGACAATGCAAAGACCCCCATCAAGACTTGGAGTATCACACGGCGCTATGAGCAGCTCCTAACCGAATTTTACGATCACTCTGAATGGGGAACCATCCATATCTCCGCTCCGGCCGACGTTGAACATCAGTCTGGCGAATCGAACTCCATAAGACGTCATTTTGCCCAGCACGGGTCATTGAAGAATGAGGTCGACGATTCTTACCGTGGAATCTTTGAGGAGGAACCTATCTTCGCCTTCTCCAAGACTTTCAAGCTCAAGAAGAGGTCGAATGAGTCGTCTGGTATCGCCCAGGACAGCGTTATATTCACATTTGCCCTCACTCAGGATCCTGTCGTTCAGTTTGCCTCAGCCAGAGGCTTGACCTTGATGCGTCCCTTGTGGGATTTTTATTTCTCGGGTACTCATGAAATGTTGCAGTTCCACTACGACGATTACGAAACTGCAGCTTATCTTGCTAGCAACTACTCCGAGCAACTCGCCAAAGACGCGTATGCTTCGGGCTCACAAGACTACCAAGACATCGCGGCGTTGTCAGCTCGCCAGGTGCTAGGAGCAACACAATTTTCCGGTACACCAGATAATCCTATTATATTCCTCAAGGAGATATCATCGAACGGAAACTTCCAGACAGTCGACGTTATCTTCCCAGCATTCCCATTCTTCTTATATACCAACCCCCAGTGGCTAGCATATCTACTAGAACCTCTTCTCGAACACCAGTTGAGCGGTCTGTATCCCAACGATTACAGCATGCATGATCTTGGATACCACTTTCCCAATGCGACGGGGCATGGTGACGGTAATGACGAATATATGCCCGTCGAAGAATGCGGCGATATGCTAATCATGGGTCTTGCACTTGTCAATGCTCTCAGAGACGATTCACAAGCTCAGTTCGTCCGTACTGTACCGGGGGACGCTTTGACACTCAACTTGGAGTCTGTGAAGAGATCGTTCTTAGTTAATGAATATGGAATGGATCGCACATGGGAAGACTTGGGCACTACGGGTGAAAAGGTGGCTACAAGATGGGTACGACGCTCATACAAGCTATGGAAGCAATGGACGGGGTACCTCGTCCGAGAGTCGCTCATCCCTGCGAATCAACTTTGCACCGACGACTTTGCTGGTTGGCTGGCCAATCAGACGAACCTAGCGTTGAAGGGTATCATTGGCATTAAGGCCATGAGTGAAATTGCTAACGTTGTCGGTGAGAAGGCCGACTCCAGGTGGTACAGCAACGTAGCTGAGGAATATATCGACAAGTGGCAGGACTTTGGACTATCCAAAGATAAGACACACGCGAAGTTAGCGTACACCTGGTACGGATCGTGGACGACAATCTATAATCTCTTCGCCGATGCTCTGCTTTGCTTTCATCTGCCTGCAGATACATCCTCTTCTCTAGGAGCGAGCAGATTCTGGGGCTCAGAACAGCAACCTATAGGGGACGAGGCTATCACCAAGCCTAAATCAACATTCATTCCAGATAAAATCTACCAGATCCAGAGTGACTGGTACCATGCTGTGCTTCAAAAATACGGTTTGCCGTTAGATAGCCGTCATCTATATACGAAGAGCGATTGGGAATTCTTTGCGGCCGCTGTGACAAGTAAGAAGGTACGGACGGAGATTTTACAACATGTTGCGACATGGGTCAATGAGACTGCAACAGGTGCGTATAGTTACTATTACCTTATTCTCGCCCAATATAGCGGTCCATTCTAAACTAACTTCCCCCAGATCGGCCACTGACGGACCTTTACGAGACGGAGGGTGATGGCGGATTTCCTGGGCCTAACTTCATGGCTCGCCCGGTAGTAGGAGGTCACTTTGCGTTTCTCGCGTTAGAGAAGGCCTGTGGTGGCAGAGCATCGGAAGGTCTAAAGTTCCTAGACGAAGTGGCCCCCGCAGAGATTGATGTGGAACAAGCCTTGAGAAGGGAAATCGCTATAAACCAACCTGATATGGGCGAGTTGTAGTGAGTACCTATATTATATGAAGAAACTGTTAACTTTCCCCAAGATCGAAGATACCTTAAAGTTGGATATGTACATTGGGTAGAGGTTAGACAGTAAAATTGTACCGATGTGCTTATCTCTTAGGTGCTTTAGGTAGGAATATCTCCATGAGAGCTCTCCGGAAGCACTTGCCTTGTACTACCACCGAAAAAAAAAAGGAAGGAATAAAGGAAGATACAATTTCAGATCTGCAAGTGTTTCTCGTCTACAGTTTCCTACGAGTCGTAGTTTCCGTATTCTCCCGCATTGACAGAGCTGTGAATTGGGTAAGATGATTGGGAGGTAACCTAAAGAATTGATTGGATAATTCATGTAAGTTTAGGCGGATGATTGTTGATATTATCGTAGGCAACTACGGATCCGTACCTTCCTCCTAAGCATATGCCTTTAAACGTACCTTCGTACCTGCCGCACCTGCATTATAGGTAGTGGAAGGAACGGTGGGTACCTTCAGAGGTACCTCGTTAGTTAGTAGGGAGTAGGTGTTAACATGTATGTATGTGGAGACGCGACAATGCGTAGGCAGGTACAGATGATAATAAGGTACATGCGTAGAACCTACCGTAGGTACGGTACAGTACATCCGCAGCTGAACAATTTTGCCTCCCCAGTTTTTCCGCCCCTTCAACACTTCCCGTTTCTCTTTCACCCATTCCATCTTTTCTCCTTTTGCAGCATCAGGCCTTTCTTTTTTTTTCAACCAGCCTTGGCCCGAGACCTCAACTTTTCTCAGTTTGCATCATCACAAAGAAAAGGGTTGTTTGTGTTCACGCTTGAGATTCACGGGATTTTCTTGCACAGCATTGCATCACGCGACTTTCATTTGGAGAGTCAATCCACAGCCTGCATCAGTACAGAACAGGTTGCAACTGTGCAACTGTTATTTCTGATTACGACTTACGTCTACAGCCATTGAAGTAGCAGCAGGTGAGTCGGACTTATTTTATTTACGTCTTGCTCTTTCTTTTTAAACCATCAGCCTGCACAACCATAAAAACCTCTCATTACACCCACCGTCAATCTCAATCTCCATCTCCATCTCCATTTCCATCTTCCATTCTACAACCTCGTCTATCGTGACTACCATCACTTTCACAACTGTTTTGTTCCACTTGGTCTTGGCGCGACCATTCCCTTTCCACAACTGGTTTTCTACGCAAAACGCGTCCTCGTACGCACTGCCTATTGGCTTATTGTCGCGTCGAAACGCACTTGCTTACCACATTCACAGTCACAACCTACGAACAACATTCACCATGGCCACTACCGCAATGGACTACGAAACCGCTAACGGCGATCGATTTGATGGTAAGTCGCAGCCTTAAACTATAGCCTACAATGCATAAAAAGATATATTATACTAATTGTACGTCTGCTTTGTAGATGATGGCCCTCGTTACGAGCGTGATCAGCGAAGCGCGTCTCCTCGAGCTTCCCGTGATGACGGAATTGAGACATCTCGCCGCCGCTCTGCTTCTCCTGCTGCCAACCAAGATCGGTAAGTCCTTATCATATAGATAGTGATGATGATCTCGTACCTACTCTTCAGCACACTTCTAACTTCTGAAACTAGTGCCCCCAAAGAGGACAATGGCAACAAGGACGAGGATGGTTCTGTTAACCCTGGATCTAACCTCTTCGTGACTGGAATCCATCCCAGGTTGACCGAAGCCGAGGTCACCCGCCTTTTCGAGAAGTATGGCGAGGTCGAGAAGTGTCAGATCATGAAGGATCCTCACACCAAGGAGTCCCGCGGTTTTGGCTTTGTGAAGATGGTTACATCTGACCAAGCTGATGCAGCTAAGGATGGATTGCAGGGAGAGGAGATTGAGGGCCGAACCCTCAGTATCGAGAAGGCCCGTCGCGCCCGCCCTCGTACTCCCACCCCTGGCAAGTACTTCGGTCCTCCGAAGCGAGGTTAGTAAACAAATTTCAGACTCGATGTGTTCCTTTACTAATTTTTCTATTCCAGAGGGTCGTCCTCGCTTTGACGAACGCCGCCGTGGAGGTGGCTACGGAGGTGGTTATGGCGGACGTGACGATCCGTACCGTTACCGAAGCTATGACCGACCTCGCTACGAGGATCGTGGCGACCGTGGTTACCGTGAGGACCGTGGATATGATCGTAGCTACCGCGATGCTCGAGGTGGCGGCGGCTATAGTGGCGGCCGAGAGGATCGCGGCTATGACCGCGGCTATGATCGTAACTACGGTAGGGAAGATCGACGTGAGCGCGGTGCTGCTGGCGGCAGCAGCAGCGGCGGCGCTGGTGGTGGCGGTGAGGAAGGGTATGGACGAATTGACCGCTATGCTGGTGGTCGTGAGGAGCGAGACCGCTACGGACCTCGAGGAGGAGATGAACGACGTGGCCCTGGCTACGAACGTGAACGTTTCGACCGTCCCGACCGCGATGGCGGTGCCCGAGCTCGCGACCCCGTCGCATCCGGCTATGGCGAATCTGCAGCTCGACCCGAGGCCCGCGAAACTTACGGAGGTGCGCCTTGATCACCAGAAGAACGATAATCCGACATATTCAGCCTGCCGCTGCTAATGCGTCATTCAGGAAACGGTCGCTACACGCGTTGAGGATATTTCTGCACTCGCGTCTCCATAATGGTTCGGTGCTCGATGGTAGTATCGGGCGTCTCCTTCATCTTGTGTCATTTCTCTTCAGGCTTGCGAGTACGGCGGATACCATAAAAGATGTGACATATGGAGTTTAATACGGCAGGTAAAGGGAAGGAAAAGGCATCGACCGCCATGTTTTTTTCTCTTTTCTTTTCTTTTTTCCTTTTTTCCTATGACCTCTGATCCTTAGACAGGGTTCGCCAGACACGGGTTTGAGGGTGCTGTTGTTTTGATTCCGCCTGTTTGTGGGCGAGTTTCCTCGGCGAGTCAATATAGGAGTCAGCCTGGCAACGACGATTTTAGGATGATGGCACAGGCAACACTTCCCTCCCCTCTTACCCAGTCACCCGTTCCCTTGGATCACGAAAATATGTCTGCGGCGTGGACAACACGGCAATCTTTTCACCTTTTCAACCTGCTACTTGTACTATTATTTTTTCCGAGGTTTCTCTTCGAGTTTAACGAGCATGACGACTGAGCAACATCCATCAGCATTTTGCCGGGCGGATATTCGAGACAGCTCTGCAATGGTGGTCCCGCAGAATGCAACACATAATTGATCGCAAATTCCCAGAAAGGTGCACCCTTGAGTCGAATCGACTAATGTTCCGTAAATACCATGAATTTGGCCTCTCAATACTAAGTCGCTGCATTCAGCAATACAATTTTAACGCCACGCGACACGATTTTTAATGTTCCTAATAGGCTCCCGACAATTGTAAATGGGAGCCGCCTTTTCGCTTCAACGCCTTTGCATCGCCTTGCCAATAAACCATAGTCACCTTTCTTCGCAGCAAACTTTTAATCATGTCGTTTACTTCGACTTATGATATTGCTCCTGCGCTAGCAAGAGCGTACAAGGTAAATCCCCCCAGCTTCGGGACTATGTGCTGACGAATGTTGTGTTTTACAGTGTATTATACGTGACCATCTATTGGAATGCGTGGGCATGCCTGGATATGATGCCCCCTCTATATTCCAGCCAAGCCCGTAAGGATCCTTCTGTAGGTTGTGTAACCCATTAGATACCCCGGTTGGCCTAGTTTTATGCGTTTGTGATGTGACTATTGTCTAAGCTTGGATAGAGTACATAGTATATTTTAGGTAGCTATATTTAATTAATGCTCCAATCATCTGTCTCATTCCCGTGTCGTCGTTTTGCAGCGTTAAGGAATGACGATGATTTCCACGTGGATGGTATTAGGCTCAAAGCGGGTTGATGACTGAAAGCAGCAACAGTAGTAAGTACATTACATTCCGTACTTCGCTTTGTTCGAGTCCTGACTAATACTAGAAGAGGTTAATTTTGAGGAGGCATGTTTCTGAGAGCAGTCTTTGTAGAGATATTACGGAAACGTCCAGAGCTAACCGCGATGACAGCCGACCGAAAGAGGAAAACCCATGACACAAAGCTGTCTATAGACTTTAGTTGATAATGGAGATGTATTCGGGCAACTCCTCTTCTGAGGTAAGAAATCGCTCGTCCTACACCTTGTTCCGTTGACCTTTCATGTTTCGACCCGACGGTTACGTCCCCTCTCTCGCTTCATTGATATCGCAATTCGGATTTCGGTCACAGTAGATGTAGAACACGCCTGTAATGGAGGTGACACCTATGAATGCGAGTAGTGGTAGGAAGAGCTCCGAGCTACGGCATTTACGATATGAATTAAAACGCCTTAAGACGTATTTGGCCGTCCTCGAATACGACCTTGGACTACCAGAGCAAAAGACGGAGGGTACGTATTTGATATCATTATATGATTCGGAGGGTTCCTACTAACCTGCCTAATAGACTGGGCCGGGGAAGAATGGACATCTAAACGTGGACAGAAAAGGAGGGAGAGGGCAGAACGGAGAAGACAACGTGGTCGTGCAGCGCAAAATGCCCGCGAACGCACGAGAAGGAGGCAGCTGGGGCTATATATATCGCCTTCGCCTTCGCTGTCCGACGTTCAAGAAGATATCAACAGCAAGATCGACAGGAAAATAGCGTCTTATCGAAACCGCATCAAGCAAACCTCAGTCCAGCTACTTGTCGCCGCTACTGCCGGCCATCAGTACCGCAAGGGGAATTTAGCAACCGGGCAAGGTCACCCTAACGTCCGTCGCACGGTTGCTAGGATGGTTAGGGACTTGATTAACAAGAAAGCCGGAGGGAAACGCCCAGCTATAGGTTATAACCCTGACGACAGCGACGGTTCTAGTGTTAGTGACGAAAGCGACGTTAGCAATGGTAATGATAGCTACCTTGACGACAGTGATACCAACATCACTGAGTTAAGTGGTAGCGAATTCGAATTCCCAACATCTAAGTTTGCAGCGGCCTTGATGGCCCGGGTCGATGCTACACCAGGACCTGGAGACTGGGCGGACAAGCTCGCGCAACCGGTCATCGCCAAGTACGCGAAAAAGGGGCCTCCGCACAACGATACAGAGTTGCATTTGCCGCCGCACGCAGAAGAGGAGAAAGATCCAAGACCACAAGACAAGCCCGCCACACCACAGCCAGAGTTCTACGATCCTAAACAGTGGAAGGAGATTGATGGCATTTTACATGAGAGTAAAGCAGACGATACATCCGTCCGTACCGACCAGCCTCCCGAGGAGATCGGAATCATGACTTGGGAGCAACAGGAGAAGGCCTATCCGACGCTGAAGTCGATTCTGGAGATGGGGGAGGAATATGGCCGATGGGATCCGGCCTACTTGGACACAGAGAAACCAGATCCAACCCCATGGGATCCAGATCGAAGGGAGCAAAATGAGTCCAGGCCCGGTGCAGAGCGACTCCCCTTAGAGGCAAACCTCACTACCAAGATCTCACTTGAAAGGCTTCGAGTTGGCTTTGAGCGGGTGGAGATGAATACTGATTATATCCGATACTCCCAGATCCCGGCTATTTTGCCGGCGAGGTTGAGCGACCAAGATATGATGCGCGGCCCTCTACCGACGCCCCCGAGATTACCGTTAAAAGGGCCATCCGGTCGGGTGATAACGCTTCAGCCAGAGGCTAGCACGCCCGTACAACCCGTCCAACCCGTCCACGCGAATCCGTATTTGAAACAACCATCACAGGATCCCGTAGATCCAACAGAAGCAGACGTCCCCTTCGCTCAGTACCACTACCCCATCGACTCACCCGCTACTTCAACCTTCCAGTTCAACGACGGCAATCACACCCCGGAGGTGACAAAACAGAGCCCAGAACTTCAGCCCATCACGGTGATATATCAGAACGCATCGGCGGGGGGACCTCAGGAACGGGCTCGGAATGTCATGTCGGGTAAGGAGGTCCATTTCGCGGAACAGCCCCAGGAGATACCGGCTCAGCAACAAGTGCCGGAACCACAACAGCCACAAGAACAACAACAACCGCAACAGCAGCAACAGCAGCAACAGCAGCAACAGCAGCAACAGCAGCAACAGCAGCAACAGCAGCAACAGCAGCAACAGCAGCAACAGCAGCAACAGCAACAAATCTTGCCAACTTTGGATCCCGCGCCACGACCACCACCGTCCCGGTCTTCAACCCGACAAACCGCGTCGTTACTACTCCATTCCATTTTCCAACCTACTCCCCCCCAAACCACCCCTGCAGAACCCCAACCAGCACCCCCACCACCACCCAGCGGCAACCCGCTCAGCACGAACGACCCATGGTGGCACTACACAAGCAGCGACGTCGACACAGTCTTATACCCAGCCTTGCCCGGGCCGAACTTGCAGCCGTTCGAACTACCTCCCCCCTCCGCCACCACCCAACACGACACCGACAGCGAGATGCAGCTCCAAAACCAGATCCTCTCCGAGAGCAGAAGAGCTGCCGCTGCTACTTCGGGACCGGGCTCGCTCCTCAAGCCGTTGCGGTCGGCGCTGCCGCTAAAGGGCACAGGCGGTGGCGTTACGAAGAATACGCAGCAGAAGAAGCGCCGCGTGCGGTTTGGGGGAGAGCAGATTTTGACTTTTGGGGGGGATAGATAGGTGAATGGAGGAAAGGGGTGGGTGAGTGGGTGGGTTCATGATGTAAATGGGGGATATGGGGTATTGGTGAGTGGGATGAGTTTTATTTTATTTTTTGTTTATTTTTATTTCTTTTTTTTTTTTTTTTTAAAAAAAAAAAACTCCCATCTTGTTGCTTCTCGGGGGTTTGCCAGTTGTGTATCTAGAGGCCAAAATCGCCTGGCTACCTAAGGTTTACCGTGTTGTGTTGCATTTCCGGCTCCGTTGGCTTCCTATTTTCTTCACTGCTACGGATTTCATGTCTGTACGTTGTAGCACAACTCTAGTATCTTGGCATCTTAGCATCTTAGCACTGACTAATATTGCTTAACGAGCAGTAGTAAATCGAGGGAGGATTAAAACGAGAGAGAAACTCCCAATATATTGATGGCATGGGTAAGCATATGAAGCATGCATGCGGTGGGGTGTGGTTCGATGTTAGGGGGAGATGGTCGAGGGGAGAAATACATGGGTTGACTTATTAGACTTGATGAAGGCTTCGCTCCTCACGATGTACTTACGGGACGCTGGTCCTAGAACTGCTTACTATGTAAAGCTTTATAATTGGCAACGTCTACATGTATCGAATATATGGAATAAACACACTTAATCTCATGTCATGTTCAGAATCGTCTTTCCTTTCGCTCTTCGTAAATTATGTCCACCCCCTATTTATCACCGGAAACGGGAAGCAACATATTATATCACGATGATACGTATCGCCTGTAGTTAGACAATGCCTAAAACTAAGACTCTTGGATTCGCATCGATGAACCCCTTTTTGAACTGGATATCATTGTCCCCATGCTACAACAGCAGAATCACCTAAAATACCTACCTAAGCTTCATTACTTCATCGTCCCATTTAACTCTTCTCGCCAGCCCTATCGACAGGCTGCGCCCCAATTAGCCATCCTACACCGGACGCCAACGTCCCGACCGCTACATCCCTCAACTGGTCTCTCTTCCTAGCCCGCGGCTCTCCCGTGTCTTCGCGGGTCTCGTCTGATCTAGCGTTCTCACTGCGCTGTAAGCTGGACAGGGCTGTTAAGTTGCGCTGTGCCCTGGCCATGCTGGCGCGCGACAGATCGAACAGTGACATAGGAGCCTCCTCAACATGACGCGAAGACGACGCCTTAGCAGCGTTTCTCACCACGCCCGCCGGTACGGTACCGCTAAAAGCGCCAGGCATAACCTCTATGTCGCCTTTGTCGTCCCACGCCGATTCCTGCTCTTCTTCTGCTTTAGCCGCTGCGTTGAGCTCCTCCTCGCACTTGCGGAATACATTCAGGATCTCCTGTAGAGTTGCGGGCGGTGCGATGCGGAGCGCAGTTGCGAGACACTCTATTCTCTGTTCCAGGTGTCGGATATCGAGGTTCCCGTTGGCTGTCCCGATGTGCGTGGGCTTGATGGTACGTGCTGTCCGGCGGTACTTACCCGCCTGCAACGCGGCTTTCCATGAATAGTCATCTGTTATTGGCGCCGGGCCAGATTTCGAGGCAACCCCGGACTTTGCGGAGGGACCGTTATTGTTCGCGGCTAGGCGGTTGACTACGTATGAATATGCTGTCTCGAAGTCATCTTCTGTAAGTGCGGCATCTACGCACATAGCTATGATACGATTTTCAATGATTGGCCGTTGCCATGCTTGTTCTGCTATTGAGTGCGATTGTCCAGGCTTAGTATGGGCTAATAGACCAGCATCAACCATATTGGACCCGATTTCAAGGAAGTCCTGGACCCGAGTGTAGCTCTTAGGATTCTGTTCTAATACCTTCCCAATTATGGAGATGGGATCTGGATGGACCCGAAGCATAATTGGTATGAACGGCTCTCCTTTTTTCAAAGTCAAGCGGTATTCGCTGAGTGCATGAGTGGTCCTTAAGAGAGCCTCAATTCTTCTAGACTCGGGATGCGTCTCTGGTAGGGTCTGGGGAAATGCGTGTATTCTAACATGATTTAGAGGAATATCCTGCATATTGATTAGGGAATGCTTACATGTCGTCGCATTTCAAGAGACCACCACGACCGCGGTGGGGATTCGATGCGCTATCATAGGCCTTCATTGCGCAAGCAACGATATTATCTCGTAATACGTCGCTGTCGAGGGGCTTCTCAGGCGCATCTTCGTATATAGACCTCGCTAGGGAGTAGCCTGATAACTTTAGCATATGATCCTAATAAAAGCGACTGATGAGCCTTACGAGTGTTGTTTAAAAAGGCTTTGAGACATTCAACCTCAAGAAACTCCTTCTTTAGCTGACTAAAGACACCTTGGACCCGAGTATTGGGGGAGCCTTGAGCTTCTTCTGCACCCCAATCTCGAAGCCATAAAAGTTCATTTCTCGCCCTGATCCAATACTTGTCATCGCTTTTGGGACCGTTTCCACTTAAGTTACTGATATATCTCGTAGCCATTGCCTTCTGTTCTTGTTCATCCTGCAGAAAAGCCAGTTCTCCTGCTTTTCGGACGGTGCAAGAAGCATCGGCTTTGGTTAAGATGAAAGCACTGAGGGTTAAGATATGTAAGAGTTGTGCAGATGTCTCATTTGGTGTTGTAAGCGGGTTTGAATCGGCCAGTAAATCATTGCGCATATAAGTAGCGTTCTTAGCCAAGAGAAGTCGTTCTCCATTAGGATCAGTATAAGGCGGGAGCAAAGACGATGCAACTTGTAAAGTAGGGCAGGGGTCTTGATCTAGTAAGGCCATAATTTTTGTGACAATACTGTTGACACCGGTCAATGCTTCAACTGAAGCTTCTGGTATCAAATATGCTGAAGCTAGCGCAGCACGAGCGTATCTCTGCTCTAGATGCCCCTGCTCACCGTCTTCTAGCCACATAGAAGCATAGCCACCCAGGTCAACATCACCTGGGCCATCCCATTGATCTATAGCTCTCACTGCAACTCTCCACGACTTGGAAGCTTGCGCTGCGATCCACTCAAGGACATGTTCCCATCCTGGACAGAGGGTATAGGACGCGAGCTGACCTTGTTCCGAAGAGCGCTCATTCTCATCACCGCGTGCCCACCTCGCGTCATTATATAGCCACGGACCTATTAAGCCACGAAGGTCCCTCCCAACGTAGGGAAGATCTTCTTGGTTTGCGCCGGTTTGCGACAGTAGCAAATCAACTGCGGCTTGATCGTTCATGCGCTCGAAGGCGGACAAAGTCTGAACAGCTGGATGGTGTGGGTAATATTCGTGATTCCGTCGCAGAAGGGGAAGTAAGACCGAAACCATCCATGTCCGAATAGCGGGCGCATGGTCGAGGAATGGTACTATTAAATCGGGCAACTGGGCAAGTAGACCGGCCTCTTCGTCGACCCGACGCGCACGATGGATCAAAAAGAGAGATATGAAATCTTGAGATTCATCTTTAGGCGCGCCGTCCCATGCGAGGGGAAGTAATCGTAGCTTGCGGACCTTCTTCGCGGCCTCGTCGTCTGTCAAGTCCTCCACCGAAGACCAATCTATTTCCCGCGGTTCGATATCCGTTTCCAAGCTTCCCGACTCGAGGTGCTGCACGAGGGTGACATATTCGCTAGGCGGCAAGGTCTCGGGTAAACATGTTAATAGTATTCGGAGTAATAAGTCCTCTCGTAGGACCTTGCTATGCTGAGCGGCAAGCACAGTCAAGCTTTCGATGTCGGACTTGGCAGCCAAGTACGTAGCGAGGAGTACGATGCGTGGCGCAGAGGGAATTGTCATCATTTTCAAGGCGCTATATACATGGTCTCATTTGTGGAGGAGCCGGGAACCCAACGAGGTTGGGTAATGCTTGCTATTGCCAGAGGCTTTGTTGAACGGAGGGCAAGTAAAGAGATAAGAGGTGCTATTCGAGATATGATATGCATTCAAACGTGTTAGTTACCTAGGTACATGTAGGTAAGGTACCTGCACTTTACCACCTGAGCAGCTCCCGTCTACATACACCTACGTACATAAACCTACCTGCGTGTAGATACTTGGGTACTTTGTACCTGCATGTACCTAGCCCATGTATCTCAAAGTATGACGCACTTGTCATGACATATCAGAAGAAAAAGAGAGAAGATATATACAGCATACAAAGACATTTATGATTTATAACTCACAAGATAGGCCGGTGTATGTAAATATTATGAGATTTACTCTTAAAAGTTAAGCCATTGCTCACTTCAAAGGTCTAATCGTACAAGAGGTTCGAATGTACCTGATCTCATAAAAGCATGCGAAACGCTTTCATAAGGTTAATGCACGGACCACATAGAGCTGCAACTACCCACGTCTAAACCACATAGAGTTAGTCAGGTCAAGCTTAAGAACGGCCATCTCTTAATTCGTCGGACCCAGAGCTTATCTAATTCGGCCAGGATACAGCATCATTCGTCGAAACGTCGCAACGATCCGGAGCAATTGAAACGACATCAAGTCTTATATATTTAATTAGTACTGCCACAATTTTTTCAACCAATCAGATACTTAGAATCGCCCCGCAGTTTGCGACTTTTCCCTTTGCCATTCTATCGCATAACGTCTGCAAAAGGTGCAAATGGTATAGAAAGGTCGTGCAAAACGAGCTCTATCCAACGATACCAATTATTAAAATTTTTATACGCTCTTGGAATAGGTCAATTGATTCTACAAAAAATTCATCGGACGTGCACTGAGGTGTGGCTAGCCAATCAGAGGCCAGATTTTAGCTGTGGCGTCAGTTTTGCGCATCAGGTGATCCCCCCCTTCTCCCCCGTCCGCGCAACCGCGGACGGGCAACGCCGCTAGTAACCTAATCCATCTCAGCAACCGCAATTGAGTGCGCGTTTTCCCTCCCGCACCCACCGAACGACGTCCACCTCTATACGCATAGCTCGACGTCATGTCATCCGGATACGGTCTTCACGGCGGTACGTATATCAATGAATATCCAATTGTTCCGAAGTGCTAACGTATTTTGGATGAATAGGTCCGGGCCGGTGCTTTCCCTTCTGGCAAGAGGTACTAGCTTGCTACGTTGTGAACACATCAGCAGAGGACGACTCGGGGAAGAAGAAGTGCGCGCCTGCTCTAGAGGACTACTACGAGTGCCTACATCACAAGAAGGAGGTTAGGATCCAACCTGATTTACCTACAGCCACCATGCTAGCCGGACGACTGACTAAAGTTTGTTAAATGTGATAGGCCGCGAGAGTAATAGCATTGCAAGCTGCATACCGAAAGGCGGAAGCATCGTCAGCACGAGAGAATGCGCCAAGTGCTGGCCAAATAAGGAACCTAGGCCTATTGGGCAAGGAGGAGGATACGAAACAGGTCCTTGGCGGATGATTGCGATACTTCAAAAAACAGGCACAGCACGTGTACGTACAAGGTCTTCGGTGTATATGAATTTAAGGATCAACGAAACCTAAACTACACGTCCATTAAATCAGCGGGATTAGTTACTCGGGATGACCACAGCCTTGCTACGGATATTGAATCCTTATTTTCCGAGTCGGTGGATATCAGGGGCCGGTATTGCTCAGGTATTCCCAATTTATTCCCAATTCAAAGGCGCAAACATAGAGGCATTAGTATGCATTATGAGCAGACTAACTCTGTCTCACCAAATCATCCCTTGCGACTTATATAACTACACAATGAATATTTAATACCAGCCTGCTCCAGCTCATATTTACGGGTTTGGTAAGTTTAATGAGATGGTTTAGTGGAACCTATCACGATTTCGGATAGAACCTGATTATACCTTCTTTTCTCTAAGAAAAGAAGCTATACAAACAAACAGATGGAAATATGTACACGTATGCAAGCAACAATGTCTACATCCAGTCACTTACCCGTGACCACCACATTACCTAAGGTACATACATCACAAGGTAGGCACGCCCAAGAGATATCTACTATCTACCTGGGTAGGCAAGAGCAAGCCGTTATTGCAGCTGCCCGTGATTCACATGCATTCACATACACGTACTTTCCTTGCTACCGCCAACATCGAAACTGCTTTGTTAAATGCGCTTACTTTTCCTCTCTGCCGTCTTCAAACATCTCTAACTTCCACTCCTTTTTATCGACTCTGCGGCATCATACCCTCATACTTGGACGTATATAGGCGTGTTTCACGCTCGTTCTTTTACCACCATGCCCTCTCTTCGTGGCATTGAGATATCCATCGTAGCCAGCTCGGATATCAAGAGGCTACCAGAATATCCTCATCCGGATGGGTCGTCTGTTCGTCTTATAAGGGTTGGCCCTGGTTGCCACGATCTAAGAGATAAGGTCCGAAATGGCTTACACCTTTCTCCTTCCTCTAACTATCTTAATGCCGAGCCCACCCTGAGGAAATCTAACCCCCGCGTATCAGTCTATATTCCTTCAAGCCCCGGTGAGTCTTGCTCTGATATTTCAAGTTGTTGATATATCCTATCTAAACCGGCTCTCAGGTTCTCAGTTTCGGCTCAAATACCTCATCCACCAGCCAGCACCACTTTCAAGATTCGTCTTTTTTAAGATGATTATCAACGGCCACCCTGCTGTCTCCTGGGGCATTGACACCACTTATTGTGCGGCAGGGAGCGTGTCGAGAAGCCTCTTCGCGCCTGGTGATGGTTTGAGAGACAAGGATGGCAATATCCCTGTTGGCATAGAAACGCGATATTTCCATTTTGTGCATGGCCTGGACCAGACTTTGGCTTCCGAAGATGGTGGCTTGATCGAGGTTCAAGTCTTTCGCTGTCGAGGACGAAAGCGCATCGCCGTTGATCTAGACCCCTATTCGCACCTTCACCAAGAACGCCATGGAATCACGTAGGCTACTCGAATATCGTCTCCTAGATCTTAGTGCCTTTAGCTAATCGTCATTAGATCACCTAGCGGCGGCTTGGTTAACAATCCTCAAGATGCTACCTTCTACGAATACCATCTGGAGGATGCAAAAGATTCGCCTTACGCGACCTTTTGTTTCCATTACCGATCCGTGCAATATCTCGTGCAACGAAACCTTATACCGAAGTACGAACCCGGATTTCGACCGGCATCTCTAAGTTCAAGTAACTCATCAGGCCCCGATTTTCGAGAGAATCCCGCCCGTGTGACCTCTCCACCCGCGCATCAACTCGCAATCGGTGTGGAGTTCCTCGACGATAACGTATTCGACGATCATATGAAGTCTGTTAGCATGGCTATTTCGGATCCGTCAGAAATTCCTAAAGTAGAGGAATATTCCTTAAGGAGCCCCCCGCAACTCGCAGGGGCTCGCCCACGTGCTACTACAGTTGAAGATGCGGATAAGGTAAAGAGGGATGCCTTTTTTGCTAAGTTGCTACAAAGACCATTGCCAGAGCTTCCCAAGACGAGTTCTAGACAGGCTTCCAAGAGTTCACTCCGTTCCAGCTGCCCATCTCTGACCCCGTCTTTGAAACGATACGTCAAGAGCGAAGAGTTTGAGAACGAGGAGATAAAGTTGGGTACGGCGCAGTCCATCTTCCTACCATCTGCGTCGATCAAAGCATTGGAATTGAGAGATATGAATGCTTGTGAACGGGAGGATGAATCCTCTTCGGACTATGCAGCTTCACTGGACTCCACCGAAGCGTCGCATTCACCAGCACTGCCCTCCCCGACCAGTTATCTTCCAACGACTGGCAGCGTACTTGAACGGCAACTCAACCAGTTCGACTCTCCCATCGCTCAATCATCACCAAAATCTAAGGCCAAGCTGCCACTCTCAAAGTCCCAGGTAAACTTGCTTAGCGGTGTAAGCATCCCTGATGTTGGCAAGCTAAAAGTCGCCGAAGGAGAATGGCTTGGGCAGACCCCATCGCCCTTACGACGTGAAAGTAAGCAAGGAAAGTACCCATGGAGTCCACGGCCGGAGAAGCTCCCTGGTCGTTCTTCAATGATAGAACTTCCTGTCCGTCAGGGGGGCGATGAGGATATCAAAGGTTCTGGTGGCAAAGGTGTTGCTCGCGATGTCCGAGCAAGTGCTACACACGACACTAGATACATAAACGAAGCCCCTGCGGGTAACTGGATCTAGATAGGCTGTTGCATATTGTCGATTGTCGAGCGTAATGTTGCTATAACTGAATCTGCGCCAGAGAGACTTAGCTCGTATAGGCACTAGTAACTTCTGTAGCTTAGCTACGACATAGGTAGGTATGCAGAATCGACTGCACCATATGCAAATTGGCATCCAAGACTACCTGCTTAGCTTACGTATTAATCCATATGAATTGTATTTGATGGTACATACGACTTAAAGAATTGTTCGATATCTGCTACGTCTTACTAGTAATCTAAACCCCGCTGGCTGTATTGGGGTTTACCGGAACCTCAACTCATATCTTACTACGCAATCACCACGTACTTTACCTTAAACCTACAACAATCCATAGATAATACCATCTAATAACCTAGTCGACACAAAGCGCACCTCGCTCCGTTGACTTGAAATACTGTGCTATTAGCTTACCAACATGGCTGAACCGAAGCCTAGCCACCTAGAAAGGACAGCGGCGGAACCGCGAGACGAGGTATATTTACTTACACTGACAATCGGGGTTTTTGTTTACTAGATCGTCTACTAACACGTATTAATAAGTCCCTGCACGTCGTCACGTTGACCAAGATCGACGAGATCAACGACAAAATCAGACTCTTCCGCCTTGAGCTGTCAGCCCCTCTTCGGGTATGTCCTACTTCTTTGCTTTCCTTACATGCTATTTGATGCAGATACAGATATGATATAATGAGTTTTATTACCTTCTTACATATATCGCTATTTTTCTACGATATAGTTCTTACCGGGTCAATGGCTCGACGTCTTCGTGCCTGGCGTGTCCAAGGCGGGCGGATATACTATCACCTCGCCCCCGTCTCTAGCGCGGCCCCATCTCTCCCCGGGACCAGCGCAAGCTCAAAGTCCGGGGTACGTAGAGCTTGCGGTGCAGAAATCGGTTGATCCGCCCGCGGCGTGGCTGTGGCAGAACCCGGACGAGATTATCTATGCGGAATTACGGGTCCGCGTAGGCGGGAGCTTCGTGTGGCCGCCGGAGGGCATCGATGCGAATTCTCTACGGCGCGTGGTCTTCGTCGCTGGCGGCGTGGGGGTTAATCCTCTGATGAGTATGCTATCTACTATCGCGGAGACGACGGGCGCGGATGCGCCGTTCCAGGTACACTTTTTATACTCGCTGAAAGATGATGATGATGGGTCGGGAGGTAGACGCGCGGACCGCTTGCAGTTTGTGGAGAGGCTGGCTGGGATATTTGCTTCGGGGAGGGTAAAGGGGTGGTTGAGGCTGTTTCTTACGAGTGGGAATGGAATTGGAGATGAAGGGGGTGGGATTGTGGGTTGTGCGGGAGGGGGAGAGGGGGAGGGAGGAGAGAGTAAGGCGCCGTTTCAAGCGCGGAGGATGACGGTTGATGATATTGCGGAAGCGGTGGGCGATGCGGAGGAGAGGAGGACTGCGGTTGTGTATGTTTGCGGTGTGCCTACTATGACGGACGAGTTCGTGCTGAAGTTGACTGATACGGAGGCTGGGCTAGGGATGGAATCTCATCGGGTGCTGTGCGAGAAGTGGTGGTAGGTGTCTGATCTAGCTATACATACACTACGAAGAGGTATTGACCAAGGAATATTTTGTCTAAGACTTTGTGATATTTGGTGTTTGTGTATAGGGGATAGGGGATAGGGGTCTGTGATATCAAAAGCTTCATACGTACCCAAGTAAATCCCGTAGATATTACACTAAATTAAATTCCCTCTAGCAAGTCTAAATATAACTATGTACCTGCCTATAGAGCTTCAATGTTCCTTGAATCGATTAGTGAACCTGACCCCATCCCGGTCCATCTCCGTTGGGGAACCTCGGCACGTCCCCGCAAGGTCCTCGGCCATCGTCGCTATCGATACGAGGTGCGACTGGGTTAGGGTATTATTGACTTATATTGTCCAATGGTTCTGACATTGAACTTCCCGTATTAATAATTATAAGGACGAGACTTGTTTTCGATAGAGGAGAGTCCGTTCCAATATACTACCTTAGTTAATATACTAGTCAAGGACTATTTTCTGTCGCCATTGGATCAACTGGAATATATTCCATTACGCTATACTTCCAACACAACATCATGGCCGACGAAACAGCTCTTACCGACTTCCCGTCGCTTTTCTCCCTCAAGGGTAAAGTCGCCGTCGTGACAGGCGGCTCTCGAGGTCTAGGTCTGAACGCAGCTTCAGCGTGAGTTCTATCCATATGCCTAGGCAGGTACCTAACGTACGGTGTACTTCGACACTAACCCCTACTCTACCTACCACCAGTTTCCTCCAAGCCGGCTGCTCCAAAGTATTCATCACCTCGCGCAAAGCCAAAGCCTGCGACGCCGCCGTCGCCCAACTCAACGCCCTGCCGAACCTCCAGCCCGGCGCCCGCGCCATCTCCGTCCCCGCCGACAGCAGCACCCTCGCCGGCGTCGAGTCCCTCGTGGCCCAGGTCTCCACGCACACCGAGCACGTCGACATCCTGCTCGCGAACGCGGGCGCCACCTGGGGCGAGGCCTTCGACACGCACCCCGCCGCCGCGTTCCAGAAGGTCATGGACCTCAACGTCAAGGGCGTGTTCCTGTGCATACAGAAGTTCGCGCCGCTCCTGCAGAAGCGCGCCACCGTCGACGACCCCAGCCGCGTCATCATCACCGCGAGCGTCGCGGGCTTGGGCGTCGGCGCGACGGGCCCGCAGGCTACGTTCGGCTATAGCGCGAGCAAGGCCGCTGTTATCGCGCTGGGGCGCAATCTGGCGCTCGAGCTGGGGCCGCGCCATATCCTGGTTAATTCCATCTGTCCCGGCTGGTTCCCGACTAAGATGGCGACGGGCTTGTTGTCTATGACGGGCGGTCTCGAGAAGCACGCCGCGCGCAACCCGAACAGGCGGCTCGGCAGGCCCGAGGATATCGCTGGTGTGGTTGTTTATCTGTCGAGTCGGGCAGGGTCGCATGTTAACGGCGCGACGATACAGATTGATGGAGGTGCGTTGTGGAATACGGTCTCCCTCGATGCCGGGCCAGCGGAGCCTAAGCTATGATATGATATGATATGTATGTGTAGTATCGGTGCTATAGCCAGCGTAGCAGATGATTTTTTTTATTTTATTTCCTATGATTAATGATATATTCGAGCCATTACACATGTTCTCATTATTTATGTGCCTTTATCTAGGACCCAGATCTACAGTGCTGGATATGTCTGGATGGTATCCTTGCAAAATTCAAGCCCCGATACCAGATGCAATGCGCCCAAGATTCCCCCATCAACAAGCTCTAGTAAGCGGTCTAGATTTCAGCCGTCGCGTTATATCAGTCTTCCGGCTTTCGCGCGACCCAGTGGCTAGCTTTATATACCGTTTGCAACATGCTCTGGGAATCCTGCACGTAAGGGGCGTGCAGGCCTGTTTCTCGCTTCTCTAGGATAAACCCCATACGCTCCACCAACGCGACGACTTCGTCGTCAGTAAGCTCGAAACTTCCGGGATCTGCGATGCCTAAAGAATTATTTTCATCGTAATCACCGTCTCCATCGTATCCGTGATGGCCGGGGACGTGGTTCTCCCAGTGCCATAACAGAGGTCCGACATTGATAAGAACACCACCAGGTTTCAAACAATTTCTTATTACTTCGAGGTAGCGAATTAGATTTGGCGCCGTGTCAAGGAAAAATACGGAAGCTACGGCATCGTAGGTATCTTTGTGGCTTTCGTCTCCGTACAGGCAGAGAAAATCTGCGGCACACATCTCCATCGAGCCGATTCCTCTTGTCTCCGCCAATGTCGTCTGGGGGTGAATATCTGGAATTTTATAAGATTTAAATTGATTATCGCGACTCTTGTGGTTGGAAAAGGAGTGGATCCATGGAAATATAGTGTGTTGACCTGCGGTTTCGGTAGAGTTAAGAATATACGACGATGCCAGCAGTTGATGGTAGGAAATCTCGTTGCCTTCTGTATGGTACCCCGTCCGGCAGAGATCGAAGACCAGTCGTCCCAATCCGGCGCCAGGTACCAAAACTTTCATCGGTTGTCGATTAGGATATCTCGCCTTCTCATCATTCAGCGCACGGTATATAGGCCCGTAACAGGCATCACGTTCAACAGCACCCTCGGCAGACCAGTCACGGTAGAATTGCCTAATAGTGCTCCGGGCCTTATCCAGATCATTATATTTAGCAACACCGGACCATTCCTCAGGCATAGCGAGCTCCTTTCCCGAGGCAGCTTCAAGCACGCCAAAGGACCTTAAGCCAAACTTGACGATAATACGGGCTAGCTCCGCATTGCTCTCGATAGCATCGTCAACGCGATTTAACGTATCCAGATACGAAAAAGGCGGCTGGGCGAGCAATTGCCAATGGGCTTGAGGGAGAGCGTAGAACGCCTGCCTACGAAGATGGGTGCAGTTTAGGTGCGCCGTCTTCGCATATTGGCTATATGAGGTTTGTTAGTGTATATAAACGGGCTAGAAGCATGTGTGGGTGAGCGACCTATAAGGTAATGCGACGCCTATTGGAAACAAAACCGCCCTCCCGTTCGGACATAGGAGGTGCTTAACTTGACAAACGATATTCAACAACACAACGACCTTATATTACTAACCTAAAAGAATCGAGGGCGCAGAATATAACTCTGATTTCCTCTGGGTCTTCGATGGTATCTTCGACCCCGTTCCACTGAGACTCATCTCTGTAAGTCTGTTTCTCCAGCTCCATGATAGATGGCAGCAAATTCAAGAGTTAGCAAACGAAGAATGGCCTTATTATATAATCGACAAATCCAGTCGGAGACTTTATGATAATAATAACAGTGGGGGGCCGCCGTTATGTATCGTATGTATATCGTATGTATATGAGCGAGGGATATCTCCAGACGGAGGGGCACACGACTTATTTGAATAACTGAACTCTCTTTAACCTTAGCACATCTTTGCTATACTAATTGCATGATGATAAATTAAGTATGTCTCTAAGTTCAAGGGTCTGTAATAATGTCGTATGAATTACAGCGTAAGACAGACAGAAATGTATAAGGACCGTTCTTGAAGAGAGAGAGAGACAGAGAGAGAGATGGTGGATGATTATAAAAAGTTGAACTTCGAGATTACTTGGAGGAGCTAGGTACAAACCTCTCTAGTAGGTGCATGTACCCTTAGTAAGATACCCTTAGGTAAGATACTTACATAGATGTACCTGTGTAGGTAATGGAGCCCCAGTCGTTCGGAGATCTGCTGATGTGGGGTACCGCCTTCTGTACGACAGATACACTGATATGTACACTAGACCGGGTCATGACAAACATGTATTTGTTAAAGAGTTGCTCCTAAGCCTTAGCTAAATCTCACTTAAATCTCACTTAAAGCACCCCTATCGCCTACCCCTATCGCCCTATCGTGGGGTGCGCCTTAACCACTAATCCGCTGGCCGCTAACAATTGCCTGCCTCCCTCGAATAATATTCACCCCGTTAAACACCACGGTTGAATTTTATCTGCAGTAAAAAGGCATATCAAATATCAAAATGGCAGAGACGATTGATGAGCCCATCCAGCTCTCATTCCCCCTACCGCGGTCTTTGGATACGAGGATTCATCTGCGCTTGGACATAAAATCAAAAGTCATCATGTTATTTCTCACAACTGTATCTGCAGATGAGGAAGATCAAGCAGTACCAATGGGATCTTTCGTCTACGCCTTACCTGACGTATGTAATCCTGTTGCCATTGGTAAATCTGCAACTTACTGAAATACGTGTTCCTAGAAATACAACCCAAGCCAGCCGCTTTCAACAACTATCTTCGCTGTAGAAGCTACGCTCGAGTTTACTACTCGCCTAGCTAAAATCCTAGTCAAGAAGACGCAAATGCCAGTATATGTGGGCAATTCCATCAGCTTTGCCAATACTGGACTAGGAGGCACGGTAGAGGAGGAAATGGAGGCTCTCAAAAGAGTCGTTGAAATTTCACTTGATAAACTCCAAGGCGTTGTCAAATCGCCCGACGTCCTACCAAATGGAACGGGTAGTTCTTAAGAATGCCGTTGGCATTGTACGGCAACTAGGTACTCTTGAGAGCAGATGCATACCTCTCTCCTATGCGGAATCTCAACCTGTGGCCACGGCATTTCGAAAATCAAAATCGGGTACGCGGAATACTTGAAAAGTTATCCAGGGCCTACCGAGATACGAGCTTCTAGAAACCGATAACTCATACTACGTAACCCGTTGGGGGGCTGCTCGAGCATGGAGTGTCAGTCACATCGATCAAGGGATTATAGACTCATATTATGATCTCCGAGTGCGTATGAATGACGATAATGTAGGTACGAGTTACTACGTGAGGCTTTTCTATTAGGATATACATACATTGAGACCTTCGTAAGTAATACGATGGCTTTCAATCAAGCCTTGACAACTGTAATGAATTATCTACCCGGTATCGATCCGTGACGTAGGTAGGTATCTCTGCTATGATGAAATTACCTTTGCCCATCTCGAAGCTGGTACACTCTTACACTTATTTATGTCTTTGTTTGGCTTTAACATGATTACTACACGGCCGAATCCAGGGGCCTTGCCTCAGTTTCACTGAACTAGGTTATTTTAGACTATATAAAGCACAGTTACAAAATAAGACTGATATAGTTCAGTTCTAGCTGATATTTACTTTGTTAGCGCTAGTATCATTTAGAAACGTCCGAAAATTCCAAGGTTCGCTACGTTACTCTAATATATCCCATAGGTATTCGGATGAGGACTATACACCCTATCTCCTATTTAGTCAAACCATTTACCTATCAAGTGTTTATTTAGTGGCTATCATCGTTTGATTGCATTCAATATAAAACAGCGCTAAGCATCTCACCTACACCAGGGCTTTAGCATATCCGTGACATATAGATTGTACGAAAGAGGCGTTACTTATACCTCGAGAAACTATTCGACGGAAGCCCTCCGAATACTTGATCACTACCCTCCCTATCACCTGCTGCCCAGGACAGCGGCTGATCTGCATCGAATCGGTAGCTCGGGCGGATATCTGCATACGTCTGAATCCTTGATCCTCCCAATTCACGTGCAACACAACCTCTTCAGGGCCATGGAACCCAGGGTCTAAGCAAGGTGCCGTCTATAGAGCTGGCGGATCAAATAATCTCCTGTGCAGATCCCCGAGTCGCACGACGTCCGCCATCAAAGTAGCTGTTAGGAGATGTAACAAACTTACCTATAGCGCTTGGTCATTTTGGCTACCGCAGATATCTGGCTATCTTGTGAAACGCATTCATTCTTGGTAAGGGCCCCCGTGAGGACTGTTTTCGAACCCAACGACCGCCGGGCCTCCTGACAAAGCTGTCGTTAGGTAGAAATGGGCAGAGTTTAATTAGAATACTTTGCTTCCATTATAGTACTACTAGCTTCTTATCCATCCAATTACGTATTCTAAATAAAAGGGCACGGAACGTCTAGGGATCTCAATCATCTATCGATAGGGTGTCATATTGGTTAGGTTTGTATATATATATAATAGCTATCGAAGCTTGACAGACTGTACCCTTTGCCTTAAATCCACACTGTCCATCTTCAGCAGGTAGCAGCTTGACTCATTATTACACCCATATTGATTCTCGTTGCACAGGGGCTTGTCGTGCGTGGCATCTCAGCATGTGCTATCGACCTCATACGTACCTATGCATACTTCGTATTCCAGTCCGACTTGGCACCTCGTAGGTTACGACAACATAGCACACCGCGTACACGAGGGCCCGGACAGATCCCGGCCTGGCCTGGCCTGGTCTAGGCTAGGTGTTTACCTACTTCACATGCTGCTTGCTCAGCTCATTTATTGTCTCCAGGGGGATATGAAGTACCTAATTATTCTAGCTCATGGCTTTGCTTTGAGTCATGTCAAAACTTGACCGGGTTCTAATGGGCCCTTGTCTTATATATCCGTCCTATGTATGGAGAAACTTGTTAGTAAGCAACCGGTTCCGAGATGTTGTTTGCCCCTTGGTGACTCTGGTGATTAAGGGGTAACATTAGACGAAGCTAAGTATCTTGTTACGATCGTCCCTTCAATCTATTCGAAAACAGCGTATAACGGAGTTTTAAGATTCAGAGGAGTATCACACTTTATATAGGTAGGTACTTACGTACTGGCTTGGCGCATATATGTAGTATGTAATGCAGAGAGTTATGCGTTATGGAGTAGTATAGCATTGCACTCTTTTTCTTTTTTTTTTTTTTTTTCTTTCCTCAACTTCCTATAACATTGCTATCTTCAAGAATTTGTGATAGTATGTACCTATATACCTATGTACCTGTTTATATTCGTACGTTTCGAGGTACCTGGGGAAGTACGTATCTACATGTATGTACATAATAAACGCCGTCTGACCGTATCAATGAGCGTCTTACACTAACAAATCTTCCCTGCCACGGTCTTTTAGGTAAGTATAATCGGTTGGGGTCGCCGTATCGATAATGGTTAGGTGGGCGGTGGACCATTATTTTATACCACCAAGAAAGGTACCTACCTACTTACTTATGTACTGTAACCTATATATACGCCAAGTTTGCTATGTGAGGTAGGTATCACTACCTACCTACCTAACCTACTGTATGAAGCGCCTAGCACTTCTCAAAAGAGCTAAGCACGTTTTAACGTAAAATCTGCCACACCACACCCAAGCACCACCCCACCATTAACCTTTTCTAAAAGAGGATTTTAAGCCCTTGGATCATGGTTCAATAACCGGAAGGTCACGGTCTCTCCTCGCAAAGCCAGCAGGAAATTGACATTGGCCGCAACAGGTCATTTGCCCTGTTTTGCATCATCGCGACAATCCAGACTAAACCTTGAAGGACAACAAAAAGGAGGAAGAAGAAGAAGAAAAAAAAGGGAAAAAGACCAGAGAAGGTGTCAAAGCTTTTAACCCCCCCCCTTCTACCAGTGCCCTTCTACTCTTCAATTTTCATATCTCATCTTATTTTCCATTATCGCCAACTGCCCAGTCTATCGCCTTAGGACCCCACCAATCCCCAGAGTCCATGTTCCTGACAATCAACGCTTGATCTTCTTCCCTCCCTTATACCCCCCCTTCCTCTCTTCTCTTTTATTACCATCGCGAGATCATAGGCATTTAAAGAGTGCCTTCAATCTAGGCTTGGGATTTCGAACGCGCACACATCCGAGATTCTCATTTACTTGCCGCCCATCATGGCGTGGCAACCCTCGCCCGAGTCCTTGAGCACGCTCGCTGCTTGTCTCAAGGATTCTCTCAGCGGCTTCGATAAAGCTGCGCAGAAACAGGCCGAGATTGTAAGAAATCCCTCTTGTGATGCCCGACCAGGCGATAGCTATGGTTTGATCTAGTTATAAATAGTCGCAGCAATTCGAGCTAATACGAAGCTTCTCTCTTGCAGATGCTCACGCAAGCGAAGTCGTCTCCCGATATTAACAACTACCTCGTCTATCTATTCTCCAGCCAGGAACCTCCAAGTGGCCTACAGTGCTCAGCTCAAGATTACTTTCTTATACGGTCGTCCGCCGCAATTATGTTGAAGAATAACATTAAGACGAGCACCAAAGAAGTTTCCGACAGCAGCCTGACCCTGATCAAGATGGGAATTCCTATGTGTTTGCAAGACAAGAATGCTCAAATTCGTAATTACGCAGGTGTTATCGCAACTGAGATGATTCGTCGAGGTGGTATAATGAGCTGGCCCGAGTTACTGCCAGAGCTTTTGAAGATGATTGGCAACGAGTCCGGCCAAGTTACGAACGAAGCACAGGAGGGTGCTATGGCGGCTATGGCTAAGATTTGTGAAGACAACACTAAGATGTTGGAGCGCGAGCTGAACGGCGAACGGCCGCTGAATTTCATTCTCCCCAAGTTGATCCAGGCTACTAAGAGTTCGTTGCCCAAGGTTCGCGCTCATGCTTTGACCGCCATCAACGTCTTTACAGGTCGAAAATCTCAGGCTATGCTCAACTCCATCGACGATTTGCTCCAGCACTTATTCTCACTTGCAACAGATTCTAGCAATGACGTGCGAAGGCAAGTGTGTAGGGCATTTGCCCAGCTTGTTGAATCTCGCCCGGACAAGATCCAGCCGCATCTCCCGGGTCTTGTCGATTACATCATTACGCAACAGCAGAGTGATGATGAGGATTTAGCCACCGATGCTGCGGAGTTCTGGCTTACCGTAGGCGAACACGAGCATCTCTGGCATTCCTTAAGCCCGTACATCAGCAAAATCATCCCGGTTCTTCTTCAGTGCATGGTATATAGCGCTGAGGATATCGCGCTTCTTGGTGGCGCATCTGATGACGAGGATGAAGACGATCTTGAACAGGATATTAAACCCGCATTCGCAAAGAAGCCATCAGCGCGACAAGCTAACAAGGATAGTTCTGCGGATTCCACCCAGAATGGAAATGTCTATGAAAAATTGGCTAGCATGGACGACGACCTGGAGGAAGGCGAGATTGATGACTTGGATGATGGAGATGACGCGGGTCCGGACGAGCGATGGACCTTACGAAAGTGCTCTGCAGCTGCACTCGACGTCTTCGCTCGTGATTTTAGGGACCCGGTATTTGAGTCTATTATGCCATACCTGAATAAAAACATCAGGCACACCGATTGGCCGTATCGGGAGGCTGCAGTACTCGCGTTTGGCGCTGTCGCGGAGGGTTGTATCAATGTTGTCACGCCTCACCTCCCTCAGTTGGTGCCTTACTTGATCTCTCTTCTGGATGATCCCGAGCCTGTCGTCCGTCAAATTACTTGCTGGACGTTGGGTCGTTACTCTTCCTGGGCTGCAGATCTGACGGATCCGCAACAAAAGCAACTTTACTTCGAGCCCATGATGGAAGGTATCTTGACGAAAATGTTGGACAGCAATAAGAAGGTTCAAGAAGCTGGTGCGTCCGCCTTCGCTAATCTCGAGGAGAAAGCCGGTAAGCGATTGGAGCCTTACAGCCTCCCGATCATTCAGCAATTCGTCCGTTGCTTCAAGAAGTATAAAGACCGGAATATGTATATCCTCTACGACTGTGTCCAGACACTAGCCGAACACATAGGGCCTGTTTTAGCCCGACCCGATCTCGTTAACGAACTGATGCCAGCGCTCATCGAGAGGTGGACCAAGGTTTCCGACCAGTCCCGAGAGCTTTTCCCGTTATTGGAGTGCCTATCATATGTTGCCATGGCACTGAACGATGCGTTTACTCCCTATGCGCAACCGATTTTTGTCCGTTGTGTCAACATCATTCATCAAAATCTAGAAGCATCTCTAGCGTTAGCAAGTAACCCATCCCTCGATGCGCCAGACAAAGACTTCCTAGTTACGAGTTTGGATCTCCTCAGTGCTATCATCCAGGCGCTAGATCCGGCAAAATCTTCGAAGCTTGTCCAGGAGTCTCAGCCTGCATTTTTCGAGCTCTTGACCTTCTGCATGGAAGATCCGACAGACGAAGTACGACAGTCGGCATACGCACTCCTCGGAGACTGTGCTAAGTACGTATTCGAGCAATTGCAACCGTCACTACCGAACGTTTTCCCGGTCCTCTTGAGACAGTTGGATCTGGACAACATAATTGACGAAGAGATTGATAACGGATTCGGTGTCATTAACAATGCCTGTTGGTCCGCAGGAGAAATCGCCATTCGACACAAGTCTAATATGGCACCTTACGTACCAGAGCTCTTCCAACGCTTTGTAGAAATAGTATCTAACCCAGGTATACCCAAAGGGGTGACCGAAAATGCCGCGATTGCGTTGGGACGGCTTGGGCTCGGTAATGGCGAGCTTCTGGCACCGCACCTGGCTAACTTTGCTGAAGATTTCCTCATCTCTATGGATGAGGTTGATCCGTCAGACGAGAAAGCAACTGCATTCCGGGGCTTTACCGCCATTGTTGAGAAGAACCCCATGGCTATGGAGAAATCCCTCTTGCACTTTTTTACTGCGATTGCCCGATATAGGGACCTAAAATTGCGCAGTGAGACCAAGAACGGCCTCCATGAGGATTTCCAGAAGGTGAGCAATCGCGAGTATCTAACTGATAAAATTAAGATCTGACAAGAAATTAGGCTCTCGGCATCTACCGTCAGATCATCCCCCAGTTCGACCAATTTTTTGGCCAGTTGCAGCCTCAAGATCAGCAGACGTTAAGAACGACGTACAATTTTTGAATCGAGAGCCGCTGATTACGGCGTGAGTCACTCGGGTTCAACAATACTTACGCAAAGTTACGAGTGGATTCACTTTCATGTCTTCCGGTACTCATTACAATAGGCGATATACCAAGTCCAAGATTAAGATTGGTTTCTCACCTCACGTAAAATTTATTGCCAGTTGAACAAGGCGAGAACGTCAACAGCAATCAGTGCCTGCGGATCCGGGATCCGCATCAAGATATGTGTTGCGGTACGAAACTCCTAGCTTATCGACCGGCGTAGCCGTTGCAAATTCGGAGGACGGGTAAAACAGGTGTTACGCATAAGGCGTAGAAAAACGTTAGCATTTTCTAATGGATACGGGATGGTGGTCCAGCCGTCGATGAAAGAAGCCACGCATAGGGACGAATAATGAACTGCATGGCAACGTCGACGACATAACTCACACAGATACCGCCAGGTTGGTAATTTAGGCCTGGGCTAGCTTTTATTCTTCGCACATAAGCGAAGGAAAAGCCAGGTGCCAGGAAACATACTTTTGCTACGTTTACCAAAACAAACCATAGTAGATAGCACGTAGTTAGATAGATTAGCATAGCAATTTCTCCCACCCTCCTACCTTACTCTCTCCCCTTCCCTCTATCTCTATCTCTGTCTCTACCGAGACGAGAGCGAAGATCATCATCTTCTTCTTCTTCTAGGCTAGGTTAGGTTAGGAACTACGTTAGATACTCGAAAACTTGAAAAGAATATCGAAGAAGGTGCGCCATAAAAATATTATGTGAAATGAGCTAATGTAGTTGAAATTTTGAATTAGCCCCTATTAGAAGCACTTATATACTATACATTCATTAGGTAGGTAGGTACCTGGATATCAGGTAGATCTGCGATTTGATAATGTAGAGGACAGACCCGAATAGATGACCATCCGTTTTGATATCCATTCGAGATATGAGATACGCAGCGCGTGCTGATATTTAACAAGGACGTACGTACGCAGCTCTGGACCTACTATGTGTAGGTAACTATTTAGATACATTTAGCTATCAGTCATATCATCACGAATAACACTTCTGGTTTCTATAGCACCTAAATATTTCGGAACCCAGCACATAATACGAAGTCATCGAGATATCGAATTCTCTTCTTATTAAACTATGTCATATTCTGATATCGCGATGGGGCACTGTCTCCTCGCACGCAGATACCAAGCAAAATACGATACAATCGCTTCGGCATCCAAAGGCTATGCTCGGGCCTGGGTATGATTACCAACCACCTCGACCCCGATGGTCCCAGCCCCCACGGTGTCCGTGTCCGCGGTAATCTCCCCTACCCCCTCTCCCGTACTGCTGGAAGCCGCCACGGTGCTGCTGCGGTTGTCCAGGCGGTGGTGGGGGAGGTACAGGCCATCCTCCCATCGGCATGTTAGGTATCCAATTCGGCGGCATGTTTGGCGGGATCGGAGGCGGTGGTGGCCATTGGCCCTGGTAGTTCTGCGGTGGAGGGGGTGGTGGTGCTATGAACTGGCTGAGATCCGAGGGTAAAGGGGGGAAGGGTTGTGGTGGGAAAGGAGGCGGAGGCGGAGGTGTAGAATGCTGTTGATATTGAGAATTTGGATGTGGTGGCTGATTTGGAAAACCGGGTAGCGGTTTTCCGTTCAGATTGGCGAAGTGAGGAGGATCATATGGCCTCGGAGCAGGCGGCGGACTCCTTCCTTGGGATCGCGAGAGTGGACGATCATATGGTCGATCCGCTGAGCGAGAACGAGAACGAGAACGAGAATTGCTGTACGATCTTCGCCTATGACGGTCTCTGCTATAGCTCCGTCTATGGCTTCGACTTCGACTTATACTAGAGCTTCGCGAGCTAGATACACGTCGTCGCTTGTGCGCGGGCCGCGATGAGCTACGAGATGAACTTCGTGACCGTGAATGCGAACGTGATGTACCGCGTCCGCGGTGTCCATCCCCAGAAGCGCTTGTCTTTTTGCGGCGCTGTTTCATCTTCTCACAGAACGCACGAGACCAGCCATAGTAACTATCTCCATCGATAACGTTCCCAGTCGTCTTATCAAGCACAACGCGCTGTCCTAGCTGATCGATGTCTTCGGTGTGCTCGTCAACATCGCGCTGGCCTCTACTGTAAATGCGATCCACATCAACTAATAAGTCTTGAACGGCTTTGACCAATTTCTCGTCCGCAGGGCCGGCAACAAACTGTAAGGGTTTGATGATATCGGGGTTCATTGGTCTCGTAGAGTTGGGTTCGATAGCGGGTAGCCAGTTCGCTGCGGGCAAGTCATACCATGAGACAGTGGCATCACCATGCATGGCTGGCATGATGAACGGAGCATCTTTGGAAGATCTTGTACCCGTGACTTGGGTGCCGTCAACAGTCGTATCAACCTTGGTGGCCGAATGCGGTGCTTCTTGAGCAGTAGTCCGAAGTTTCTGAATAAACGATTCCGAAAAATACTGCTTTTCGGCCCAAAGGTTTATAAGGTCCAATACTTTCTTGGAATGTTTCGGGCAGTTCGGAAAGGCTGCAGCAAGTTGAATGATGTCCGGGATAGTAGGTTCCAACTTTTGCGCGAAGTTGGTATTCCGGTCCCGGATATGGACATGGTATAGCGTATCATTCAGAATGTAGAGTATATGGAGGCGTTTACGTTTCGAAGAAGGCTCGCGGGCTTGCCTACTAGCGGCAAGATCCAAGTTAAAGGACTTAGCCACCGCCGTCAAGTATTTCCCCAAGGCGGCGATTCTAGCAGGAGACTGGACTAGGTTCTTTAATATCCAATGCTTGCTTTTCTATGTGGCGACCGTTTAGCTGTCGCACAAGACACCAAGTTTCAAAAGATTGTGTTGCTCAAACCTGAACATTGGGCGAGGAGCATCGCGAGATGGTCGCGTCGAGCAGCTGAAGGAACTCGTCAATCTCGCCGCGCGAGCATGATGTTGGATCCGGACGTAAGAGTACGGCAGAGAAGGACACTCTAGCTATAGCTAGCTGTGGCGACGCCATGGTTATAAAGTGATGATGAGAACAATGCCGATAGAGCACATACTCTCGAATTTCTCGAAGTTGACGGTGGTTGAATGGTAGACAACTATGTAAAGAACAATGATGAAATGATGGAATGTGGAATGATGGAATTATAGGAAACTTAGTATGTAGATGCAAGGCTCTTAACTTGATTGGTTACTTGAGCAGATTTCTAGTCTGACCTGCTGCACTAACCATATTAAGCTAGATCATGGACGCTTGGTGCAGGTACATTAGGTAGGTGGCACCCTGGCTGCCCAGTACATAGACGTCGGACTAAATATTTCCGATAGATACGTATCTTAATTTACGTAGCGATTTGACAAGACCCTTTTTTTTTAATGTCCTCACATAACCCTTCCAGCCCTTTTGGCCGTGGCACTCGGCGTAATAATAACCCAAGTATCAACTCGAGTAACCGCAAGTTTTCAAACTCATTTGTACAGATACAATCCCAGAATTGACCAAGTAAATATGAAGGAATTCAAATAAATATGTATGGCGCATTTTAACATCCAAGAGTTTCAAGGTTTCAAGGCGCCAAATTGCGTGGCCGACCAACCGGTCCGTATCAAGATACCATTGCTGTTATGACGAATATTTGGGAATATTTGGGAATGGAATTGTGTTCATCCGTCTCTTCTAAATATTGTGTACACGTATGTTTTCGTAATGTTCTCATTATGGGGTATGCTCAGCTCAGCTTTTAACCACGACTAAGAGAACCGATCGCCTTTTGGACTCGTAAATGGTGCGCTACTCTCGTACTTGCTCTTTTCTATTACTTGTTGTCCTTCTGTAGCCGGAGCATGCCGAGTCGGTGCTGGGTCGCGGCTTGCCTCTTGGCTCGGTGACCCGGCTGTATCAGTTCGGGCTGGCGTGCCATTTCCATTTGTAGAACCGCCCATTGTCGATGCGGAGAGCGGTTTGCTGGGGACATTGCTCGAGTACTCAAGAGAGTCGATCATCTGCTTCTTTCGGCGAGTTTCCTCGAGGCGCGCGGCCCTGTCTGCATTGATACTCTTCTTCGCAAAGTAGTACGCTCCCGCGCCGGCTATAGCACAAGACAAGAGTGAGAAGGAAGCTCACAGTGGCGCAACTATATTATAAATAATAGTATAAATACATACCAAGGCAGAGGGAACCCCATCCCATCCTATATAAAAGCGTAGACAATCAGTAGGATAATTCATTAGGCGGCGCAACCGTTGCGATTACCTACCAGAATGATTTAACCTAAGAGCGGGGCGTTAGCATAATTGCGCTGGCTGTGCCTAGCCTTTTCTTTATAAGATACGTACTGTATTCATCTTGATCTTGAATGTTGGCTATGGGTGCTTTAGACTTAGCTTGTTGATTATATCGATTATCTCAATGATATTTGAGGGAAAAGAAAAATAGAGGTGGGTAAGTAGGTTAACGTGGGAAGCTCGAAAAAGTTAAAAGATTAAAAACATTCATCATAAAAGTCAAAATCATAAAGTCATAAAGTGGTACGTTTATTTTATGATCCCCGGCTATCAGGTCAGGATAGAGATGAGTACAACCCTGCAAGCACTCCCGTCGTTTTAGCGTACCTTGGTCGACCTTTTTTTTTTTTTTTAGCCACCGTCGCCTTCTGTAGCAAGAGCTGGGTGCTGTCCGGGTCCCAGTGTTTGGGGGCACCCAGTCAGCCAGTACCGGCAACCGGGGCTTATGACAGGGCCTATGACATGCAATAGGGCCGGCACCTGCAACTTCTCCTTTCAGTCCACCATAAATGGGCAGTGCATGTGCATGCCGTTATTACAATCAGGTACATAATATACACCACTTCGTACCTACCTCTAGAGGTAATGTACGTAAGGTACCTAAAGAAACAAGCTAAGGATAACAGAGTTCGATGTTTCGTACGAGAATAGGTATTACGTAGGTACCTGCCTAGTGTATGGGTACCTCATACTAGTTAGGTACAGGTGTACGTACTAAGTTTGTACACCTCCATTTTGTTCAAGTCCAGACGGGAATATTCAATGCGCCTAAAGATCTGCAATTCGGTAGCACAAGTAGCCACTCACTAGAGGTTTCGCATGTTTGGGACCAAACTCCAAAGGAGAACCCAAATTAAAACGCTCGTTAACCCTCAAAAGACTGCGTAACATATTAAACCTAGACGAATTTCAAATAATAACATCTTTTTTCTTTTCGTATGACTGTATGACCGCATGCACGTTACTTCTTCGGAACTGCGCCTCATTCGTTATACCGTTACGTGACAACGCTGCAACTTTCTACCGAAGCTCTCTCGACGTTAAACACTGAATTGCAACAGACGGGATAAACAACCGACAAAAAGAAAACAAAAACAAAAAAACATGATTACAATTAGCGGCCAAAACATCCCATTGATATTATAATATTCGGTCTGACGGCATCATCTTTCTTATCCAACCAGAATTGTACGCTTTAACACGGCCACGTGCTCATTCATTCGTTGGCACTCTTTGGAAGAAGATCTACACCGAGCACGAACGCAGTGGCAGCCACTTTAATTTCTAACCTCTTACTTCTGACCTTGACCTCTATCGTTAAAAGCTTACGGTTTAAGAGCTACCGATTTATCCTGTTGGATGATCCAGGGAAACTAGCTCTTCGGTCAGTGATGCCGTGGGAGCACAAGGGGCGGCATATTGAAGGCTTATAAGAGACTTGCCCCTCATCACCATGGAGTCTAACGGTCAAGATGGTCCTGACGACTCGTCCTTGGTAAGATACCCTACCTTCTCGTCCTAATCTAATATGCCTATTACGATATTAACCAGAGCTGTAGAGACCAGTCTCGTCCCTGAGGTCTCATTTTGAGAATATGAACAAGCCCAAAGATGGTTCAGCAGCTACACAATCTCAGCCCCCACCTACACGAAATCAGTCGCCGTCCCCAAATCTTCCCCCGATTCCAGACACGAGACCTACCCGGAGTGGGAATTTGCCGGCGGATAATGGAAAGCCCAAGCCAAAGGAAGCCTTGAATACTACAGGTCTTCATTCTGCTCAGGTCGCGAACCCTTCGCCGTTAAGTCCTAGACCTATTAAGCCCCCTGCCGTCTTGGTTGAACCACCTCAGTCACCACCGAAAGCAAGACCGCTCTCTTTCCTACAAAGCGATACGAATACCCATCTTATTCCTGATCCCTCCAAGACTCCAAATACCCCAGTTACTTCTTCGCCTCGACCCTCGAAGATTTCTAGCCGACCGCATACTCCCATACTCGAGCCCGGCCGATCTCCCAGGATCGCTGCTACTCAACCGCCATCACCACCTCCTCCGCGGAGATCGGCTGAGCTGAGAAGAGAACGTGAATCTAGGGCATCGCCGCCGATTCCTCCACCTGTGAATCGTGCTGAAAAGCCAGCCAATAGACTCTCAAGGCTGATGGAAAATGCAAACAAACTAGAATTGGCCCCTCAAATTGCAGAGAAGCGCTCGCCGTTTAATAGCCCTCCTTCTAGCGCCAGCAGCCCCGATCGTGAAGATCCGCCAGTGCTCCCGACTCGGCCAGCACGACCGCTGTCTCAGACGGTCGTACCGAGGACTAACGCATTGCCATCAGGCTTTGATCCTCCCCCAGTTCACCATACAATTACAACCATACGTCGAGACTACGAAGTCAACGGAAATGCCAGATCACCTGTCACTTCTCAGCTTACGGACAAGCAACCTATTCTCCCAGCCCGACCACAGACTGTTACCGATCCAGCTTCTGCCCGAATTCCAGCAAATACAGCCGTAAGGCCACCGCCTCGACCTCCGAGACCCGTTGTGACTACTGCTGGTGCTACTATAGAAAGCCCCCTATCTCCTCAGCCTAAACGTGTAGTTTCAACACCAACCACTCAATTCGCGCCTCCCCCGTCACGCGCTCATGGGAGATCCTTAACAGTAGATAGGCATTCAGAAAAGGCTCCTGTCGAATCCTATGATTCTACGAGAAAGCTAGGCGTACATGATGCAGATAACCGCCCTCCTGAATCTTCGGGTCCCGCCCCCACGGGCCATGTAGAAATTGTAACTCAATTCCCAGACACTACCAGGGTGAATCGGCGGCCGCCCTTCATCAAGCAAGGCACTCATGAAATTCCTACCAAGTACGATACCAGGATATTCGATGTTTGTGGGCAGTATGTATGTACCACCGGTCACCTCACCCGAGTCTGGAGCTTGCTGGACGGCGAGCTTCTCATGAGCTTCGCCCACGGAGAGGGTATTAAAGCGACAGCCGTAGCGTTTAAACCTGCATCGGATATCCAAGATGAAGGGACACGAGTCTGGATTGGCAACAATGTCGGCGAGATTATAGAAGCCGATATCACGTCTCAGGGTATCACCGAGAGCAAGACGAACGCTCATGGACGGTATGAGATAGTCAAGATCTACAGGCATTACAACGAGATGTGGACTCTAGACGAAGGAGGAACCCTGCATGTTTGGGGACCAGAGAGCGACGGAGTCCCGAATCTTGGTGGCAACCCCCATCAAACTTATAGGTTACCTAAAGGACATACCTTTTCAATGGTAGTTGGCGAAACATTATGGCACGCGACGGGCAAAGAAATCCGCATCTTCACTCCTACTGCCGGCGGTCGGAATCAACTGCAAGTCCTTATGAGACCTCTAGTCTCAGAAGGAGCAGGCGAAGTAACATCCGGAGCTCTCCTCAAATCACAGCCTGGAAAGGTTTTCCTCGGTCATAACGACGGCAAAGTCAGCATCTATTCCCAAAAAGATTTTGCATGCCTTAGCGTACTCAATGTCAGCTCCTACAAGATCAATTCTCTGGCCGGTGTGGGTAGTTATATGTGGGCAGGCTTTAATACTGGGAGGATATGCGTGTACGATGTTACAGAGTCGCCTTGGGTTATTAAAAAGGACTGGCAAGCTCATGATAACCCGGTTATAAAAATCATTGCCGATCCCTCGAGCGTCTATAAGCTGGACCGCTTACAGGCCGTCACCCTGGGAGCCGATAATACGATAAAGTGTTGGGACGGATTACTCCAAGACGACTTCTTAGAAAACGAGATGAAGTCCCTCGATACACAATATTGCAAATTTGAAGACATCAGGCTTTTGGCAATGACGTGGAATGCTGGAGCTTCAACCCCGAACAGCCTAAGATACTCCGAGTCGGATGCCATGTTTATGCAAAATTTGCTGCAGTCGAGCGATTCACCCGATATTCTTATCTTTGGATTTCAAGAACTAGTTGATCTGGAGGATAAAACTGCGACAGCAAAGCGCTTTTTCAAGCCGAAGAAGAAAGATGCGTCGGACCAAGAGCGGATGAGCCATCAATATCGAGATTGGAGAGATTTTCTCGTTCGATGTCTGGATGACTATATGCCGGCCGAACATCTCTATCACCTCCTCCACACGGCGACTCTGGTCGGCCTCTTTACTTGTATATTCGTGAAATCGACTCTCCGTGATCGTATACGTAATATCAGCGGCTCCGAGATAAAGCGTGGAATGGGAGGTTTACACGGCAACAAAGGTGCCATTATTATACGATTTATGGTGGACGATACTTCGCTCTGCTTCATTAATTGCCATCTTGCGGCGGGACAATCATCAGCAAACCAGCGACACAACGACATCGCCGCAATCATGGAAACTGCTCTCCTTCCTGTAGAGCGCGACCCAAGTGTTCGTATCGACAGTTACATAGGTGGTGGCGACGGTACCATGGTCCTTGATCACGAGTTATGCCTACTTAACGGTGACCTCAACTACCGCATTGATACTATGTCGCGGGATACGGTCGTGATCGCTGTAAAACAAAACAACCTGGCCAAACTTCTAGAACGTGATCAACTCCTCGTAGCCCGCCGGAGGAACCCGGCATTCAAACTTAGGGCATTCGACGAGATGCCCATCGAGTTCCCTCCGACGTATAAATATGACGTAGGAACTGATAACTACGACACCAGCGAGAAGAAGCGCTCCCCAGCATGGTGCGATCGCCTCCTTCACCGAGGTTTTGGTAGGATACAGCAACTTGAATACAGACGGCACGAGGTCCGGGTGTCTGATCACCGGCCCGTGACTGGCCAGTTCAGGTTTACTGTCAAATCTATCTCACCTAAGAAGCGGACGTTGGCTTGGGCAGATTGCCAGCAACGCTTCGAGAACCTCAAGGAGAAGGAGGCGAATGCAGAGAAGTGAGTCCAATCGCATTCTCCCCCCTTCGTGTTTGATATAGCTCCTAACCTCAGACAGGCTTCATTATCTTACGAATGTTATCGGGTATGATTCGGATACAAGCATGAGGTTGATACGCGAAAAGGCAACCAGATAATAGGCCGGTCTGGGTCTACATGTCTACATGGAAGAATAATAAGATAAAAAGCAGTCAGATCCAACGTCACTTGCAAGGTTAGAAGAATAATGTGGGAAGCGAAGGGTTCTTCTAACGCCCAAGAGAGAAGATGAGACAGGTTCAAGAAAATAGAGAGCCCGCGTAATGATTAGTTACGATATAGCACGACAAAAAGGTGGCAAATTCGCCACCGAAGACGGATTGTTTTCGATGCCTGGTTAGATGGTTGGGCTTATGAAAGATGAATATTGTCGATGTTTAAGAAGCGACGATGAAAATATTGCAATAGAGAATCAAGATAAATAATGAATCCAAGCAATCCTAGAGGGAGACCACGAAGCCTCTTGATCATCCGAATCAATCCTCGGCCAATATTAAATACATGTATAAATTTTGTAGGTGGTGTCTGGGAATAAATAAATAAATACGTAACGGGTGTCCGTCATCGGTTCTCCTTTTGATTGGGCTATCCCTGATCCTCTTTCAGGGGTACTGAGATACACTAGATACCCATATATGCATCCGCCGGTATCTAATATGTATCTGATATATATCTCATTCCACCTACATATCTAGGTAGGTATCTAAGATACAAAGCCTGCCTAACCCAAGCAGGCTTCTATATATAAGTTAGGAAGAAAATGTATCTACTGCCCACTTACATACCTCCTAGGTAATCAATACTACTCGTATTTGTCCCTTTAACTTTTAGTTCAAGTCTTATGTGGAGTCGTCGGTTCTAGCGAACCTTGAAGGTTTACCGATTTTTTCCTCTTCCCGCTTCCCGCTTTCTTTGACGTAAAAAGGTATTACGAATTTCAGGGACCAGGTTCCGATATAGCTCTCATTGTTGTTTTCTTATATCCTGGCCGATGAGCCTACGATTTATATATAAGAAGGACTTCAGTGAAGATCGCTAATTAAAGTGAGATAACACTATTAACTTCATTGATTAAGGTAGTCTCTGGCTGGCTGGTTGATTGACAGCTTGGACGTGCGACTCAGACACGTCTTAAACGGCGTCTCTAAGACGGCAGAGATAAAGGCTCTCATATCAGAAGGCGAAATCGACGATAGAGATATAACTTATAAGAGCAAGGGAAAAAAAGAATCTCTTGTCTTATCTCTCTTACCTGCTCACTTGCGACGATGGGGGGCATCACAGCTGCCGCAAACGGCAACGCTGAAGTTACTACATATCCCGAGTCGAGAGTGCTCATCATCATCACCGGAGGCACGATATGCATGCAGCCATCGGCGAGCGGCCTCGTACCCGTCGACGGATTTCTAGATAATGCCATGGCGCCGCGTCTGTCTTTCAACGATATGTCAGAAAGAGGTACGTTGTATTTCCAGATATGATAGATAAAATATAAAATGAAATATAAAATATAGCTAACTTTTACACAGTCCCGTTAACCGCGGTCAAGGACGGGGTTAAGGTTACTATCGACAGCTTACGCACACCGCCGAGTTCATACTCGAGACATATCCGCTACGGCGCCCTCGAATTCTCACCGCTGCTAGACTCTTCCAGTATAAGCAGCATCGGCTGGACTCAGATCGCTACGACTATCAAAGCTAATTATCACCTATTCGATGGCTTTGTGGTACTCCATGGAACCGACTCCCTGTCTTATTCAGCTTCGGCTTTGTCTTTTATGTTGGTATGTGGATATGATATGCCACCCGTGAAGAAATCTCATTTCGAACTTATCCCCATAGCTCGAATGCATCTTCGAATGAAGACATGCCTTCTTCAAGCATCACTAATGTTATATACTAATATTATATCTAGGAAGACCTAGGTAAACCGGTAATCCTAACCGGCTCTCAGGCTCCCATATTTGCACTCCAGTCAGACGCCGTCGATAATTTACTCGGCTCCCTCATCATAGCCGGCACCTTCGCAATCCCCGAGGTGTGCTTATTCTTCCACCACACACTATTCCGCGGAAATCGCACGACCAAGGTTTCCGCATCCTCATTCGATGCCTTCGCTAGTCCCAACTGCGCACCTCTAGCCAAGGTTACCAGCCTCGGCGTCGACGTGAACTGGTCGCTCGTACGGCGGCCGACCAAGATCGCACAGTTCCGCGTCACGTCGTACGTAGACACTGCACATGTGGCTTGCGTGCGCATCTTCCCGGGTATCAAGCCTGAGATGGTGGACTCGGTGCTTCGCGTGCCGCACCTACGTGGGCTGATTCTCGAAACATTCGGAATGGGCAATGCACCCGAGGGCGTTGACGGCAGCCTGACTAAAGTCATTGCCGCGGCCGTCCAACGCGGTATTATCATTGTCAACGTCAGCCAATGCACCAACGGCTTCGTATCGCCGCTATACGCACCTGGGTTCGCGCTCGGTCGTGCCGGCGTAGTCTTTGGGCATGATCTTACTTCCGAAGCCGCACTCACCAAGCTCTCGTACCTCCTCGCGCTACTCCCCGGGCCCAGCGGCGAGGGAGGCAACGCAGCGGAGATCGCAGCGCGCATGAGCCGGTCGATCCGCGGCGAACTAACCGAACTCGCCGCGATAACGTCCTTCGCACACCCGTCAGCCGGTTTGGACACCTCGTGGGCGGACCGTCTGACCGGGCCCGAAGCAGCGTTCACGGCACTGGGATATACAATCGCGACGGGAAATCTACAGGCTACTATCGAGATCCTGGAAGCCGCAGACCGCGACGAGGGCGAGGGCGAGGGCCCGATGGTGCTACTACGGCATGCGGATTACATGGGCAACACTGCCGTGCATCTGGCAGCACTGGGACCGGAACCGGCGATACTAGAGGAATTGCTGGTCAGGGGGGCGAGCGTGCACGCGCGCAACCGCGCGAATAATACGCCGTTGTTCCTGGCGCAGGGGGCTAAGAATGACGAGTGCGTGAGGTTGTTGAGGGAAGCGGGAGGGATGTTATGGGAAGAGGAAAAGGGGGTATAAGGGGTTGAGAAGGGGGGCGTGACGGCTTGATTCTAGCATGGCTTCGGTCATAGTAGGTAGTTTATTAGGTCGAGCAAGATTTTTGTTACATAGAAACTTGGGGGTTTAGTAAGGGGGATGGTTATATAGTATATTACTTAGGTGTGATAGAAGGGATAGATTCGGTCGGCTTACTACGTAATACAAGTTAGACGCTTGATATTGACAGTGTTTATTTAGCACCTTATGTGCGGCTATGTATGAGATTATTTATAAAGGCTGTTTACCTAAGAAGAGTTCATGTCCATAGCACATAGGATCTTCAAAGTACCCTTCGAAGTACACAGCTAGAGTATTGATCAATACCTAGGAGGTAGGTAGGTATAGAAGCTGTTCTATGTATGTTTAAAGTAGGGAGGTATTTATACAATTCTATCATTAGCTCAAGAGATATTTCGGCAAACGGGCAAGGGAAAGGGTTTAATTTTTTTCAATATTGCCATAAGTGCAGTATAATTCAATGTCCTTTATTCTGATGCGGTACTGCCTGGGTAGAAACCTGGGCGAAATGCGTACCTAGACACTCACCGAGCCATAAGGGTAAAAAGAGGGAAAAAAAGAGAAGAAAAAAATAAGGGGTTGCTTATCCCAGTTGACTGGGAAGCATCAGGAATTGAGCCCGATGCGGGGGTCGAACCTATTAGGAAGATGTTAGCTAGATGTAGCAGACGTAGTAGATCTCGCGATCAACTTACCCGCAACCTTGAGATTAAGAGTCTCACGCTCTACCGATTGAGCTAACCGGGCTACTGAGCTAAACCAGGCCGGTGGTGACCGGGCCACGGTTGGGTGAACGACGGGCCTGGATTTTAGTATTATAAAACTTTGTGTAAAGGAAGAGGGTTCGAAGTTGAGCTAGCTGGCCAGACCGATCCCTGGTCCTAGAATAATTCTAGTGGACCCATTCGCTAAAGTGGTGGGGATGGAATAGTGCCCTTCTGATGGGACGGGCCTACCTAGGTACACATCGTTTTCACGTATACCTATCTTGTCTAGTAGTAGGCGAATGGTAAAACTACGACGGGCCCATCATGATAGGGGCGTATGGGCGATCGTTCGTTGAAGATTGTAGACGAACTGCATTCTTTTATTATTGACTCGTAAAGCATATCTACTAGGTTATTCGTTATTCACATCTATCGTGACCTCGACTTGATATAAGAGAACAATAACTGCGAAGGAAGAGGGATCTTGTATAAGTAGGAGAAGGCACGTAGGACAATAGTAAATCGTAAAACCTTTTCCCCTTTAACTATATGACTTTATGATTGAAGAATAGGTAGCTATGGTCTTGACCATTTCCTCCTGTTGGTTAATATCGCATCCCAAGTTGGATTCACTGGAACTCTGAAGTCCGTCCCAAGTGTACCTAAGGACCAGCTTCAGGTTGGGCGGGCTCCGGACCAACCTGCTGACAGAATCAAAGCCTCTGAATAGCTTAATTCGTATTGATACATAGATGATTGCTGTGAGAGCTTGTAAACATAATATAAACTAAGGAGACGAAGACTTACAGATATATAATACTGCTATGCATTTGCTCCATCAAGCAATGGGTCTTCGTCCTCACGAAGAAACCCCATAGGCCGCTTGGCCCAATGGTAAGGCGTCTGACTACGATCGAGCATAATAAAATATGATCGAAAGCAATCAGGAGATTCTGGGTTCGAGCCCCAGGGTGGTCAATTCATTCTTTTTATTCTCTCTCTATAGAGAAACTGTGTGTACGTAGGGTAGGGTTTGCTTAGGGTCTACGTTATGGAGCCCCTAGGGTTGGTTGTTCTTGTGCTATGGAAGTCTACGCTATAAACTTTTTTTTTCTTGGAGGCCCACTTAGCAAGGCCTAGAACCCAAATGATGGTAACTTGAGCAATTACCTAGAACGAGTTATATACACAGTACATATAATATAATAACTAGATTTTAACCAATCATGTTGAAGCGTCCGATAACGAAGCTTCTAACGCAAAGTCGCGTGGTCTAATGGTTATGATTTCTCGTTCACATTGATGTGTTCAATAGCCCCGAGAAGGTTCCGTGTTCGATCCACGGCGTGACTAACATTTTTGCATATAAACGATGTCTTACACGGTGTAGAAGTCTTTGGGACTGAAAGTTTTAAGGTGTACGGATTTCTATAAGTTCAATTAGATTGAGACTTGGTACATCTGATTACGTTGGGATTTATATGCAAAAGAAAGTACCAGTTTGTTTTAGGTTGTTTTCCTGAGGTAAGGATGGTAATTTTGTGAGTCTGTGGCATAAGTCAAAGGATATAATATACACTTGTTGATAACCTTCCGAAAAGAGTCTGCGATATACTTTTGAAAGTACTGGAGATTAAAATAAAACCTCCCTTAGGTACCTATAAATATTTTTTAGCTGTATTTTGATATAGTATTTAGTAAAGTTATTAACTTGTGCCTCTTACCCCCATTGTAGACCTCATGGCGTTCTCAGACCACAATTCGCATAAAGTGTGAAGAAAGCGCCCATGTAAGTCATTGGCTGCATCTGATAATTGATAAAACGCCTTGAACCTTGTGCACGGACAAGTCCTTTTCTTTTGTGGAAGCTGCGTTACCTTTTTGACTTCCTTCTGCCTTATACTTCCTAAGCTCGGGGTTTCTAGGACCTACCAACTTTGCTATGCATTTCTTCTTCTTAATACAAAGCAACTTATTAGCCAACTGTTTCGTCAATTGATTCTTAGGCTGGGACTTAGGCTGGGTATGAAGACTATTGTTTGGTTTCGCGAGACGCTTTCGTGTCAGCGTGTAAGACGATACCAGGGTGTATGTCCAATCAGAATTGATGATGGACTTTTGGACAAATCAAGCTACTTGACTTTAAGAAGTAAGCGAAGCACTTTGCCTTGGCTGGATCATCAGACGGACCATTAGACGGACTATCAGACGCGTCGCAACTTTCGAAAATGGCAAGCCCAAAAGTGCGATCCTCATGCGACTCGTGTGGATCGGCCAAGGTCAAATGCGATCGCAGTCGGCCCAGGTGCCGCCGTTGCGTTACCCTAGGTATCGATTGTATATACGGCATCTCACGCAAACTCGGCAGAGCACCGAGAAGGGGGCTATCCGCAAGAGCTGATCCCGGAACTACAATTAGAACATCTACACAAGCGCAGAGATTATTACCCGACACTAATACAGAGAGTTTTATAAATCCAGCCTTCGAAGAGCCAAGACGAGTACATGAGACATCACCATCCGCAAGCAACACTGACGTTCCATTATCAAGCACTTATAACCACGACCAGCTGGGGGGGTTTCATCTATTTAACCCACTAGATATCGAGCAGTGGCCTCATTTTGACTTCTCAGATGTTGGTGCTCAAATCCACGGCGCCCAAGATAGCCGTGCATCTCATAGCTGCGCCCGGGAGTCATACGAGATCTTTGCGGATCTGATCTGCCCTGCTCCGGATCTTCACGCTCCTAATGCTAACTCGGATACTGTAACGGCCCGGCTGGATCAGGTACTTCACTTCAATAGGAAGGCAATCGACCGACTAAGTGGCCTTCTAGAGTGCTCTTGCGCCAAGTCTGGCCATAGAGTTATGGTTCATGCATCAATCATCTCTCGGATCTTAATATGGTATCAGCAGGCCGCTGGATGGCCTTCTGATACGTTGCATACCGCCGATGCTATATCCTCTTCGGCTTCTTCATCCTCAAAACCCGGCGAAGCGGCTGGCGCTTGTTCCCCTAACCTGCGAATATTGCCCCGAACCACAGGCTTCATCGTTACTGACGTACCGGCTACGTTAGGAACGTTCAGCATTGAGGACCAGAAAATGCAGGCTTCTATCAGGAACCACTTAGTTCTAAGCGAGCTAAACAAGATGTCGGCCCTCATTGATCTTTTTAGTTCACATTTCTCGGACGAGTCGTCAGTTGCTGGAGCGGGTAGCCTCTATACGTATATCGCAGCGTGGCTTCGGAACGAGTACGACAAGACGATTGGAGATCTGAGAGCCGAACGTATAGCTCTAAATGATATTTCAGGTACCTAATTTAACGAAGCAATACGTATATTTATTAAAAATTATAAATTTTTTCGCTTTCAAAGTGTATCCTTGTCTTCCAAGGCAATATTAATTAAATCTTACCACTTGCACTTTTTCGCTCTGTACAACGACATACCTATCCCCCAGATTCATGTATAATGGGCCTTACATGAACATTTATCATGTCCTCTTATTTCAAACCGAATCGTCTCCTTAAGGGAGTGATATAAAGTCCTAGTCCCTCTAGAACTTCGGGTTCCAAAGGTTGAACCCCATTGGTCAATTCAATCCCGTTAAGGAAATGCCCGGAAACGCCACGGGACACTTGAAAGCGCCGTAAATCTCCCCGCGGATCCCTTCAATTTCAAAGCACTATTGTCCAGTACATATATAAATAACAACGGGTTCATTCTAACATCAGTTCCGATGTATTCCCATTCATATCATTATTATAGCTACAATGGTTAAAATCGTCGTTGCCGGAGGCTCAGGAGGTAAGATACCCCGATATGAGAAGTGGTTATGATATATTAATCTGTCTATAGAAGTCGCTCGGGAGGTCGTTGATGCTCTAGCGGCTCCCAAGAAACACGACATTACTATCTTAAGCAGGAGGGTTAGTACCATGGTCAAATTGCTCAGATCAAGTCGTGGAGTTTCATTCTAAGCCAAAGTATAGGAGGTGGGAGGTCAAGATGGCAACTGGCATGGTGTTACATGGCGTCGAGTCGATTACGGAAACAGAGATGAACTGGTTGCAGTTTTGCGTGGCGTTGACACCGTGCTGTCCTTCATCCAGCTACTCCAGGACCCAGGGAACAAGGCGCAGAAGAATCTGATTGATGCCGCGGTCATAGCTGGCGTGAAGCGCTTTGCGCCGAGCGAATGGGGAAGGTAAGAAATTGACCCTATTTTCGGAATTGTCAAGAGTATGTATGTGAAACCCGGCTGACAGAGAGCTAGTCGTAGCGGTGTAGGGATGCCTTGGTGGACAGGCAAAGATGAGATTAAGGAGTATTTGAAACAGGTAAACGAGAAGGGAAAAGTAAGTCGAAAATTAATATCCCTAGTTAATTCGTCGCGGGTCAACTCTAACCCTTCACGATGACACAGGTCCTAGAATACTGTCTATTCCAGCCCGGCTTGTTCTTGAACTATCTTGCCACCCCGCAAAAGACCTCTAAACATTTGACACCACTTAATACCTTCATCGATCTTCATAACCGACGCGCTATCGTCGTTAAGGGGCACGACCCCATCATGACCTATACCACTGTTCAAGACTTGGCAGCAGTCGTGGCTCGGGCAGTTGACTTCGAAGGCGAGTGGCCGCTGATTGGTGGTATCAGGGGCAATAGCCTTCGCGCCTCGAAAATTATCGAGATTAGCGAGCAAGTCCGAGGTAGGGTGGTCTTTACTTGATCACTGACACTTACAAGTCTAGGGTTGCTAACAGGTAAAACATCATAGGGGGCCCTTTCACGGTTGATACGGTCGAATTAGAAGACCTCGAAGCCGGAAATCTAACAGCGTCGTGGAAGTTGGAGGCAAGCCACCCCAGCGTCGCGGGCGAGGAGGCAGCAAACATGCTGAAAGGCGTGCTCGTGGGTATGCTCCTGAGTAGTGCTAAGGGTGCTTGGGACATATCAGATGAGTGGAATCAGCGACTACCGGACTACAAGTTCACCGGGATTGAACACTTCCTAGGTGAAGTATGGCAGGGGAAGCCGTAGCGGGCTGGCGACTGGGTAAATTACAGGTACCTATATATGAACTTATGGATGAAGTCCATAAGGAAATGGCTTTACTGTTCCGTAAAGGTAAAAAACTCTAAGCTTACTAGGTAGTCATGGGAACATATGACTATAATATAGTGGAAGTCTAGATATCTCATCTAGAACCCTACCACTCTCTAAAGTCTATAACTACGGAGATTGCTAGCGTATAGATAACATCCTAACATCCTAACATTCTAATAGTATATAGTTACATCTATAATAACTCCCTCGCAACCGCCAACTCCCCAAGTAGCTTCAGCATATTTACATCCCCAACCAAACTCCCCAAGGTGTCACGCACAACCGAGCCTCCACACTCATCTTCTTCTTCTTCCACCCCTTCTTCTCCTCGGCCGTTATCCGCCCCACCACCATTAGCGTCCAACCGCAGGCCGGGTGGCACACAATTATCCTCGGCTCTCGCAGCCCGCATCTTGCATATCTCGGCGCGTCTACACTTTTCGTCGCAGCTCCTCCCTATCTCCCACCCTCGGCGCCTCCGTGCAAAGTACTCCGCGAACGCCGTTTCGTTACGCTCCAAGGCCGAGGTCACGTTGTGCCAGAACGCGGGAGTTAGCTCTTCCAATTTCTGACCTGCGTCCGACTTTTCAGTTTCCCCGACTAGTAGTGGCCCGTATGCCTCCCGTGCCGAATAGTATTTTGTCCATTTTGGTCCCGAAGGGGATGAGAAAGATGGGTCGCTCATGTTGGCGATATATGTGGTAGCATCCAGTACGCCAAAGGTGATGGGATCGACGGTGTAGACGCGGAAGGCAGGGTGTCCTGATGCGGGAGTCATGGAGGGTGCGATGTAAGAGGTTACTAGTGCGTTGGAGTGAGACTTGTTCGAATTGTCTGCGTATGATAGCTCGAACTCGTCGAAGTGAGTGTGGCCTGGCCTCGGGTTAGCATATATATCTCTTGACGGGATAAGAAAAAGGGGATAAATATCATACCAAAGAACATAGCAGCGATAGTCCCTTCATACCGCCGCACAATCTGATCAAAATAATTCGACCCATCATGGAAGGCATCCCGATTTCCCATAGGCATATGCCCTATGATATACACACGCTCGCCTGCCTTCTCCGCTGCATCCAGCTCCCCTACCAGCCACGCCAGCTGTCCGCTCGGGTCTCTCTGCATAGGCTCCTCGTACAGCCAGTAGTTATGCCCGTAGTACATGTTTGTGCTGAGAGATATCACGCGCAGTTTCCCTAGGCCTTCCCTGCCAGAAATGTGCTGCACCGAGTACGCACCAAATTCCCTCGTCGTAGCTGCAGCCTGTGGGCCGATCCACCGGGACCAAGTCGTGGAGAGCAGGTCGTATAACCATTGCGCGGCATTGCTGTTATTGTTGGTATTGTTATCGTCGCCGTTTGCCGGAGTAGGCGGGAATGAGTTCGCAGGTGAAGCTTCGTGATTTCCGGCTGTGCCGTAGACGCGCAGTCCAGCGTGTGCCATGCGCCCGTAAGCATCCTCAATGCCGAACGCGCTCTGCGACTCAGACGTATCCCATACAGCGTGATCGACGATATCGCCCGTGAAGATGGCGAAGGCAGAGTCGGGCGCGATGGCTTGGATCGCCGCGTACATGCTGTCTTCCAGGCTCGCGGGTGAGTCGCATGTGTGCTCACCGTGTCGCCCGGCTGGGAAGTCGTTGAAGCCGGGCTTGTCAGCGTCGGCGTATTCCCTGCAGCAAATCGGCTTGGTGCAATTCGCATTCGCGCCCTCGACATACAGCGGATCAATATGTATATCCGAGAAATGCACCACCTGCACCGGCTCCAAGCCACTAGGTGGCGGTCTACCCGTCAACCTTTTCGGCGACGGGAATGAGACGTTATGCGGCAAGACCTCGGGGTGCTGGCATAGTCCCATGAGCGCTACACACACCAGCCGCGACGTCCGGGAGCCGATGGCAAGGCCGCGCAAGCTGTGCGCGACGATGGGGCCCTCGAGAGCTATGGAGCCTGCGCAGACGTCTGCGTCTTGGACCTAAGGATTGGGGGAGTTGGTGAGCTGAGAGGGGCCATGAAAGAAGAATAAAAAAAAGAAAAAAAAGAAAGAAAGAAAGGGGGGGAGACTGTACGCCGGATCGCTGGCAGAGCTCTGTCATAGAGTGGATGAAGAAGCTATCGCCTGCCGCAGCTATAAGCTTAAGTTGTAAGAGGACTGACTGTCTGCTCCGTTAGTATATCTAGCTACTTCGTATATATGATTATATACGGTCCAGAAAAGCGAAGTCCTACCTCGCAAGCCGCGCACGACGCGGGACTCTGCGCATCTTCTCTGGTGCTGGCGACTATACTGCTAGGATCGAACTTATCTAGAACTCCCTCCGCCGTACTGGACGCAAGTACTTTCTGAGACCCATCGCCAGTCTCGAGATATGCCGTAACTCCCCGGCCGACGATCAGGGACACTCGGGCGACAAAGGACAGAATCCGCATCGTAACGCCCCGATCTTATTCCTGCGCGCGGATAGTGCCCGGTTACCAATATTGTAGTATAAAATTCTCGATTTCGTATCCGAAAGCCTTATATAAATATAAACATGACCCTGCCAGCCTGCCAGGACAATAAAGCCCTCCAAGAGGTACCTAGTCGGTCAAGTCCCGGTGACAGGCACCCGTGTAAGCCAGCAGCCACCCCTTAGCAAAGTCGATTGCGTACTTGAGCCCGCGGTGGTCCAATCGGAGCGAAGCTAGGAGACATGCTGGTGGCACGGGTAGCGGATCTGAAGGGATCCCCGCTAGGACGGTCACCAGATCTCTGTTATGTATAATGTATTGGGATTAGTTAGTGATGCAGCGAATAACGTGCCCGAAAGGTGGTTAAGGCTGGGTCAGATCAGATTTATACATTACATAATGATTACCTACGTAGTTGATTATCTAAAGTAGTTACTTAGTAATGTATGTATGTATAAGTTATGTATATGCCTATGACATAATTGACAAGTCCTACATATGTATTAGTGCATGTATATACCTTGGTATGCAGGGTCTCTCACTTACACTAGATACTCAGATACATCTAGGTAGCTTTTATGTAAAAAGTCAAATACCTGTAGGTACTAATGTAGGCTGTGACACGTTTTAGCATGACAGTCTTTTAAGTAAGAACTATGTAGCTATTATTATTGCAGTTTTTACGTATGTAAATCCGTCTGTTACTTTCAAACGGACAACTTTTGCTTCATTTAAACTACCAGGTACCTACTAAGGCACCGTAGGTATTAAAGACATCTCGGTAGGTTATGTACTACATAATGTAAGACTAGCACCAGGAGAATGTCTCAATATTCCCAACCACAACAAATACATACATAAACCCTCCCTTTTTGCTTCTTTTCATAACCAATTAGACCAGCCGCCTGTGCCGTAATTCCAGGTAACCGGAAGCAGATAATTACTCACTTTTTTGTATTCCCCTCTCTTCTCGGCACGATTCGATTAACTCGTATGCTCTCCCCGTTAGTCACAAGATATAAAAATAAAATAAGAGAAAGAAAGAAAACCGCCAAACACCGATTGGAATGCTGCAACGATGGAGGGGCGAGCTGATTTTGAAATCGAAAACTGCTGATGATGATGAAGACCCGAGATGCTGCCCATGCAAACCGCTCTGTCCAATGCGCCGTATTGTTTTTGCGTGAGGAAACTATTATGTCGTCTCGTCGTGATTCCGTATTATGCTTGCCAATATCCTACACAGCACCGCCATTTTCCCCTTTTCATTCAATTATACTTCTCCTAGTCCTTAGAGAGGAGAGGCTTTAAAACCTCGAGAGCCCTCATAGCCTGTTTGCTCGATAGAATAACGGCGCCGGCTTGCGCGGTAGAAAGATACGAGAGCTCGCTGCTGACGCCTGTTTCTTCCATCCCCATCTCCGAGATGAGTTTTCCGGCAACCCCTGAAACGATGCCCGTGGCCTCCAGAGGGAGGTTCACGAGATCGAGAAAGATAGGGACTAGATCGCCTTCGGTATCGCCGACTATGGAGTCCCCAAAAACACCCAGGTATTCCTTATCAAGTAGTAAAGACGGAGGGTCTTCCTGAGCTAAAGTAATGGATAGGAACCTAGGTTGCTTGGCTAGAACCGATATTAAACTTGTGTATAATTTCGTATCGACGTTATCGAGCCAGCTCCTCCTGTGCCCGTTCCCGCTCAGATGCCTACTCAAAGCGGGACGGCGGCTGTAATCGACTAACCGAGACAGATCCCTGCCGGAACATTGTACCAAGCTGAGGTAAGGGCTGATATACGGGACGACGTTTCTCTTTTTCAACAACTCAAACGTGCGCACTTGTAATTCTGCCACGGTGGATGGCGGCGGCGTCGATGGCGGTTCGCTACCTTGACTTCTTCCGCGAACGTGAGACATTGCGCTGGGCGATACATAGGCCGACTCGTCCTGATCAAACTCGAAGTTTCGGGCCAGAAGTACCTGCACGACCGTTTGCCGATCTTTGCAAGGAACCAGGATAAAGTCGGAATAATAAGTAGTTATGAAAAATATAGGCACACCGGCTAGCGCAAGGGGTGAGGTCAAGTCCATCACTCGACTCCCGGCGTCCATGCCGGCACTTATTACCGAGAGAATTAGATAGGTATCCTTGGAAATCGTAACTGTCCCTGTCTTGGAAATATTTGGCGGTAGACGCTTAATCACCGGCTCGAACACGTTCTTAGCCCAACTACTATGACACACCACCGAACATTCAACGGGCGTAATGCTTATATTAAGGAAACCATGCTTATTATCGATGCTGAGACCTTCGGCCTCGTTGGTGAGAGAATCATCATCACCTTGAGGAAGAAGAACCTGCAATATTGGCTGAAGAAAGTTCGGGTATAGATGCAAGGGGATATGTATTAGGCGAAATGTCCCGTCCTAGAGTTGCACGAGTTAGCATCACTCACGAGACATCAGCGACTTGTTATTTGTCGCATGCATCGTAGGATATACCAAAATATGGGCTGTCACCGGTGCTTGGCTGGTGTTACACATGGGGGAATTGTTTGTAACTTGACCTTGCGACGATTGTAAATAGCAATGATTATCATCTACCGGCGCATTGCGGCGAGAAACCCGATCTTATGTATGTATAAATCTAAGATAAGAACTAAGGGGAGAAGCTTACGAGAAATGATATCTGAGCATTCATAATGACGATGTCGTATTGGTGACGCCGTAGATGGCGACCAATGGCCAGTGCTTTCGACCCCGAAGATCGGGGGTCAAAGGACCCCTAAAATGCACGGGCAGAGCAGAACCTATCACGGAGATCCGGCTCGAATTGTGTTGTGATTGGTGGGAATTGGTGGAATTGAAACCCTCTTGGACTTTTTATTTCGAATTCTCGGCTAGGTTCCCAACAAAAGATCCTTAACGATACGATACGATGATACGATAATAATAGATAATAATAGAGAACATCAAAAGTCGTAGGTAATAGGTAAAAAGAGGAGGGGAAATAAAAGCCGAAAAGAAACAATGCCAACAGATAGACTTCGACCCTAGGTAGGAGCCAAGATAAAGAAAGAAAACAATTGGCCGGTTTCGAGAGATAGGAACAGCGATAGGGCTGTCAATCGGAGGTACTATGGAGACTAGACCTGATGTCGTAAGGGGACTAGCTCTACATACAAGGTTGTCCGTTTTGTCGTTTGTGTTGATAGAATAAAAAAAGAAGGTCTCGTGAGTGCCTCTTTAACGCTTCGAGTTCGATGGGTAACTTGGATAGCCTGACATGACACCACTTGACAGTAGCTTGATAGTAGGATTCCACAAGGATCGACGCCCGTCGCGGTCTCTAGGACCGGGACTGATAGGAAGCGCGGTTCGGTGCCGCTGTGGATACTCGTTTTATCGCCCGCGGATGCAAGTTGACGCAGCTACAAACAGTGGACAGCGGACAGTGGACAGTGGACAGGAGCGGATCTCTATAGGTATGTAAGGGGGGAGGGATCGAAACGGAACCTTCAACGACTAGGAACATCGACCAAGATGTTGTTTATCATATCACAACAGACCGAGTTCGACCGGTAAGGTGAATGAATGGCGAGGGGGCACAGAACCTTATGTATTTTTCAGGGTGGTGTAATCTACTTACATAGCACATATGCTTCTTACATATACTTACATATATTTACATAGCTTCGTCGATCTGGCTTGAGGTTCCTGGACACAAACATGTAATAACATATGTATGCGCGTTAGTACCTATGCACGCCGTCTGCCTCAAAAAGGCAAGCCGCTAAAATGAAAAAAAAAGGCGTGCAGAAAGGGGCCGAGCAACATATGCAGCCACTCTTCGACATAACACTATCATCTACATACGTACGGCGCCATCCTACATCAGCTCCTAGAGCGCGTGGTCGACGTCCGGGAGGAGCTAAGTGGATTTGGGAGAATCTTGCAGGACGACTCTATATAAACGGGTGCAACTTTGCAACGCTGTCTAGCGTGGGGGGAGGGAGCGCTTGGAGCTTGGGGCTTGGGTCTTGAATTACCGGGAGATGTACCCTGCTAGGATTGCCTGCAAGGAGTCGTTACTCTTCTGCATGATGATGTCTCCCGAGAGGGGCGACCTACGCTTCTCATTCACTGGCTATACCTAGGTAAGTCCTGAGGGAGTGAAGCAATATACTATGTACTGCAGACACGTTAGATGTGGCCCTGTGCTGTACCACAACAAAGTATTATCGACCTGGTAGGTAGAAGACGATGTGCTATGCAGGTGAGTGCATTATCTGGAGTGCGACTCTAGGAAGTAGGAAGTAGGAAGGAGAATAGATAGTGAGTCGTAGGATATATGTAATATGTAATAACCTAGCTGTACGGACTTTGGCGAAAGGACCATCATCCATCGGTACCTGGAGTCGGGGAGATTTACTCGCCAATGCATAGTGTATGTTGTTGATGCAGCTGTCCGGCCTATGAGCGAGAGGCTGGGGATAAAGGTACCCTTGAAAGTTAAGGACCCCTTTGCTGCCCCGCATTTTCCTATCTCGAGCTGCCCGCCGAAGAGTCTCGTCAACAACCCTGTCACCAATAGGTAACTAGTGTATTGTATCCACTGCTGCACGTAACATGGTAACGCCATTTGTCTAAGGTTGGCGTAACGAAACGGCGGGTGCAGGTATAATATCCATATAGCTTGTCTCACTGGTTTACTTGAATCACGGCTAACTTGCGTGATATGATGTCGAATATTCGACTGAAGATGCCGCTCTCTCAGTCTCTTTGACAGCAATACTGAAAAAGACTAAATACCTAGGTTAATTCAATTAGCACGTTTCCTCTTCCCGCCTCAGAATTGGGCTAGCTCGATCCGATTCTAGGGTTCTCAATCAGAGCCGAGTGTAACCACGTCTTAAGCACAATCTCTCGACCCATCATATTCGTCCATGTCAACCCCACGAAATCTCCTTCATCCCACTATGTATATCCACTCGCGTTCCTACCGCCATCGTGCCATACATGATCAATCGTAAAATACCGTGCTAACGATGGCACCAGTCAATCGTCAGAGCCATGATCGAATTGCTTTCGGGTCACGGGGATTTCCCGCGAGTCTGTGACAGGTAAGGCGAATAGGAACTAGCTAGGTGGCCTGACAGGATCTAAGATAGATGAATTTAGACATAACTGTCGTCATGAATGATGAAACTAGACCGCATTGAACCCCGTACGGCCCATAGCTTGGACGCCACCAACTAGCTTAGCTAGAGAATTTCCCGTATCGGGCAGCCATCAAGCTTCTTGACGGAAAAAACTACCATTTCTAACCGACGATGATGGAGAGCTTG